TGTTGTTGTTGTTATTGGTCAATGAACACCAGCAAATGCTTGGCTTTATTATTCTACATATCTTTGTTATACATATTTTGTTTGCGCACACGGCGTATACTCAATAATTGAAGTTGTTTGCCGTTTGTTGCCGCCAAGTGACCATAAAAGTTATATTTCAATTATGAATATGGCCGCTAATGAACAATGCGACTGTCCAAAGTTTGCACTCAAACATTGTTTACTATGCATGGAGTCTGTACTCGTATTCGGTTGTGGGTGGCACTTTAAAATTCTTTTCTTTGTTCACTCCATACTCACTGTGTTGGCCAAATTGCTTCTTTGTTCGATTTGCAGCTGCCTTTGGGGTAATCGAAATTATCCAAATTGTTATTACCTTTTCACACCTTACAAACTTTATGCACTTTTTTGTATGCCAATGTCAACGCAATGCCTGGCAATGTTTCGTAATATATTGTATATACTGTAACAATATATATACAAGTATATATATATATTTTTTAAAGTTTTCAGCGTGTGTTTGCGAATGCGCGCGCGCACCAATTGATGATGAGCCTGAACCGCTGACGACGACCAACATTGACGACTGTCCAGCCTGGTGACAGACGAAGCGTTTAATGGCCAAATAAACGCACTGAACTGCGACTGAGGTTCGGCATTCCGTTGATTGTTTCTCCGACTGACTGTCTGTCTGCCTTTCTGTCTGTTGACTGCTAGCAGTTCATCAATTTTTCATTTAATTTAAATTTAGCTACGTGCACTGAACCCGCCGCTGCCTTCACTCGTACCTCCCCTTTCCTGTGATCATTTTTCGTAATGTTTGCGTGGGCGTCTAGGCAGCTACAGTGTTGTCTATTTAGCGTTTATTTTAACGCTAAATCTAACTTTTTTCACTGTTTTTCGGACATATTTATTTGTCGTTGCCCGTGCTTCTAATACCCATTTAAGAGAGGCATGTACAAATAGCATCTGAAAATTGGCTTAAAGCCTACATCGACAAGTTATTGTTTATTTTCAAGCTGGTAGTTTGTCCAAATGTTCAAAAATTATTTAAAGCAAAAGCAAAGTTGTATATATTGCAGGAAGAATTTAGAAGCGTTCAAAGCGCTGGAGCACCGCCTCTGACACTTTCCCCCACCAAAAAATAACAAACCAATAAACAACAAATCACTGAAGAAGCAAAAATAATCTTCCGCTGCTCTCCGGCATTACCAAAACAAGTTGATCGGATTAATCGGTCACGATTAAAAATCCTTTTTCCAAACTAAACTCCAAAATCCGGCAAAACCAAAGACAAACTTCGGTCTATTTGGAGCTGCGAATGGTGATCCATCGGATTTAAGTAAAGATTTTTTATTTAAGTTGTAAGTCAAAACTATTTAACACAGTAATTATACGAGCTAGAAGTATAAGTAAAGAATTATTATCATCACAGATTGCCTTCACTTTTTAAGCACATATACTGTTCTTACATAAAATAGTGTTTAACGATTTTTTTTGTTGTAAAAGGTAATTTTTTTAAATTTAATTAACTTAAAAACAAAAACTATCTGCATTTTCAAAGCATCTTTGTAAAATGTTGTCTAAAAATATGAATGAAAGCATTACATACCAATTGTCATTTGAAGTTCAATAAAGTTGCCATGGCCTGCAAATAATATTCAAGAAATATGCCCTTGAGATTCGTATTCCCCTTTTCCCCAACAATTGAAAATACTCTTTGCTCTTAAGATTTGCGTTCAAAATTAGTTAATTCTTTTATTTTAGATTTATTATGGCCTTTTCCCACAATTGTGTTTTTAAATAATACAAATTTTCTACATTAGCTCTAAGGATAACTTTTTGTAAAACAATGTTTTTTGCGTATTAAAATTAAGTTTTTTAGCTTTTTTTCCCAAAGTATGTCTTTGGCAGCAACACTGATAGGCAGCCAAAAATCGTGGCTCTGTTTGAGGCACGACGAATTCTTTTCAATGTACATACATACTCTCGTTCTTTATGCCTTGCATGTATATGCGATAACGATGTGTTGCATATTTATGTCTGCCTATGTACGTATATACTTATTTATGTTTATGTGTGTGTGTGTGTCAGTACCTTATGCTAAGTGACAAAAAATAAATATCGGCAGCCACAGCCGTGTCACGTACCTGCCGGCCAACGATTCTCAACGCTGCTCCATTCGATTTGTTTCGATTTACGTGCCAAAGCCGACGCTGTTGTTGTTGTTATTGTTGTTGCTGCTGCTGCTGCTGCTGAACATTTTTTCCCAATTATCACGCAAATTCGTTCAACGAGCTGCCGTTTAGCGCTGAGGTCAAACGCACAAGGGACTTGAACGTGCCTTTTGTGCTTCTCAAAGCGTAGAACTCGCATCGAAGCGTCTAGCAAGTGCCAAGTTCGTTGCTTAAGTCATTCGTTTTAAGCAACGATATACGCACAATAGCCGATGCCAAATGCTTGGAATGTCTGTTTATTCACATTACATTGCACTCCCGGAAGTCGTAAGCATTTGACTGGCATTTCAGCATTGGATTTTCGCTACGCTAAGATCTTCCTATATACCCACACGTGGATGCATGTCTATGCATACGTTTAAAGCATGAACTTCGATTTGATATGAGCGGAAAGGTTCTACTGCATATAACAACTGTAATATGTGTGCAAAATTCCATGTAATGTCTGGGATTGTATTCAGCCACAGATACACATACAAGTAAATCTATACTACAGCACTAAGACTTTATAAGTTTATCTATGTATATACAAGAAAGTAAATTTATTTCTTTAATTTATTTATATATAAAACAGTGTGTCCCAAATAGTTACTCTTGTAGGTACCAGAAGCTAGTAAGTTAATAAAATAAATGCGGATGGACATACATGATTATAATTTGTTAAAAAATGTTCCAACATATCTAATATAAACGAATCTAGATAAACAGTCTTTATGGGGTCTTCGACCCTTGGAAATTGACAGACAAAAAATGTACAGGTAAAACTCAAGATGAAACCTATACCATGTTCCAAGACGCTGATTGCAGAATATAGACCTTTATTGTTTAAAACTATTCCCATGTCGTGACAAGTCCACAGTTGTTTTCAAAAGCATAATACAAAAATTCCGAACGTGACAGTCATAAAAGAATTTCCTTAGATATAAGAAAATAGAGAGCGATGTAGACGTGACAAAGAATAAAAGCGGTAAATTGTTAAAGATTTTAAATGAAACGAATTGTAAAACTACTTGGAAATGTGTTAGTTTATAGCAAAATCTTTTCTCTATATCAGACATCTTCTTTACGGATAAAACCGGGTATAAGTGAAATTGTTCTATGCCCTTTTTAATGACATCTTTCTTATTAATGAAAAGGCAACATCTAAAAAAGACATAAACCTTTTTATTAACAAAAGTATAACATCCTTGTTTAGAGAATATCGAACAAATGCATTTAGTTTACACTTTAAATCATTATAATCGACTTATGAAACCCTAGAAGACTGTACTGTTTAGAAGATCACCCGAGTCTAATCTTGAGATACTCTCTTCAGTTCATTTTTTTAATTGACTAACCAAATAACCTTCTTATGTGCTACATTGTTTTTTTTATTATTGACAAATACTTAAAAAATGTTTGTTCCTAAAACTATTATTCAATTTATTACTTAACTCATGACTGCACTGAACATAGTTTAATTTTTTTACATTCATTTATAATTTCTAAGAATATATTGCTTAGAGCTTTAATCTAAGAACTACACATACTCGTACTTGTTGACAACAGACTCCACTCCACGTCTGCTCTAATTTGCCACTCGAGCGATTACGCCGATTAGAATCTGACCATAAATGGCAGGCAAATCCATTATCGAAGCCATACCACATCACATCATGCTCGAATAGTGCAAACATTATACAAATAAAGGGGCCTACGTGATCGCGTGCAGTGCATAAATAAAACTTGATCGGCGAACTCAGCTGTGAGCACAGCACTGAAAACCACAACAGCAGCCAGCGAATCGAGACTATCATTCATAAATTAAAAATTAATGATCTGTGCAGAATCGAACAGCTGACGCATCGAGAAACAAAAACAAAAGGTACAATAAAAACTTCTGCGCGCTACACTTGAAATTATAATTAATTGAACATTTATGCGAAATTCAACAGTAATTTTATGCTAGCGCCGAAATCGAACCGCAAGCACGTCGCGTCGCGTCGCGGCCAATGCTGCAGAGGCGACAATCGGAGCAAAGTCGTGGGAGGGAGCGGGGGCGTTCGGGCCACAGAGCTAGCCAGGGAGCTAGAGCCAATACAGTAGCGACAACAAGCGCGTTAAGTGACACTAAAAATTCAATTTAAATGCGCAAACGCTCAAGAATTTTCAGCGATGACGGTTCGCTGCTAAGCAACAGAAACAGAAACAAAAACAAAGGAGCAACAGCTAGTAGAACAGCAATAACAACAACAATGACAACAGTAGCGCCTCTCGATGCCAAGGACAAAACGGAGCTCATCAGCTGCATATGCGTGAATTTTATACACTACCCTAAGGGCTACTATAGTTATGCATGTAAGTTGGTAACTCCCAATTATCATTAAGATTTCATTATTTAACAACTTAATAACATTTTTGCCACACACAAAAAATAATAGTATTACTCCTACTTATGGACATAAGATAACAATTATTTCTTAGTATGTTCGGACGTAGACGGACTTGAAATGCAAAAACTAATAATAATCAAGTTTAATAAGTTCATTTTTATTTACATGTTTATTAAAGGTTCCTATTAAATTTCGTTATTGCTTCACAACTTGAAGAGTCTGCCGATTAACTAAAGCTGCACTAAATTGGCACATCATACATATTTTGATTAAACACTTAGAAAGAAACCCTATCATATTACACTTGGGACAAAGATAATAGAAATACGTTCGAATACCAACTCGATTTCTCATAAACTAAGACTTAAGTTAAGCTTCATTGTTCAAAGTATTTACAATAATCGAACTAAGTATATTGCATTAGCTTATGTTACAATCAATTGGAAAACTGTTTACAGTTTCCATTCTGTCTTGTATATATTTAGTCAGTCTTTTTATTCTTTTAGAAATATTAGCATCGGCTAATTCAGATTCCATTCATTAGATAATGCCGTTGCATATTTTGTGCCTTCCTTAGTTGCGGGCGTATTTGCTGATTCTATTCTATAATTCTATAAAATATTGAAATTGATAACAATAGATATATTTAAATCATTCCCCTCTACACTTACTTTGCTTATTTCCTGCCCAGTGTGAAGTATGATGCTGTTGTATGGGTATTCATGCTAATCTGTTAGCTTTGGCTTGTGAAACGAATCTATTGAATAAATGAGTTATATAATTAACAAAAATTTACATATACAAGTCTCATTAAATATAAGACCGGTAGCATTTTTGGCTGTCACTTATCAGCAACACATACCTTGTGAGAGTATTTATTGTTATTATTAAATTTAAATCTAGTCTGTGGTATTCCGATCATAGCTCTTTAGTTGTCGAATCTGCAGAAAACGCGTGAAATATTTACCCCTTTTCTTAATATATATGTATATTATTTATAGACTTACTTGAGAGCTGTATAATTTTTTGCTGCTGGCTTTGAAGAGTATATTTATTGAAAATTGATTGTTGTATGCACAGTTGGGGCTGGACGTTCATATACTTACTACTTAGTGCTTTGTGGGCTCTTCCGTATCGTTCTTAATCCAGAGATACATTTTCCCTTGAATGATTTCTTTATTTGGGTCTATTTTCATTAGAATGCCGTGCAGCATCTGAACCACATAAGTACCTGACATGCCAGCTCTTTTATTTCTGAATTTGGCAATCAGCTGAGTGGCTGTCATTGGCTTGCGTTTTAAGGCGCGACGCACAGCCTCCACGGAAATACTATTTTGTCTGCAAAAAGAACGTATTTCGAGAAAATCAACATCCTCATTGGCATTGTTTACTTACTCCAGTCTCTTGTTGGCCACTGCTGGGGGTATTGGGGGCTTGCTCGCTCCCATTTTGACTTTCATCTTTTTTGTGCCATTAGCTGGCGAATCGGATTTGGCATCAGAATCGGAATCTGTACTAGAATCTGAAGAATCACTCTTGGATTCCGTGTCGTCATCATCTGATTCGCTCGACGAATTGGACTGATTTTTATAATGCTGCTTATTTCCTTGCCCATCATCTGACTCCTCATCTCCGTCATCCGATGTGTCATCGCTATCGTCTAATGGGTCGTCGCTATCGTCCGATGAATCATCGCTATCGTCAGACTCTTTACCGCTGACATCCGACTCCTCATCTCTGTCAAATTCCATTTTTTCCTCTTCAGCTGGAAATGTTTCCTCATAATTAACTATTTCGTACGCCCCCTTATTAAGCTCTTCGTCCTCCGAATGGGATGACTGTTCTTCGAAATCAATTTGTTCATCTCTTTCAGAAACCATTTTTGCTATCTTTGCCAGTTTCACTTCCTCTGGATCTTCTTCGCCGTCCTCCTCCTGCTCGTCCCCCCAATGCTCGCGTTTCATCAAATGCATTCTGGATTCCCGCTCTTCTTCTGTCGTCATTATGCCGTTAAACTGCGTAACGTTTTCCGTGCTTTTGAAGTTCATTATTCCAGTTTGGGACTTCTTCACACTGCCCGTGTTATACTTGGATGTCGCTGCTTCTGCCGACATAATAACATCTAGTTTTTCACGAACGAAAATTTCAAATTTTCACTTTTAATTGCAAAAAGCAACTGAGGCTCTCAAATAAAATGATGGATTGTTTTCTGTCAAAGTCCGATAACTTTCTAGCCTTGTCCCAATGCCAATTCATTTGACAGTTGAAGCCCCAAAAATTAATAATGGAATAAAATAAGAACAAAACACAGCCAATAGTGCGATATAGCTATATATTTTTACAAGTAGATTTCTGGAAGATAAGAGTGCTTTGAAACGCTCAATCGTGTCATAAAATCAACAATGACCTATCGATGTTTAATCGATATATTCGGCAAGACGTTGAGAAAATTTATAATGGCTGTACCTATGAAGGAGCAGATAGAAGCAATGTTGCTATATAAAGTCGACCACACGTTCATTATTATGGCGCACTATTTCGTCTTAAAATGGAACTGAGGTACATTTGTTGAAGTTTTTTCGTTGATCATGTGCATAAATTTATTAATTAAATGCACCGTGCATTCTTTAATCAAAATTTTAATTTTGTTGGACCCTCTTTGGTAAAAGCTGCGTACGCCCTTGGATGAAAGGCGTAATATATTATCTATTAGACAGACAATGTTCATCCAAAATCTCATATACTACATATGTGTGGATGTCGAATGATTGTCTTCCTTGCGCAGATATGAAACAAACATTTTTTTTTATAAACAGCTCCTTTAAAATTAGAATCTTCGGATATTTTGTGGCCGATTTAGCACAATCCCCAAAAAGTCAGTCGTCAAGTCACATTAATGACAAACACAATTAATTTTCTTAATACACATTTTATTTTTAATTTTTTGTTTAAATTGAACACTCAACAGTGTTATATAGTTTCCTTAGAGGCTTAAAGAGATGACTTTCTCTTTTTAAAAATGTCAAATCCGCATTGATGACAAGACTTAACTCTCTGGAGTTTGTGACTCTTCAATAATTATAATTTTTCTTAAATTATTGAATTATACATATATGAAACAGTGCTAGTTTCTCATCATATGACTAAAATGTTTTGCCATTATTATATTGTAGTTAATGTAGAAATAAATATACGGAAAAAGTTTTTTTCCTTTATTAATAAATAAATAAAAAATATGTTTGTCTGTAAATGTCGATTTTGGCAGACTATTTAAAAATATTGTTATTTTCGAAACGGAAGAAACGAAAAGATTGTACAGTGTATTACACATTCGACTATGTAGACTTTAAGTGTTTCTCTTGTTAGCTTCATTCAATTTCGTTGCTGCTTCCTGTAGCCATTTAGAATTGTCGTTGAGTAGGCGACATTGAACTTCCCCATTCCCGCGATATAGCACGTACGTACAACAACAACAACAACAGCAACGATAACTACAATAACAACAATATAATCAACAAGCAACACACAAAATGTAGGTAATTGTGCTTCTGTTATAGCCGCTGAGATTGTTGTAGTTGTTTCTGTTTATGTTTCATTATCATTAGACAAATATTAGTTTTAGTTAACAGCAAATACTTTTGTTCTAAAAATAAAACTAGTTATTGTTATTGTTATTTCTTGCCGAAGGTTCCACAACTCATTAGGAATTCTAAAGCGCGACAGAAATAAAAAAGAATTCAAATGTAGCTCAAAAATTTAACAACAACAAAACGTACTTGCAGCATTATGTAACGTTTTTCGCTACAATTGTTGTATCTCTACAGAGTTGAAAGACTTAGAAATGTTGTGGCATTCCAAGGGGATTGCGCATACGCAGCGTTGGCAAAGGCGAAAGGAGCTTTCGCTGTCACTTGCCATGCGCCATCCGATGATTTATGATCTGAGCGTTGTGCCTGGCCAGCAATGCGGAACCAAACGCTTCGATCAAGCTGCCGCCAAAGATGCTGCAAATTAGCAAAGCACACAGAATAAACGCCTGGAACGGGCGTTTGGCGTTCTGCCTTCAGCGTTCAAAGTTCGGCGTGCGGTGTTCGATGTTCGACGTTCGACGTTTAGCGGCAACTTTAGCGCTCAGGTTCTTTAATGATGACAGTAAGCGACGCGCTCGAATCAATTAAGACTAATTCCAGTTCTCGTGGTGGGTATCTTTGGATGCTGGCATCAGGCCAAAAATCAAAATCATTAATCACACTTTTGCCGCATTGGTGGTCAACGATTTGGAGCTCTGCGATCTGTGGTTGGGTGCGGGGAAAAATGCGAAATACTACAAATAATTTGTCATTGAATGACATAAGAAAAACAAATAACAAAACAACGTAATTTACACATGAGCCCCTGAACTTTTTAGGCGTAATAACTCAAATTAAACACAAATCAGAACATTGAGAAGCATTTGGACGGAGATTTAAAAGCGATCATTTTTTTTACCATACTCTAAATTAACTCTTGCATTAAATTGTTGTAATTAAAACTATTCAGAAACACTGAAATAAATATGTCCCGAAATATATCCAGTCTTTCACATTGAAAACACGTGCCCTTTTTAGAATCAAATGTAAAGAATAGAAGAGTGAACAGATCTCGCTTAGTTATGTATTTTTTGTTTCTGTTTGTTAATTACTTTTGACAAAAATTCAAAAAATCAAATTTAGTAATTAGATACAAGCATTTCTCTTCTTTTCTATTTTAACTTTATTCTATTATTCTAACACTTCTTATAAGCAACGAAATATGATAATTCGCTTGCTTATTAAGTAAGTTTATTTTTTAACTGCGACAACACAAAAATTAATCAACAAATTTGTTGCCCTTTTTTCTAAATGCTTACCTTTTTTTATCACCTAATATTTTAACTAATTAATATATTTCAATAAGTTATAAATCAAACAAATTTCACTTCAAAAAAACGTTATTTCGTTGCTAAACCTGTTTAGTAAAAATATTTTTTCTCGATATTTGTTATAATCGGCGTAGAAATTGCGAAATGTTATTTTTAGACTAATCGGTAAAGAACTTTTCCAAATAATATGCGTCATTAATGAACAAAAATTTTGCGAATTTGAAACTCTCTAAATTTGCTTAGACTGGATCATAATATGGGGCAATCAAAGTCTAATTAAGATAAGATAAATATCATAAATTGATTTATATTATGAGCACATTTAAAGAAATTTATTACAGGAATTTCCAATTTAAAGAGACCCTTTGCATTTTTAGCTATGTGCAAAATTTGAAATCTATATCTCATCGGAAAGTCTGCTGTGAGCTTTGTCCAAATACTTATTTTGTCTAGTGTATGCGTGTGTGTATAAAGTTCAAAATGTAAAACACAGATTAGCATCAAAATCAGGCACTTAACGCCACATTGATGACCGCCTTCGGGCATGACCCGGAAGCGGGCCAAAGAAGCGACTATTGTTGTTTCTGTTGTTGTTGCATACAATAGTGCGTGTACGGCTCCATCAGCTACGCCCCAATGAACAGTGTCCATTATAGCTACCACTATTGTTGTTGTTGTTATTGGTGGCGTGTAGCTATTACTTAGCATATTACATACCAATATTTATGTATAACGCTTGCGGAGCATTGTCATTATTTTTGCCATTAGTAGCTGCGATGTTGCCTTTGCCTCGGAACAATCAATGCATATAGTACAGTAATTAACTCACACTTACATGTACATACATACGAGTATATAATATAAAAATTATTCTGTTCTTCTTTTTTAGAGTTTGCGCCACTTGCTTCACTTATCTGTGGTGGCTGTGTTGCTTTTCATTAATCGCTGTGAAGTGACTCTGGCAATTATTGAATGGTGTTGTTGTTGTTGGTTACAATTGTTGTTGTTGATGTTGTTGTCGCCATTGTTCTTTTCATTTGTTAATGCGATTTATTGACAGTGGCTGCTTCGACATCAGGGGTATTGATTTTTTTGCTGAGTGCTTTTATTTATTTCTATTTTTCTATGCTTCATTCTTTTGGTTATGGTGTTGAAGTGCTCTTTGTTATGTTGTTATTGTTGTTGTTGTAGCTTTTGTCTGCTTAAAGTGTTTTCGGCTTATTGTCTTTAATGCAGATAATAAATTAATTAAATCCCATTACAAAGTAGTTCTGTTTCATCTATAAAAGTTTTCGAGTTCTATTCTCAGCTTCCGCATTCAATTATTAAATTTCAATTTTTTATTTTTTATTAGGTGACAATAAATGGAAAATAGAAACACAAATCTATAGATGTTTATACGCGATATGGTTGAGATGCAAAGTGTTTCCATTTTCAAAATCATTAAAAAGGGAACACGATGAATACAAACAACGTTCTGTTGTTTTTGCTGATAACTATATCTATTGATTTTAGCCTAATAAATCTGCAGAAATGGTGTATTGAATTTAACATATACACGAATATATACATTTTTGACCTAATAAATCTGCCAAAATGGTGTATTGAATTCGATATATGTATAAGCATCGCTTGCTTTGTCGGAGGCCTACGTTCATCTCATATTAGATGTATTGGGCTTAATTTAGTTTTAAATACGTACATACATAAATTTCTAGTTTGTATTTATAGTATTACAATAGTATCAAACATTTTTAAGAAAAGTTATACTATCGATATCATTGATACTTAACTGTTTGTGGCTGTGGTTGAGAAAAGAGGTCTCCATTTGGCCAGTGACGAAATAAAAAGAAGCAGCCGCCCAAACGTAAAAAACATCTACACAGAACAAGTATCCTTGAGATACTTATAAAGAAACATGTTTTCATTTGACTTATCATTCTACCTTTTATAAATTGGCCAAAATATGCAATTAAATAGAAATCATTTTGCTAATTTCGTTTCATTGCTTTATATATGCCATCGACTTAACAACAATAATCTTTGACTTATTTTTAGAATGTTTTTAAAAATAAATCTCAAAGCCGGATTATGACTTTATTTTTAAATGCTCGACATAATAGCATACAATTATCTGTTGGAGAGGAACGTCTCCGAGTATTTGTTAGTTTGTGTCATTAGCTTCCGCAACTTTGAAAACTGTAGGAAGCCAAAGACTCGCAGTGTTTATGGCATGACACGCGTTTACATAGAAACTGATTGTATAATGCCCATCATAACTTTTTATTGCTTCACTTCTAACTGACGAAAACAAAAATGAAAATGAAAACTTCCTGCCCCAATCATACAGAACTTATACTTATGTGTCTATAAATAGACATACCGATAGATAGATGTACACACATAAATATAGCTGAGCCTTGCGTGTGGAGAGTAGATTTTTCATCTCCTTTAGGTCAAACAATCTAACAAGTGACTGAGCCATTGAAATTTTTTATTTTTACTTTTGTTTTGTTATAATTATAGTTTTAATTAAAAAAACTACAGGAGTTCCTCTACTTAGCTAAATAGTTAATAGCCCAATAATCTGACAAACAAACTCTTCTGAAATATTACAACAACTACTTGTTAATAAGGTAGACAGATGACCATGAAATATATTTAAATTATATATATGTAATAATATCAGTAGATATAGTAATATACTTAGTAGATAAAACTCAAAGCTTTTCAACGTTTCATATTTTGCTTTTAAACCACTTAAAGGTCATTTATTGAAAATTAGAACACTAATTAAAAATCGGACCAAAATCAGAGACATCAGACAATTTGTATTTAAACCGAAACAGTGTTCAACATACTTTAACATTTAAATTGTATTACAATTTTGTTTTGAGCAAATTTTTGAAAATATTTTAGTGCCTAAGATCTATATACTAATAACAATTCATAATGTTGTACCACAGTATAGTCCAGTAGAGCCCACAAAGTCTGTATAGTGTGCTGAATACAACCCATTTGGCGTTGATTTAATTAAGAAATCATTTATCCTATCATAAATCATTAATTTCAAAGAATGGAAAGTCACTTCGTGAATTGTAAATATACTTGTAAAACAATGTAGAAAAAGCCTCAACATCTAGTAAGGAATACTTCCTTTAAACATTATTTATATGGAGTATTAAAAACATGAAATACTTAGAGTTAAGTGAATGATTTAACATATAAAAATTACATTTTAAATTTATTTGCCAGATTATCAAAGTTATGCTATGTATGTACTAAGTCTCTTGGGGCTCGGGCCTAAGCTCAATTGAATTTGAAATAACACGCATTATTACAGATGAAGTTAAAGTTCAGCCTAAATGTGTTATATCAGTGTATTTAATCTCCAATATTCAAAATCAAATGTTGTTCCTCCAATACCTTAACCATTTCGATGCCAATACAATAATATACCTATTGACCTTTTTACATCAGAACTTGTTACAAAAAAAAAAAAGAACAACAAACAAAAGTTGGGTCAAGTGCGCCACGTGTGGACAAATGACATGTCCATTAATTGCTTAAATGTTTAATTGTATTAATTAAAATTTATTGCTAAAGGTGAGCGTTTAAACTTTGAAGTCATTGGCTGCTGGAGGCGTGTAATAAATCAAATGGCCAGCTGTTGACAAAGCTAATTGCCAATTGGAAGTGAAGTCGAAAGTAAGCTGGGTGTGGGCCACATTGGTATTTATTTTAAGGCTAATTAGCATACACCCAGAATTGGACACTCCATTTAGCACACGGTGATCGACACCCACCACTCCAAACGGATTCTGGCTCTTGGCTTTCGGCTGTCGGCTGACGACGCTTGCTAAGTTGGTCAATGGGTTATTATGATAATGAACTCAATTATGGCACAAAAGAGCTTATAGCGAACGAATGGAAACCCCAACAGAATGAACGAAAATTAGCCGGTCCGCCATCCAATCGGCAAGTGCGAAGCCATTGTGTAATTCTTTTGACCTTCGAGTGCGACCACTGCCTAGAAGATTTCACAGCCCACAGTCCGAGCCATGCTTAGTCGTCGGAAAACTTGGCTTAGTTCATTCTGCTTAACACAATGCAAGCCACAGAATAAGACACCCAAAAAAGCTGAAACCACAACCGAAACAGAAGAAGCAACAACACCAAGAAGAACCTCTGGAGGTCATATTGTTGTTGTCGTACGAGCTACCGATCGAGTTGAACGAATCAAGTTTATAAAGTCGGGCATAATTCCATGCCTTAATTACAGCCACACCGGTAGCCGATGTACATATGAAACGATAAAAATCGCAAAGCTAATTAAAATTAAAGGCGCCGTCACCCGGCGATATCTTTCCTTTGCACTGCGGGTGCAACACACGGGGCGTATACGGAATGTTGTGAGGCGTTAAGGCCAACCGGCAATCTGATTCATTTGGCCTGTATATGTCAGCGTTGAGTGAACGCCAGGCCAAACGAATTAATTTCTAATTTGAGCCTCAAAGAGCGTAACACTTCAGGCAATAACTACAGCCGCATACACAAACATACATACATCGAGTAAGTATACTAAAAAAGCAAAAAAGCAACTGAGTTCAAGTACAACAATTATTTGAAGGCAAATGCTCAAGAAACGGCAGAAACCGGCAACAAATATTACCGTCTACTAAAAAAATTCTGCACAAATTGTCAAAGCGAAAAAATAAATATGTACAAAAATAAAACAAAAACCTACTTACTTATGCCTGAGAAAACACATCGAAACCTTAATACCCTTGCCTCATCAATGTTATAAAGCCTAGTTATTGTGATTTCTATTTTTTGTCAAAATTTGTTTAGTTTCTCAATTAAATGTTTATTTATTTAGCATTCTTGTGTTTGTCATACAATTTTCAACATGTACAAATGAAGCAATTTATACGTAAATTAGACTTAAGCCAAACATATTTTTGATCAAAATTATACAAAGGATCTTTTCTTAAGTGTCTATTCTTACAGGTAGTTGCAAACGTACAAGGTTTTGAAAATATTAATATGTATATCACATACATTTAATTCTCAGTCAGAGGGGTCTTAAAGTACTTGATATTATTCATTTTTACTAAAAATAAAATACAAAATACAAATTTTGAATTTATTTATGTACTTTTATCGATCAAATCAGATTTGATTCAAAAAGAAATCATAAGCCAAAAATAGTAAAATTTATATTAATTACTAATTCTTGGATGTAATTTAATAATAAGCATATAAATTAATATGTGTAAGCAATTCAACATATTGATTTATAATACTATCTGAAATACTTAATATTAAAAAGAAAACATTTATAAATTGATTAAAAACCTAAATCCTAAACTTCTGCCATTTGATCTCAATAAATATGATCATAAATATGGTAAATAAGATATTAGAACTGTACATTGTACTTTATCGTAGAATTTTCAGAAGGCTACCGTCAGGAAATATATAAACACATTGTTTTAAAATTTATACAAGCTCAGAACCAAGACTTTAGGAAAAGAAATCCTTGGGATAGCCTTAACCAAATAAAGTGTTCAATATACATAGATGGGAAATCAATTGGATTTATAAAAATTATTAAATAAATTTCTTATGAGCCTTGGTCGACTACTAGTTCATGAACCACCGTTTGTATTAAAAACTAATGATTTATTAAAATATTTCTCAAAGAATTAAAGCAATATTCAATACACTAACGCTTCAGCATCATACAAATTATTTTGAAAACTCTGTTTTTAAATTAAATTGGAATTTGCTCGTTTGGTTTCAAATGCATTCGCAAATTTTTAATACTTTTTTGGCAATGGGGTAAAACAATTTGACTCAGTCAAGCTACCGTAATTGTATTATTATTGATTTCAAATGTGTATTCTTGGTGTTTGCACGAAATCAATCAACGAATTGTTGTATACAGATAAATAACAAAAAGGTATTAGGCACTGAAAACATGCCACTGACCTTCATTGCAAAATATGTGTGCGAACTTGAGGTTTCGGACGTAATTACTCTGAAATACTGTCCGACTCAAAAAATTATCTAAATTCCGTACGTAATGCAAATAACGCTCACCGCTGCCTCGAAAAGTCCAACGACTCGCACACTAAATAGGGCGTTAATTCGATTCGTGAGAGGCCAGAGAAACTAAAAAACGATAAGACCGAACAATTTGTGACAAACAATTTGATTAAATTAGACGTCTTTCATATACATATGCATATACATATGCATATACATAGTACATAAGTATGTAAAAGGGTTATTCTATTTTACAGGAATTTTACAAACATCAAGTATTCTCCCCTTTAGGTGTTTCATTCTTATAAATTATACAAAAAGTATTATGGCGATCGAACTTTAATTCAACGTTTTGTATAATTATTATTTCTGAGTTTTACAAAAAAAAAAATTTAAATATAATAGTGCATAGTGTAAATTTTGATTATTTTATGTCACTAAGGCCTTTCAAGCAGTTGCTTTTATGTGCATGCATCGATAATTTTGAAACCCTTGGTGTGGTGGGTAACCAAACACATGCATATGTAGATTATTCAAAAGATCTAGTTCATTTATTCGATCACTTTCCATGCCGAAAAACGATAGCATTTTTTCATCGATTATCATTTTGAAGCACGCTGTTAATATTTTATTGTGCGACTAAATTTGTATGATTTTTTAAATTAAACATGGGCGCCGACGACAGGATAGACCTCAACTGTGACAATTGCCAAGATGCAGCCAAACCCAGTCAAATATATTCGGCCCGGAAAGCGTTTGGCGGCCGAAAAGTGCTGGATATTCTTCAAACTGTAACACATCGAAGCGTAAGTACAGGCGCATGTACACGTGAGAGATAGCGTTTAACAAATTTTACATTACTTCAGATACCGCTCTCCATACCTGTTAAGCTATGCGCTCCCTGCACCTCATCGTTGCTCTGCACTGCGACTTTAATTGAAAAGTTTCAGAAATTGGTTAATACATTTTCGAAAGAAAATCCACTTGCAGAAGGAGTTGACGTCGTTACTGATGCTGCAGCAAAGCCCAAGGTCAAACCAAGAAACATGAGATCAAAGAGTATGGTTGTAGAGAGAACCCCGATATTGGACATTAGTCTCAAAAAACAGCCACCAAAGTCTCCTGCTAAGCAAAAAATGTCGGAAAGTGTTGCAGATAAAAACAAATCCGAAGATCAGCATGTGACGTGCGACGAAAGTCAGCTAGATGGCATCAAGATTATACCGTCCAAGGAAACCCTCAATATTACATCAGAAAACCAAATTAAAAAACTCGCCGTTCTTAACCCCTACGCTTCGAACGACGATATAAATGTTAACGAATCTGCAAGTGAGGACGAGTTTGTTGAAAAAGAGGATAACTCGATAAAGTATAAAAAACCCTCTCTTTACAAATGTAAGCTCTGCGAATTCCAAACCAAAGTTCCAGGGGTCTTGAAAAAGCATTTGATGGCGGAGCACGGTCAGAAAAGACCTCGCGTACATGAATGCACTCTGTGCCCGAAAGCTTTTGGACAGGAAAAATCATTAAAAAAGCATTTAGCTACCCACGATGAAAATGAACTCACGAGAACCAACGTGGCCAAACCAGAAATAGTTAAAACACCAGTTGCTACCACAAATTCCCATCCGGAAAAGGAGTCTGCGGCAGTCAAGAGTCCAATAAAGGAAAAGCTGCATGAACATGAAAAGACTGTTGAATATACATTTGCTGTCAATGGCACCGACTCCTCTACTCCGAACCCTTCCAAAAGAACAGGACGCGGCTTGGAATTCAAGTGCGATATATGCGATTCGGATTTAAAGTCTGTCAAAGCAATGAAAGATCACATGAAATCGGCTCATGACATATCCGCCATAAAATTATTTGTATGCGAATTGTGCCATTCAAAGTTTTCAACGAACCAACAATTGAAGAAACATTGCACCAAAAAACATATGGCTACAGCAGCAGACCCACCTGATACCAGTGCAAACGGTGAAAAGGGATACGAAAGCCCCGATGTCATTGAAGCCATGAACTCAGATGTAGAGGAGATGCGATTGGCCTCATCCAGCAAGAAGGAACCAGAAACGAAAGAAGCTCTTTTCAAGGTGCCAAAGCAGAAGCGTGCGAAGACATCCTTCAATGAAGCGCAAGAAGAAATTAATGCATGCGTTGCCAATTCAATTGCTACTACAGAAAAGGCCAGCAAGCGTAAAACTAGTGAGAATATGAATACATCACTCACCCAAAGGATTGAGCAAATTGATCAAACTGAAGCATCACCATCGAAACCAAATGAAAACAACCTTAGCAATTCGTGGAAGAAAATGGTCGAATCGCCAGTAGTCCCCAAAATAAAGCGGAATAAGCCAGAGGCCGATGAAGGGCCCGCAAGCCCATCCAAGAAAAAGAGAAAGGAGAAAAAATATTCTGAATCGTCAGTCGTCGATTTGCCCGACGAAGTTAATATCGATGTGAAGCCCCATAAAAAGGAGTCGTTGAATTCAGATGTCGGGGAGATGGAGTGCTCCATTTGTGGAAAAACAGTGAAGTCGCGGACTCGCCTTGACTCGCACATCCAGAAAAAGCACAAAAACATCCTCAAATGTCCCAATTGCAAAAAGTTCTTCAAATCAGTCGAATATGTCTCACACTTTAGTTTCAGCTGTAATTCAGATAAAGGTTTTCCTTGTGGTGTCAAGATATGCAAGAAAGTGTTTCACAGAGCTGAATACCTGAGTGGCCACTTAGAGAAGAAGCACGATTACATCTGAAGCATACTCGCAGATCAATTAAATGCTCTGACAACTTGGTAACGAAAAGATAAAAAGTTTTTTGTTGATCAATATATACATATATATAATTTTTGTTTTATTTTCCTGGCAATCGAACTTTAATATAATGTTTTGTATAATTTTTATTTCTGAGTTTTACAAAAAGAAAAAATTTTTAAATATAATCGCATATTTCAAATTTTGATTATTTTATGTCGCTAAGACCTTTCAAGCAGTTGCTTTTATGTGCATGCATCGATAATTTTGTAACCCACCACACCATAAGGCAACTAAACACATGCATATGTAGTTTATTGAAAAGATCTAGTTCATTTATTCGATCACTTTCCACGCCGGTGCTATCGTTTTCATCGTTTATCATTTTAAGCCCGCTGCCAATATTATATTGTGCGCCTAAATTTGTATGATTTATTAATTAAACATGGGCGCCGACGAAAAGGTAGAGCTCAACTGTGACAATTGCCAAGATGCAGTCAAACCCAGTCAAATGTATTCGGCTCGGAAAGCGTTTGGCGGCCGAAAAGTGCTGGATATTCTTCAAACTGTAACACATCGAAGCGTAAGTACAGGCGCATGTACACGTGAGAGATAGCGTTTAACAAATTTTACATTACTTCAGATACCGCTCTCCATACCTGTTAAGCTATGCACTCCCTGCACCTCATCGTTGCTCTGCACTGCGACTTTAATTGAAAAGTTTCAGAAATTGGTTAATACATTCTCGAAAGAAAATCCGCTTCCAGAAGGAGTTGACGTCGTTACTGATACTGCAGCAAAGCCCAAGCTCAAACCAAGAAACATGAGATCAAAGAGTATGGTTGTAGAGAGGACCCCGATATTGGACATTAGTCTCAAAAAACAGCCATCAAAATCTGTTACTAAACAGCCATCAAAATCGGCTAAACAGCCCACAAAATCTTCTGCTGAACAGCCACCAAAATCTCCTGCTGAACAACCACTTGCAGAAGTAGTTGACGTCGTTACTGATACTGCAGCAAAGCCCAAGCTCAAACCAAGAAAAATGAGATCAAAGAGTATGGTTGTAGAGAGGACCCAGATATTGAACATTAGTCTCAAAAAACAGCCATCAAAATCTTTTACTAAACAGTCATCACAATCGGCTAAACAGCCCACAAAATCTTCCGCTGAACAGCCACCAAAATCTCCTGCGGAACAGCCACCAAAATCTCCTTCCAAGCAAAAAATGACGAAAAGTGTTGCCGACAAAAGCAAATCCGAAGATCAGCGTGTGGCATGCGACGAAAGTCTGCTGGATGGCGTCAAGATTATACCGTCCAAGGAAAACCTCAATATTACATCAGAGAACCAAAATAAAAAACTTGCCGTTTTCAAACTCTTCGCCCCGACAAAGGCTTTCATTATGGACGAAACTGAAAGTGAGGACGAGTTTGTTGAAAAAGAGGATAACTCGATAAAGTTTAAAAGACCCTCTTTTTACAAATGTAAGCTCTGCGAATTCCAAACCAAAGTTTCAATGGCCTTGAAAAAGCATTTGATGGCGGAGCACGGTCAGAAAAGAACTCGCGTCCATGAATGCACTGTGTGTCTGAAAGGTTTTGGACAGGAAAAAGCATTAAAAAAGCATTTAGCTACCCACGATAAAAGTGAACTCACAAAAACCAACGTGGCCAAACCAGAAATAGTTAAAACACCAGTTGGTACAACAAATTCCCATCCGGAAAAGGAGTCTGCGGCAGTCAAGAGTCCAACTAAGGAAAAACTGCATGAGAATGAAAAGACTGTTGAATATACATTTGCTGTCAATGGCACCGACTCCTCTACTCCAAACCCTTCCAAAAGAACACGACGCGGCTTGGAATTCAAGTGCGATATATGCGATTCGGATTTAAAGACTGTTAAAGCAATGAAAGAGCACATGAAATCGGCTCATGAAATATCCGCCATAAAATTATTTGTATGCGAATTGTGCCATTCAAAGTTTTCAACGAACCAACAATTGAAGAAACATTGCACCAAAAAACATATGGCTACAGCAGCAGACCCACCTGATACCAGTGCAAACGGTGAAAAGGGATACGAAAGCCCCGATGTCATTGAAGCCATGAACTCAGATGTAGAGGAGATGCGATTGGCCTCATCCAGCAAGAAGGAACCAGAAGCGAAAGAAGCTCTTTTCAAGGTGCCAAAGCAGAAGCTTGCGAAGACATCCTTCAATGTAGCGCAAGAAGAAATTAATGCATGCGTTGCTGATTCAATTCCTACTACAGAAAAGGCCAGAAAGCGTAAAGCTAATGAGAACAGTCTGGAGCTGGATACTTCACTCACACAAATAATTAAGCGAATTGACCAAACTGAAGCATCACCAGCGAAACCAAATGAAAACAACCTTAGCAATTCGTGGAAGAAAGTAGTCGAATCGCCAGTAGCCCCCGAAACAAATCTGACTAAGCCAGAGGCTGATGAAGGGTATCCCGGAAGTCCATCCAAGAAAAAGAGAAAGGAGAAGAAATATTCTGAATCGTCAGTCGTCGATTTGTTCGATGAAGTTAATGTCCATGTAAATCCTCATAAAAAGGAGTTGCTGAGTTCAGATGTCGAGGAATCGGATTGCTCCATTTGTGGCAAAACAGTGAACTCGCGCTCTCGCCTTGACTCGCACGTCCAGAAAAAGCACAGCAACATCCTCAAATGTCCCATTTGCAAGAAGCTCTTCAAATCAAGGGTCGAATATGTCGCACACTTTAGCTTCAGCTGTGATTCAGATAATGGTTTACCTTGTGGTGTCCAGAAATGCAAGAAGGTGTTTGAAGGCTCCGAATATCTGAGCGGCCACCTAGTGAAGAAGCACGATCACATCTGAAGCATACACGTAGATAAATTAAATGCTCTGACAACTTGATAACGAAGCAAGAAAAACTATGCTTTATAAGCATTTTCCAATTCTGTTATTTTAGTTCCGATTTAAGTTTTAGTTCTGTTTGTATCACGTGGTACAAAACCATTTGTTCAACAATAAAAACAATGAAATTAAATTTTACATTTTTGCCTCTTTTTGTAACCAAATGTATAAAGTGCATTCAATAATTGGAAGTTAATCATAATTTAATTTGTTATTACTTATGAATCAAATCCATTACAAAGCCCCAATTGCGAAACAACTGCCTACTGTAAAGAACTCAAAGAACTACCAAAGATAATCAGTATTAGCTGTAGCATAACTCATTCCTAGAAATGATTTTCTTACTCATTTCTGCTGATTGTCCATTTATTATATCCAACATTCATTATATCCTCCAACAAAACACGATTTTTCAGTTATAAATTGTTTATAAGAACCAGTTTCCATAATCCTGAACACTATACAAAAATTATAATGAAGCTTAACCCAAAAATTGGAAGCACAAAAATGAGGTAACATATGGAACATATTCAAAAAGGGTGGGAGAGTGGTGAATGGAGTAATAACAACAAGGATAACAGTTTCTCTAATTACACTTTACTACTTATTGCAATAGGATAGCTAAACTTAAAGCTCTAGGAGACTCCTGTCTGATCGCAGGAGTACTCTGTCATGTGCTGCCGCTCAGGAGGCTTTACTGTGGATCTCCGCTTGGGCAACTTTCATAACATCCAAGGCACCCTTTTTGATCAATTCCTCGGCCAAAGTCTGGCCCAGATTATTGCTTCGTACATAGAGCTCCCGACTGTGGCAGGTGTGCTGATAGAGGCCACAGAACAGATTGTCCACATCCTCGATTAACATTGAGAGCTGTTGTGGCTGGGGCTGCTCCTCATCCGCATAGTCAAACATTTTCACGGTTTTCTGCAGAAACGGACATTTCCCGTGACTGGTGCTCGCACCACTCTCATTGCTGCTTTTGGAAAATTCCATGCCACTACCCTGATGCAGATCAGCAAACGGACATTTTGATGCGGCTGCTGGTGCTGTTGTTGTTGCCATTACTGCTGACCGATCTGGTTCATCGCCGCTGCTGCTATTTGTCGCTAAGGCTGCGTTGTGCGTGACAGGGCATTTGCCTGCCATGGCATATGAGACTTTCGTCTCTTTATTAACAAATGGACACTCGCCCATGAAATCCTGACCCACATCGATTTGGAGCGGGCAGTGGGCAGCTGTATTGGCATTGCTGGAGTCCGCATCGCCACCACCATCACCGCCAGCCAGATTACTACCGTCGGCAGCACCAACGACGGGACATTTGCGCGCCAAATCAATGTGCCGCTCAATCAGAGCCTCCATATTATAGCCGACGACATCAGCGTCGTCGTTGATGACCGGCGGACTGCCTTGCTGTCGGGGACTATTCGAGTTAGATGACGAGCCAGAACCGGCGCCAACGCCATTGCGAGCACGCTTTGCAGCCGGCGGTGAGTGGCAGCTGTTACTATTGTCGTTGCCGTTGTGATTTCCATTCGCATTGCCATTGTTCTCCTGCTGCTGCAGCTCCTCTTCATTCGACGTATTATTTGCATCGGCAGCACGTTTTCGTCGTTGGGACTCATTTAGGGCGCACGCCAGATGCTCGCGAATTTCGATGCGACCATCCAGACTCCAAACAGCACCCGTAAGTGATAACCCAATGTCCTCCGTTGCATTGTCATTAAAGGGTCCACCCTTAAGATTGCTCCAAACGGCCACTGGAGCGGAACAACCGCCACCCAGCGTCTTCAGAAAGCTGCGTTCTGCCAAAATCCGGCAAGTGGTGGACAAGCACATCAGTTTTTGCAGCATGGTCAGTATTAGAGTGTCGTTTGCGCGACACTCGACGGCCAATGCCCCTTGGCCCACAGCATAGAGCAGATCGGTCGGCTCTAGCACCTGGCTGATACGACTCATCCAACCCATGCGCACAAGTCCAGCTTGTGCCAGTATAATGCCAGCGAATTTCGAATCTTGCGCATCCAGTTTGGCTAGCCGCGTATTCAGATTGCCTCGAATATCACACACCACCAGATGCGGATATTGTCTGCGTATTTGTGCCGTGCGTCGCAAAGAGGAAGTGCCTGAAAGAGTTTTGCATTTTACTTTAGGCAGCACAAGTATTATTATAACAACTCACCAATCACACTACCCGATGGAAGAGTACCAATTGTGTGACCCTTAAAGTTTTCCCGCAGGACAAGCGCATCGCGAGCATCCTCACGCTCTAACACTGCGCCTACAGCCATGCCCACTGGCAATGCAGTAGGCAAATCCTTGAGCGAATGCACCACAAAGTCAACGCCACCATTACGCAATGCATCCTCCAGATCTCTGGTAAAAAGGCTCTTCTCCCCTATCTTCGGCAGTGAAACATTCAGCACGCGATCCCCAATGGTGGACATCGTATCTGCGAATAGAAGGGGTGACATATAATCAATTATCTTTCACAATGACGGATTCACAATGGTAGTGTTTGTGTGTATTGTTCTAATAAAAACAGACTTCCCTAGTCTTTATGGCAGCAATTTAGAGGAACAAGCACGCGAGTTCCGCTGCCTCCCTCACATTTTCTTCGTTAACTTGAACCACTATACAAGTATACATATATTCATATCAAACATTTTATCAGCACGCAATGCTAATGAAGTCGAGTCAACTATTTTGCTTATCATCGCAAGTGTTTTGTCTTGGAATTTTGTAACACACCATTCCACACAAACGTTCTTATAGTATTACCTACTATATATACCTATATACTGGATAGGTAATATATTTCAGCATATCTATATAAAATCGTATGTACATACTAGGATGTTATTACGTTCAGAATAAAAAATGTTTTGGTAGCGTATACAGGAATTACAAAACGAAAATATTAAAATTATATTCAAATTGCAAACAGAATTAGCGGTCACAAATACTTAATTTGATTAATATAACAAATTGAAGTCAATTTACTGATATTGAAAGTGGAATTTGGGAATATCCCAATACTTTCTATTTGTAAAAGATATTATTACAGTCAAACCCATTTTTAAACATTAGCTATTGATTGATTCTTATAACATTTTTTCTATTCATCTCCCTGCATTTTAATTAATTCACTTTCCATCCAAAGACTTACTTGAACTCAAATATAATATATGTATGTATAATAAATATAAGTATAATATTTAATAATTGTTTGACCTTTTTTGTTTTTCCATTGATCGTATGTACGTATTTATTTGTATTAATGCTTGAGAGTAAAGTTCACCCACCAAGCTTATTAAGTCATCTGAGATTTCAACAAGAAGAAGCGAAATTGCGATTGTAGCCAGACTGTGTAATCCCAGAATTTGACACGATTAAAGCTCAGTTTTTTCTTTCCGATCCGTGCAACAACAAGATATAAAAATAACAGCTAAAACAACAAATAGACATTGACATTGAGCAAAGTTTGGCAAAGGCACGAAAAGAGCTACAACAATAGCCAGTAATCAGTTGGAAACTTTGGCATGCCACAATCATTTCACCCAAAATGTATACAAATGTATGTACTCGTATACTATACGTACATATGTACGCGTATATGTGTATGCCTTATAGATAGATACGAGTATATGTATATATGAATGTGAAATACGCATGGGTTTGCATTTTAATTAAATTTAACCCCGGAGGAAACTGTTTGCTGCATTCGGTTATATTTAATACTATCTTCAGCACGCGTTTTCATTATCTGTCTACTGATATAGGGAATTCGGTACGCTAAAATGTCGTGTGTCATGCCGATACGGGCAATCATATCGTCATATGAAGCATGACTTAGGTAAAACTCTAAGTAGTCCAGTGCATTTAATAATTGTTTATTTTTTTCAGGTCGTATGCACATGTGCGAATTGAAGTGCATACAACGTATGTATGTACATTCATACATACATATGTATGTACTCATATTTCTCAGTTTGTTTATATTAAAAAACTGCATGACGTTAACTTTCACTTACGTATCTCGAACTTTTGCTTTGGATAAAGCTTCTGCAATCGTCCGATGACATGTTTGGTTTGAATGAGCGCCAACTGCAAGATAATTGCGATAAACAAATTAGTTATTAGTATGTATAATTGCTTAAATACTTCAATTGTTAAGGCAATTAAGTGGCAAGGAGTGGAGTGTGGATATTGCAATGCAAACTCAAATTCTAATTTATACATTTAAGTGAAACGGCAATTTGAGTGACACCAGCTGAATGCAAAGTAATACACAGCCAATGAGCTGGCACAGCGTTTGAATAAATATGCATAAGTATTTACATATACATATATGGCAAAGGTGGTCAATAATTTCAGAATAAATTCATTTGAAAACATGGCTAACTATATAAAAGGAAAGCAGAGAGGACTCTATTATTTGGTTGTATGAACGCCTAAATAGTACTTTATAAAACTATTTATTATATTGAAATTTCTAATACAACAGTATTGAAAAGGATGATTTATCAACCTTTAGAAAAACAAACCGATTTTCATAGAAAACTCTTTAAACATTGACTTTGTCACATCCGGCTATGCTTTTACTCCCGGGCATATAGTATTATAAAGTTTGGTTTTAAAATTTGGCATTGAAAGTAATTAACACTAAATAAGAAGCAACCGCCCCAAATTACGTTCTGAATCGAACATTTATTGCAACTTGTAAATTGGCCGTGCAAATGTCGCTGAACGAGTGTGGCCTTGAAACTGGTTTCGTGCGCAAAGGTAAAAAAAATATACTATGTGTTAGGCCCATTGACGGTGTAATTAAAAAGCCACTAATCAAACGGCTGACGGCTGACACTACGGGTGTCTACACCGCAAGACACGCTTTTGTACGTATAACTTTAAGTTGCTGATGCCGCCCCCTCTGCCCGCATCCGTAGCAACAACATCCGCTGCCATTTGTTCAACAACGGATCAAGAGTGCGTGCGACGGACGCCGATCTTTGTACAACGCTGGGCTTGGCGGTGATTGTATAACATTAACCAAAAAAACACTAATACCAACGCATGAGCGTCAATAACAACAACATCAACGACGACGGTGGCGGTGGCAACAGCAACTGGCAAGCAGCAGAGAGCAACAAGTCTTGCATAAATGCGAGCACAACAGCAAAACTCAAAACAGTGAATAAATCTGCTTGAAATTCAAATGAAGGCAAAATGTACTTGACTTAAATCGAAAATGTGTACATTCATATAACCTTTCGCTAGACCTTACCTCGCTTTTGCGTGAACCAACACGTATGACTTTTTCCTGCTGGGCCGTTGACATCTTTCCGTCTTATTGCACAACTTTTTCTTTTGTTTTTTAACTATAAACTTTGTCTTATTTGCGTAGATTTGTTCGTTGCGTTGCACCCTGTATACTGACCAAGTGCTTTAAGTATGTTTAGTGAAAGTGCGAGGACAGAGAGACGAGATATATAGTATGTGGTTGAGGGAATTGGTTGAGCACGTTTTCAGCTGGGACAGTTAGGCTATGAATGAAAACTTAAATGCACTATTGAACACACATTTTTGTATTATTGTCACGATGACTTTGTACTAATCGGTACTGAATCCAATTGAAAAAAACAAGTGGATTTTCGCTGGCCGATACTACGTCCGAGCAAAGAGAACTGCACAGGCTAAGTGGCATTGGCTGCAATGGCATGTGTGGTAAAATATTCGATAGGCCTATTAGCTAATACTCGATATCGCCTAAATCGGTGCAGCGCCACCTAGCACTGCCAGCTGACTGGAGTTCAATCGGCAGCTGTTGCGGAACAACAATAGTAAACCAGCAGCGTAGTATGTTTTTGGTAAGCAACGATAATAAATAAACAAAGTGTATTCAAATTTTTTTTTGTGCATGTTGGCTTCTAGTTTTTTACACGTCCCATGGGGACGCTGGGAAATCGCATGCAAAATGTTCGTGAACGTTTGGGTGAAGAGTTTCTGGAAAAGCTGGATTCGCTTCACCTGGGTGCATTGCGTACGAATTTGGTGTCCAGACATGATCTGCAGGAGGCATATCGTAAGGCTCGCGACATGGAACGCAACCCCAATAGACTGAATATGGTTTGGTATGTGCTGGGTATCATGTTGTTTATAATGATTGCAACACCCGTATTTTACGAGACCATTTCATTTCTGTTGGGCGTGCGTTGCTTTCTGCCCAACAACAATCTCGTGTGGGAAGCCACTCGTCCCATCAGTGATTGCCAATTCTGCAAGGGCATTAAGGGCCCACTAATTCTACGCAATTTAACGCGAGAGGAATTTACACCATACGCTTACTCGTCTCTACCCATTATAATGAAACAATCCGTGGCTCACTGGCCAGCCAAACGACGACTCAACTATGCTTATCTGAAAGATCTGTATGCCAGTGTTCCCGGCGCTTCGGATACCAATTGCCCATTTCAGCACTTTAATTCGGATCTCAAATCGCTGCATGATGTCTTTCGCATGCCAAAAGAACGTGCAAACCTAAGCGAAGGCGCACCTTGGTTTGTAGGATGGAGTGTTTGCAATCCTGATCTGCTTGCCGAGCTCCGTAAGCTGTATCCGCGTCCGCACTTTTTGCCCGTGGATGCTGAAATGCCGCACTCGGACTTCATCCTAATGGGATATGAACAGGGTGCTGTTATGCATGTAAGTAATGAGCCCTTAAAGAAAGTGAATCTCGAATAAATCCTCATATTTCAGCTTGACTATATACCTCGTTTAATGTGGCAAGCCCAACTGCAGGGTAATAAGAGTTGGTTCCTGGCGCCTGCGCCAGAGTGCGATCATCAATGCCAATCATTTTCCTTCTACGTGGAGCCAGGGGATGCAGGTACATAACAAAATACCTTAAAACCCTAATGTTTTGGTTAATTTATTTAGTGTTTTCCCCCATTTTAGTGCTGGTTGACACACGCATTTGGTATCATGCCAACACAGTTCCCAAGGGCCAGTTCTCGCTCACAATCCAGTCAGAGTATGGCTGATAACGATAAGGTCTTATAAACATAAGCGTGTAAAAGTCTGATTATTCATTCATTATTCTTAGTTTTTTTAAATAAACAGATTACTGTAACAAAACAGCTACTGTTTAAAAATCCGATAATCTTTGATCGATAGTCGATTTATTCTGCATGGAACTATGTGTTGTGCACGTCATTTAAAAATTGCTCGTAATTTAGAGCAGGCCCAAGTATGGATGACGGCGGAAACATAGATTTTAGCGTATGTGCAGCGAAATTGAATGAAAAATATTTACATCATGCGCGAAGCTTAAAGGATATCTGCTTCACAAAATCAGTGATGAAGCCAACGGTGTTCTTTGAGTCGTTGCAAGAAGAAATGCAGACTATCGCATCTCGCAACAACAAGCAGGAAGCCAAAGAGCAGTCAACAGTAGAGGACTATGCTGAGCTTTTTAAAATATTCGAGGAGTACCCAACTAATCTACAAAAGGCGCCTAAAAAGCGAGATTTACAACGCACAAATTCGTCAATTTTGAAGGGACCTGGAGCTCCTGATGCTAGTAGTGTGGACATTAGTACAGCCGGTGTAATAAATGTTTCGGCATCACTCTGCCTGACGCGATCGGATGAGCAACGAAGTGCCAGCGAAGTCTATATGGACTTTAAAAAGTTTCAGCAGAAGCTCCGCCGTGTTTATGAGGAGGCAACTAGCGCAGACAAGGCACAGGATGCGTATCTGGCAAAAGTAGGTGAATTGCGCACATTTGCACAGCAACTGGAGAAGCTAATGCCAGCCGAGCGTGATGCGCAGGATGCTTTTACCACCGAAGAGGAGGCCATGCTTACAACTATCGCCGAAAATATGCAGCAACTGAACTATCTGCGTGAAAACAGTCTATATATTCAGAGTCCCAATGAGATTGCCACTGGTGGCAATACAATAGCACGGCTGGAGAGCTTGATAGAGGTGCTCACCTATACTCTGATGCAGATCGGCTGCTACAACAATGCCTGACTATAGACATTCTTTAATAGTGTAACCCTAAAATTGTTTGATGCTCAATAAAATTTATTTACATTAGTAGCCAATATCATCTTCCAATTCGTTATCCCCCTCCTCTTGCTGTTGCTGATACTCATCCAGGTCGATCTTCATCTGTTTAATTCCATCGCGTAGTGCAACCAATTTTCGCACACTGCTGCCCAAGTTCTCAACGCGTTGCCGATAAGCCAAGCAGCCGTCTAACGCACTGTATATGCGTTTGTTGGGCTCAGTGCTGTGCTGCATCATCTGCTGAAAGTTCTCCAGTATTTTAACCAATGATAGTTCAACACCTGGCGTAACGTTGTGGGCTTTTGAAGAGCTGCACTGGGAAGCGGATAACTGTGCTACCGTCTTCGATTCAATGTGCAAAAGAGTCTTGTTGGATTTCTCCATGATAGCCCCGATCTTATCCACTTGCCCGTCCATTGTTACGCGCTGCGAGACTGCGATACGAATTAAATTAGCTTGAATGGATCATATCTCGCTCTATAATTACCAAGGCCCGCCAACATTTCATCAATCACCTCAGCCATTTCGAATTGTAATAGACAATCAGTCTTGCATTGACATCTATCGTTGGAAATATCGATAGTTACCGACTCGATCACAACTTATTGAAAGGCTTTGTTTTTAATTTTTTGGTTTAACGTTAAATGTTTATTTTCAATTGTTCAAATTGAATTTGACCCTTCTACTTTAAATTAGTGTTATGTTTTTCATGGTTTACATTTATTCATACACATCTTCCTTGTCGGCGACGTATTTAATAATGTCGGCAGGTTTAAGCAGTTTTTCTGCATCAGAATCTGGAATCTCAAAGCCGAACTCATCCTCCATGGCCATAATAACCTCGACATGGTCCAGGGAATCCAAACCCAGATCATTAATAAAGTGCGAGTCCACGTTAAGCTGTCGAAAAGAATTATGAAAAACACACCATTAATATAATTGATATGTATATACTATAGCTGCAGATGGTCAGGCGTTTTGGCTCATTTTCTTTTTTGGGTACGATCGGTTAATTCAACTGGCAAAGGCAATTCTGGTTTACGCCTAGACTATTTGCTTAACCTCATCAATTGCTTGATCATTACCTTGCTGGGATCGATCTTGTCATACAGCTTCAGCACAAGCAACACACGCTCGTTGATGAGCTTCAGGGACAATGGCGGTTTCGCCGAGTATTTGCGCACCAATTGCGTTTGCCAGCTACATCTGCTGTCCTGGAGCGAGTGCCCAAAAAAGAAAAGAACAAAAAACCGAGTTAGTGCAATCGAGTCCTGGTTACGTTACCTTGTCAGCAGTCACTTTATCGTAAGAGGAGACGACTTTCAAAACACGACACTTGATATCTTCAATGGTACTTTTAGCTGAATAATTACGCTGTGTGATCTTATTTTCCACGCAAGACTTCTGCAATTATGTGGAGTTAATGACATTTTTTTGTGCTGGAGGTTGTAGACATAAGCTTGTTTTGCTATATACATTTACATATGTACATACATACATATATACATATGTATATTTCGAGCAATGGTGATGCTACTATCTGTGAAATTATCGCCTGTACCACACCACACCATACCGCGCGCCGCATGCAGTAAGAGCTGACCAGTCCACCAACCACAGTCCACCATACACAGCAATGGCTGATGGCTGTTATCAGCCACTGGGCTTAAAGGTTTTTAATGAGGTTAGGGTGCAATCAATAATTTCTCCCTGCTATTAGCCTCCTTATATTTGTAAACAATTCCTTTTCTCACCTGGCAGAGCTGAGTGCTCACGGCCGGCATAGCAATCCTGTGCAGCATTCGCAACTGTGTCTGGCCAACTGCGCTTGCAACCCGCACTGTTTTCATCGCCACCGCCAGGCGACCGCAGCTACGCGCAATTTGTGTGAGCGACATGATGCTTCTCCTGCAAAGGAAAGATATATGGATGAGTGCCAGAGTTCCAAATGTAGTCAAAATATTGTAAACAATGGAATTGAACGACATTTACACTGAATTTTAAGGTGCAAGATTATGTAAAAGTTCTGGAGACCGACCGAAGTGATTTTTGACAGCCAAGGAGTAGAGAAACGTCAAAAACGCGACACTGCCAACTTGTCAACAAAATGTACGTTATCTATGCAATTAATCGAATCATATCGATAAAGTATCGAGGAGCAGTTATTTTTAAATTGAAATGTCATAAGCCAAAACAAACTCGCCACGCCCCAAGTGGTATAATTAAACTCATTTCCGTTTTGCTATCGCATTCTCGTGATTCGCAAATTTAAATGAAGGCCAAGATTATATGGTTTAAACTCTACTCTCATGTGTTTATTTTCATATACGTATTTAAAAAATATATAAACATTGCAATACGTTTAATTGGAACAAGCACAGTTATAAGTACATAAAGTCAAAAAATTATACAATTCGTTTCGGTAACAATACATATTAATAAAGATTTATGTAAGTACATACAATATAAACTACACGATTAAAATAAAACAATTGTCGTTTGATTTAAAGCCATGTCGTATTTAACTCTATTAAATTCCTTTATTGACCAGCAATCTGAAAATTGAGTATAGAATTAACAGGAGATACGGGAAATCGCTTTTAATTATGCACTTACAATAACAAGATGGCCGCTCTTATCGAGCATAACTCCCGGTTCAGAGCCCGTCTGAATATCTATTACGCCACCTTTGCCTTTGACTGTATTGTGCTCAAGCCTGGAAGGTAATATACGATATTAGATATAAGATGGGACTATTCGAAAAATTCTACTCACGAATCTCTGTCCACAATGGCCACAATGTCGGCTGTGCCGACCGTATCGATTATGTAGGTGCTAAACTCAATGATATGTGGTATGATCAGAATCAAATCGCCCTTATCTTTCTTCAAATCGAGGGGAATTCGTATCACCATCAGGTCATCATTGTGATTGGTCAGCGTAAAGTCGATCTTCTCCAGCGGCAGGCGATGTTTCTGCTTGTATGTCTTTGCATCAAGGACATAGACAGCCTTATTGCTAAGCAGAATGAAACGTTCGCGGGACTTGTAGCCATGGCGATCGAACTTAGTGCAGGGTGACTGATATTTTAGCTGTTCACTGCCAAAATTGCTGGCTACAAAATCGTTGACGCGCTGGATATGGTCTTTGGGTATGCGATCCTCCTGGAACCAGGCTGGTACACTGGCTGAGTAGTTGCTCTTCTTGTCCTTAAACACCTTCTCGGCCAGCACCTTTAGCTCAAATTGGCGCTTCTTTTGAGGCGTCAACTTTAACCGATAGATGCGAGCCAAATGCAAACGATGCAAGCGATGCAAGTAGCTGGATGCCTCTTGGCAGTGACCGGGAGCTGGAGGCCAGCTCTTGTCCAGAACCTTGCTAGGTAGCTCCTTTGCCAGACGCAATAGCCACATTCGCTTGGCATTAGCGATGAAATCTTCGTTGAACCCATTGGGTGGATCGTTGCGTGTAATAAAGCCTTTGATAAAGGCACGAATCTTGTCCGCTGCCTCACGACGCCGCTGAGCAGCCTGCTTGGCAAGCACACGACGACAATAGGATTGCAGCTTTATCACTTGCTCCCGAAGCTTCAAATACTTGCGACGCTGAACAAGACCCTTCCAATGGGCTTGTATAATAGCCGCAACGTCATGCTTCTTCGCCTGATAGGCATCCTCCGTGTCAAACAATGTGCGTGGCCAACGAATGAAAAGCTTGGTTGTACCCAGGCGGTAGTCTTCGGGGCCATAGCCCAGATCCTTAACCAGCAGCTTAACGCCTTCCCTAGAGCCTCCAGAGCCCTTGTAATTGGGCCAAGTCGATTTGCTCAGACACTTGTAGCGATGTAGGAACAAATCGTAGGTGCGTCGATAGGCAAAGCCAGCACGGCGCACGCGCAGATTCTCCATCAGACCCAGATACTTGACCTGATGCAGCACCAATTCATCCTTGAAGACGCCTGGGGTTTGCAGATCGTTTGGCTTAATGCAGCGAATGTAAGACGGTTCTTTACACATCAGTATATCCATCAAATTATTGAGAGAGGCCTTGAATTGCGTTACGGCCGTCTCGGGGCGTTTCTTGCTGCGCAACTCCTGCTCCGGGAAACATGTACGGACTATACTGTTACCGGCCTTGCTGAGCGTCTCTTTGAGATCGCGGAAGAGCAAGTCATTGTTCTTGTCCAGAAAACCATTGACGCTGTAGGTAACCTCACCAGCATAGTGGACCAGACGGAACTCATCACGACCCATGATCTTCTGCACCTGAGTGGGTGCCTTCTCATGGCAAATATAATGATGATGAGTGGCCAGTTTGTGGGTCAGTTTCTCGAGGAAGGTCAAATCGGTGGGATCACCCGGTCGCAAGCATTCTTCATCAAGTATGGAGATAATACCCTTGTGTTTCTCCTCAATCAAATTGCAGATGACCTTGTTGTCGAAATACTCCACCGGTATCCATTCAATGCCCTCGCGGCGATACTCATCCTGCTCAGACTTTAGGGTCAGTTCGATGAAAAGCTGTTGCAGCTTTTCATTGCAAAAGTTGATGCAGAACTGCTCGAAGTTATTCTTTGAGAAGATCTCAAACCCATAGATATCCAAAATGCCCATAACCTTGTTGCGAGCTCCGCGTGTATCCTTCGCCTGCAGGGATATGTTCAGGCGCTGCACCAGCCACGAGAATAGGCGGTCGTAGACAGCCTTGGCGAGGGCGTCGCGTGCATAGACGGCCAGGTCATGATTAAGTGGTGAAGTAACCACATCTCCACGGGCATCAATTGTGCGATGTGTCAGTGCTGCGTTCAGCTCGGTGGCATTAACCCCTAATAGACGTGATACTGTCACCACCAGATCGCGCTTGGCGACCTCAGCATTGCCATCGACTTCGTTGAAACTCACATTGCCCAAATGCAGAATGCTGCCTATAATGCTAAAGATCTCACGCTGCTCCTCCGGACTGAAGTCAATGACGCCCAAGGCCTGCTGCACAATCCTAAAGCTTTCCACATCGTCGATGCTTGCCACCGTACCCTTGCCCTATTAAATCAAACAGTTAACTCTGTTTCTGACTCTCATCTCTCTAGCGTGTTACTTACCCCATCACTCAAATATCGATAGTTGTTCAGATTACGTTGCAGATTAAGTTCCTGGAGCAGCTTATCGTCGGCACCCGCCAAAAGTTGGTAAAAGATATGGAAGTTGCGCTCTCCGGCATTCTGGCCGACCACGCGTGATTTCTCCAACAAGTAATTCAGGATATTACCACCGATTGGCGCACCCGTGTAGTCGAATTGTATGTCCATGTACTTGCCGAAACGCGAGGAGTTGTCGTTGCGATTCGTCTTGGCATTGCCGAAAGCCTCCAGCACAGGATTACTCTTCAGCAGCCTATCCTTGACGCCCTCCACAGTCGTCTGGTGACCCGAACAGGCGGCAATATATTGCAAAACCTTCTTGGAGGCCTCCGTCTTTCCCGAACCACTCTCACCGGAGATGAGAACACACTGAGCCCGACTCTCCTCAATAAGCGAACGGAAGGCATTGTCCGTCACAGCAAATCTGCAAATCGGCGCGCACACTTATAGAAAAATCCTTAGTAGCTTGTAGGAGTTAGAATATACTTACACGTGTGGTGGCATCTCATACAGATGTTTGTTTCTGTACTCCTTGATGTGTTCATCAGAGTAGATAGGCAGTTGCTTGTAGGGATTCACCGAAATCAACACCTGACCAATGTAGGTCTATAATGAAAAGAACGCAGAATGTCATAAAAATATCAATCTATGCTTGATGATGGCAGTCTTCATTTGAATGGAAATACCACAAATACATACATTTTATAAGTAAAAAAAAGCCTAGTCTTTATCATTAAAAAAGTAATATTTAAAGCATTAAAGTAAAGATTAGGTACCGATCTGTATACCTATTAGAGCTCTGCACGTGACATAAGCTGGCATTTGATAGCAGTCTTATAACTCACAGCATTCGAATGGAATTCTACAAATACCTAGATTTGGTAAGTATAGGATCTGTTGTAAAAAAGCTTTTTTTTCATTAAAAACGTATGAGAAAGTTTTAAAGCATTTAAGTAAAGATTAGGTACCGATATTAATACCTATTGGCACTCTGCACGTGACATAAATCAAATCAAATTTGTATCTTACAAATATAATGAATATTATTTGGTCCTTAAGCCAATCTCAATTTTTTGTTTTAAATACAATACACATATTATAATGGTATTGGCTTGTAACTTACGTAGATAAGGTTCTCCTGGAAACGCTTCTTAAGGTTATCAATGAACGCATCCTCACTCTGGTAGTTCTCAAGCAGCACAAAGTCTTGTACGCCGGCGCGATCGCGCTCGTACAAACCCGTCTCCATTCTGGTATATGTTTTGCTGATAATAAAAAGTAATTCAATCGTATATATTAATTTTATAGATGCAGTATACGAAATTGCGATATCATTGGTAAATTGCAATATGGTTCCCCGATTAATGATCTATAGGTAACCATAAAATGTAGTTCCAATTAAACTATTTCCATTCTTATCTCATTTACCCTAATCGGGCTAAGGTCTCCAATGGGCCAACACTCATTGGTAACTAGGCCCGCTGGCGATAATCCTATATGCTATTGCAAATCATACATAGAGCCATAATTGATAAGATATTTGTAAGTCTTATACCCACTTCGAGTTAATTTACAGCGACGATTGTACGGAAATGAGAGTTTGGCGAGCACTTTGAACGGAAGAGATATGGCTTGCTAATTGGAATATTAGAAAAATGCAGAAATGAAGCATCATCATAGGCCGGCAGCCTAAAATTCCAGATATTTATAGATTCGTGGCAAATGGATAAATGATGGGGCGATAAAGGTTTGGTACAATTTATAGTTCCTTATCGCAATGGTCATATTTTGTTTGGCAAGGAGAGCAGCATATTATGAGTCTAGTATTTATTGTACTTGATTGTTGGTGTTGTTGTTGTGTTATTGTTATTGGTTTGATAAGAACGGAATGATGGTAAATCCATATATGACGATTACGCAATGCTGTGTCGTGACTTTGTGTTTTAATTATTAAAATCGAGAAAGTAGATCCCATTTAAAAAAAGCACTCCATGTACATAGTGGTGGGTATATTATATCGGAAAAATCCGTTTCTTTGGGCGTGTCGCAGGTATATGTATGAACAGTGCCATTTTTAGTGCATGATGTAAGACATCAGGTAGATAGGTGTGTTCCACACTTCAGCAATCAACCAATTGTCAATGAAACACATTCAATTAAAGCTGATAATACCACTAACATATTTTAGCTATAAACATTGGGCTCCAGATATACCCAACCAGTAATTATAGGTATATGTTTCGTATCACACACAGTATATACCTGGCCATAATTGCACTTGTAGGTACTTCAATTTCTTGTCCTTTACTTGCTTTTATAAACACTTGAGAACTTTGAAAAACTAAACTAATTTTTGCACATATTCCGCGCGTAAGCAATTCCGTTCACATACTAACTGAAACGACGGTTTGGCGAAACGTTTTAACCATCAATGCATATCAATTGGCACTCTATATACGAGTATGTCACCGATAATAAGCCATTAACAACTAGTGCTCTGCTCTCCGCACACTCTGGGCCAATATCTCAGATTAGATAGTGTGTTTGGTTTGGTTTTTTCGATCCAACTTGAGTACGCACTCAGCCAAACATCAGCCAGCAACTCAGAGGCCCTACGTGTATACCTATGTATGTACCTAAACCTCGGAATTGTGTGATCCATTGACTGCGCCTGAGCCAGTTTCGCAGAGAACTGAGAACACCGCATCGCATGCATCTGCACATCACTTAGCGTTCTGTTATCAGTTCGCTAAATATGTCAACTGGTGAATACATTCAATTTACTCAATGGTTCAATATGCTTTTGTTTTTGTGCGTTCGTTATAAGTACATATTCCGAAAATGAGCTCAGACATATTTATACACATACTATGTATGCACGTCGTCGCTATGTACACGTCCCATGCTATGTACAAACAAAGCGCATGTTTGGCTAATTACACAATGCATGTTGGAGCCATCAAGAACGAGGCGAGTCGGCACACAAAGAAAATACCAACATTACTCGAGAATATAGTAATAGCGCTGTCGATATTCGAGTCTTGTTGAGAAAAAGAACATCACTTGACAGCAATGCGTTTTGTAATTTGCACGTCTTCAACATCAGAATCAAAATAGCAAATACGTACAGATGTGGTATTCAGTTTACCGACGCATAACAGATTAACTGAACGGACAAATGAAAAAGTTGCGCCCAAAAATATGCAACACTCTTTGCTCAGCGAAGATGTGTGTCGTGACTGAACTCACGATCCACACAGGGTTATGCATCTGTATATGTATTGAGTGTTCAGTTGGTCAATTCAAATATCTTGGATGGATATAATTAGAAACAGCGAGTGTTTATTTGTTATTACCATCTGGTGTTTAATAGCAGGTGTAGAAGTCAAATATAGTTATAAGACATACAAAGAGTAGCCAATGTTCGACTGATTCGTAAATGTTTCAAAATATCTTTGGAGCCACAAACCACTAAACTTCTAAACTCTTTTAATACGAATATGTGCTTACATTTTTATAGAAGAACAACCTATTAATATTACAATATTAATAAAAAACCAGATGTTATTTATAGCGAAGTAGAATTTAAATTTGTGTACATTTTCAAGTACAAATTTATGAACTCAAAAAAGGAAGAGGAGAAAAATGTACTTGGATACTTGGATGTATTTATAGAGTTCATTTAAAGATTAGCTTATTGAAAAGGCTTTAAATAAAATACGAATTCTTATAAACAACCCATAGAAGACACATTAGCTTGTGAGGTTTTGCGAAAAAGGAACGAATTTTGAATTCAATAATATTAAGATTACTCTACAAAAAAAATCTTAGAGAAGCACAACTCTATTTTAAAGTCATTGACATCGGGAAGTAGAAATTCGACTCCTATCCAATCGTTTTATGACATGACAGCAAACAAAATCTCTTTAATTGAAGCTGCTTTTGATGGCCAAACATAAAACTTTCGTTGCGCATTAACTATTTAGTTGGCTTATAAGGAATTGTGGGCACAAATCTCACTCGCAATCAATATATCAAGCTTGAGAGCCGATGAAATTGGTCGTCTGGTCAGTTAGTCATCTCCATTATTTTTTACTTCTAACACAGATCAACGGCTATTGAATTTAATTAACTTTATTAGCATTGGACATGACTTGAAACTGTAGAAAAATGGGGCTGAGGGGCCGTAAATGTCTGCAGGATTTTTCATCTAAAATATGATTTGAAATTGTTGGTAGGGGTACAATATACATTATAGAGCCAGCACAAGAAGCTATGGAAACCAAATATGTATATCACCTCAGTTTGAATAAATGAAAAAACAAAACAACCAATAGGAAACCAAAGAACCTCAGATGAAAGTAACAGTGTGTCACAATATTATGATCTTCAAAAAGAAGTAGATTGGCCTCTTTATTAATACTTTTTACCATACTAAATGACCTAAAAACATCCATATTTCTTAACAATCTGTACAATCTTAAACTGAGGAAAATGTAAAATAAACATAAATCACAAGTAAATACACCAAAAATAGCATAAAGTATTCAGCTAAGACTAACTGTAATTAATTATAAAGATGAAAATTTCATTATATTGTGTCGTTACTAATATATAACTATTATTGGGCCAGCATGATACCTATTCAATAATTTGTTAGCTATATGGGACAATAATATGCAGCAAATTACATCAAATATATAGATATTAATTATATTATTTTACAATCAAAGTGTGGTGAAACATTTAAAATATTGTATGAATTCAGTTTAGATTTTAGAAATAATGATTATTTAATAAAATCACCAGATTTCATAGCTTTATTATTATTATTAAGTAGTGAAGCTTTGAGTTCTGGGAAGCCTACTTCTATCTTTTTTCAAAAAGACATTTTATAACTATTTTTTTTGTAATGAATAGAAAGTTTTCTAAAATAGTTTGAATGCAAGCGCTTTTATTCCAGTATTAAACAATTAAATATTTGTCCACTGAATTGTGTAGAATTTGTTTATACATAAACACCTTAGTCTTAAGGTTTCCTAAGTACGTTAAAAAAATACTTTTGTTTTCTCTATTTTCATTTTTTCAGGAGTCCTTTAGCAAATAAAATATATTGAATATAAAATATGTTTTCTTACAAGTGCGGTCTCTAACTTTTTGAAAGATTCAGCAAAGAGTCGATTGCTGAACTCCATCAGACACAATGTTTACCAACTCACTCGCCTATTTCTTACACACACACACACACACACACACACACACACACACAACGTTGATAGTTAAGCATATAAATGACGTAATTTTTTAGAATTAGAGACGGACATGCAGATGATCCAAAAGGCCGATTGCGGGCTATTGAACCCGGTTAGTGGTTCGAATAACCTTTCTCCTAGACTACCGTGGGCGATCGTTGACTGCATAGAACAAAGAGAATTCTAATTTGAGAGCGCGACGCTACAAGATGCTCGGCCCGAACAAAGGCATCATCGGATCCCAAGCAGTATTAATATGCAAATTAAAGGTATTAGGCAAACGAAACCAGCATGCAACCTGAACCAAAAAACCAAGCTAAGAGGAAAAGCAGACGCTACAATATGTCGTGTTGCGTTTGTAATGGATATTAAAATTTTATGAGAAAAGAAGAAGTATAATAAAGCAGGGCGGGTTTATGTGATTCCAGATTCGGACCAAATGAATTGGGACATGAGAAATCAATGGATGCAACATAAAATGCATGCGTAGGAAAAGCCGATAGAAAATTCTAATGAGAAAAACATTAACATAAAAATGAGATAAGAAACCAGAAATAATATGCAGGCTAGCTGCATTAATAGAATGTCCGATGTTGGGTATAAAAGGTCTGGTCGTTGCATCAGAACTTCATTCGAGAGATGAAGATGGACTATCGAGGAGGTTTACTTCTGTTGGGTAAGTCAGCGCGCAGTCCACAGCTTCAAGCTATGATTGTAATGTTTTTTGGTGATGGTATTTTTCAGTGATTTTGGGCACTATTGGGACCGCCTATCCCTTTGTGGAGAAGGCACCTATACAGGCCAGTTTGATTCAAGGGCGCAGCGATAAGAATGGGGGCACCGACGATCCAGTACCCTCTAGCCGCAACATTGAAGAGCATTTGTTGAAAACAATCGGTAAGGGTGGCATTAAATTTGTGGTGGGATCAGGAGAGTCGCAGACCGCATCCAAACCAACCAAAGAAGAACACCAACACCATTATTACTTTCCAACCACAGAGGAGTACAACCATCCCAGGCAGCCGTGGCCATCCCAACCCTGGCCTTCACGTCCTTGGCCGCACCCACACCCCCCACCACCACCGCCACCAGTACGTCCACAGTGGCCATACGGCGCATGGGGTTACAATCAGTGGCCATACAATCAATGGGGCAACGGTTGGGGTAATGGATGGGGCTGGAACACAGGCTGGGATCTCCCTGGCTATGGAGGAAACCACGGCTATTCCGGATATCCTGGCTATCCCTACTACCCATTCTTCCGCACCTCGGCTGGTGGACAACAGGAAGGTGGCCCAACTGACTTTCCCCCTCCCATTGATGGACGTGCTCAAGGCTTCCCCCAGTCCGGGTTTCTAAGTGCTGGCAACAATTACATCGAAGGAAAATCGAATCCCAGTGCCTCAGGTATTTCTAGCGCCGGCCCTGTGCCTCTCTACCAGCTCCTGAACCTAGCTCGAGTTTAGAGAGCCCAACGATCGATCGATTTACAGACGGACTGACTGCATGTGAAATAAAAAGAAATGTGAAAAAAAGCTATCGCATATTCTGCTTATCATTCTGTGCGCCGGTTATGATCAAAAGTTTAGGAACGCGAGCTCAACGCCCCGCCAATGCCAGGCCTGTACACATATGTACATATATCACACCTACATACATATATCCAAAGTTTGCTTTTGCATTCCGTATCGCACTCATTCATTCAGCCTTTTCAAAACGAGACCTCAAAAGCAAACAAAAATCTGGAAATATTTGATTGCTTTGCCTGAGTCTTGGCCGGCCAGCGACTTTATTCGATGACTCATTTTCCAGATCTCAGTGAGGACTGACGCATTGCCCGTAAAGTAAAGAAATGTAAAAAAGTCACTCAGCCACTCAAGTTGTTAAGAATTTTGTATACACGGGTACATATAGTATTGCCTATAGCTTCTTGTTCGCACCTATGGCAAATATTCAAACACGGAACACACGGAACCCGATTCATAATTTGCAAACTGTCGTAATTTCTTTTCATTGCAATTTACCTTTGACGTGCACTTCTGTTATTGTTGTTGTTGTTGTTTCGAGCTAATGAAAGCGCTTGTCAATTTTCTTTCGCTTTCACTGTTCCACGAAAAGCCCTTACTTGATACTTTACTAAGCACTCGCCGATTTTTCTTCTTTTTTTTTTTTGTTTCTTTGTGGCTTATATGGTTTGCACAATTTTAAAAGCGATCCCGACCAGCACGTACTACTGTCGCTTCAGAAATGAATCCAAGACGGCATTAATGCAGCTAAGAAATCGAATCAAAACACTCTGTACGTGGTTGTAGTTGATTTTTATTAAAATGCGAGCGATTTGTCGGCTAGTGGGAATTTCGGTACAGTTCTAAATGAGGCATATGGACATTGAAATGAATTGTGACTCACAATCACTTGTTTCACTACAGCTTTGTTCAATTTGTAAATCTAAAACACTGGTATATAATGGCATAATCATAGCATCAATCACAGTCATTAGTATTCCCTTCTTTTCTTCGGCTCTGTTCGTTTGTATTGAAATTTTCATTGGAATAATTCTTCGACTTCTTTTATTGTAGGGTACAATGTTTTCGCGTTGACCCCAACTTTGTTGTTCATTCTTATATGTCAGTCTTTCAGCCAGTCAGCAAATTCGCATTAATTGCTATATGAACATGTCATTATCTTATCAAAAACTGTTTGCAATATCTCTCTTTCTTGTAATAAAGCAAATCCAGTGCTATGATATTTCTTTAGGGGTTTTGTTATGCAAAAAGATTTATGGGTTTTTGTAATCTAAGGTGAAGAAAGACATTCTTTTGGCCACCCTGTAATTTGGTCATCAATTTTAAAAATGCTCTATCAGTAACATTCAGTTGAACCCATGAGCTAGATAACAAAATTGAACAGATAACAGTTGGAAATGTTGGTCATAAAACAAAAGCTGTTTATATCAACAAAACTAGAGCGATGGCCTAGCCATTCCGGCTATTTTATACCCTAAGCCCGACCCCACCAAAGTCCTTTAACTGATAGGAACTGTATAAACAAAAATTAAGCAGCAAGCCGATTTCTGTTTATCGTTATAAAGAAGGATTTTTTGATAATAAAAGTGGTGTGCACATTAATCGGTCTTATCGACGATGTAGAGTATGTATACTATATATAATCAATAAAATATCAGCAGGAAAACGAAGAAGTTGCTGCTACAAAAATGGATTGCTTCTGTACCAGCTACTGCAAATTTTAAATAGCTTTAGAATATCATAATATATTGATGGGACTTCAGAGTATTTTGGGACATTCTAAAAATCTCATCTTCTACTATGAATGGTTTTTGAAACGGTAGCTCCTAATGCAACTATATAAAGTTCTACTGGGTATAAACAGAACAAGTCAAGTTTAGCGTATCTAGCTGTTTTGGTTTAAAAGTTCACGATCTCCAGACAGATGACAGATGAGCGGACGTTCCAGCTATAGCCCGTTGCATACATTACAGAGTTTTTCGTATACCCTTTCACACTTTCGAAATCTTTTCTGGGTGTCCAATTCTTGCGATTCTTGGAATACTTCTGCTCAAGTAAATATATACAAAATACATAAATATATGTACTATATGTATCTAAAACCCGCTGCTGAACATTCTTACAAAACCGCAAGACTTATGTATGTTCAAAAAAAAGAGGAGAACATGACGCTGATAATGAAAATGTCTCAGACCAACAATTAACAAAACCAAAACGCGTGCAATTTCATTTTATTGTGTGTTCGGTTTTTTATTTTTGCTTGGTCAGTGTTATCGCATTGCTCATGGATCATACCACAGATTGGACTTGAGGTGTGAGTTTGTGTGGAGGTGTGTGTGGAGCTATATTTTATGCAAAAATTACATCACTTATACCCGGAGGCTTCCACTTAAAGAAATACCGCCATTACTCAGCCGTTGGCTGACGAATGCGATTATAATACAGATCGGTTTCTTTTCTTTTTGGTCTCTTTTTTCTTAGCTTCTTTTGTGAACTTCACTTTAAATTCTCCGCGCTCACTTGCTTAACTTTTTTATGTTTTATTATGTTTCTTTTTTTTTTGTTTTGTCTATGAGGCAATGACATTGAGCGACGGCAACGCTTCACAGGGTTTCGGGGCTCTTGAGTTGGCTGGGGAGCTGGTAAGCTATTTGAGCAGCTGATGTTTGGCAAATCATGCTGGTATGAGTATTTCTTGCCAGTGGTTCCATTCATCAAGGCTGCAATGACGTGAGTTTGTCAATACATTGAAAGCTGTGGGGTGTTGTCTTATTGGAATTGCACACATGTTATGAAAATGATTCGATTATTTGGTTGCAATTGCCAAAGCTAAGCTGCTTATTGCCTTCAACACTCGCTCAATATATATGATATATATGTACATACATATGTATTGAGAAAATGGGTCAAACCAATAGAGCAAAGCACCATAGCAATAAATATTTTATGTTGTTTATGAAACTTGATACATTTTCAATTAGAAGGCAATCCGATGACGTTGGATGGGTTCATTGAATAAAGCTACGCAGTGCGGATCGCTTTCCTATATGCTTGATTCTCATATAAGTACTATATGTACTTAGATACTTGAGTCTCAACTTATTACTTAGCCACGTTCTTCATAAGTATAACAAACGAAAGGAAAAATGAAATTTATGTTTAAGAGAAAACAAACAAACATACAAGTAAACAACAAACGCATTACGTCTATCGAGCTGTAGTTGTGAACGGCTTTAAGAATTTCCCACATCATTTTTACTTAAAACGCCTGAGAACAGTTTGTTGAAGTTTAGAGCCATAGTCTGCGTCAAAATATTTATAAAACTGAACGTATTAGTAAAGGTTGGGGGTAGAATTAGAAACGAAATTGTTTTCTTTTGAATTGAGGTAAGACTTTACGATCACTTTACTTAAGCCCCCACAGCAGGAAACTATTATTCAAATATGGCCAGAAGTTCATTATACTATATGCGCATATTGTTTTGGGTGTGTAAGTTTGTAACACCCAGAAGGTAGAATGGTATGTGATCAGCATAAAGCAAAGACTGGCTGTTCGTCCATTCATTCATCCGCCTGTCCCTTTCAACCATTATTCCTAAAATAGCTCAAGAGCTATCGGTCTGAATCTTTCAGAGACTTCTCTTTGGATTCAGTATAAATAAAGTAAAAATTTGTTTTCTACTGAAATATTCTATTAAATGGAATAAATTTCAAGAATCAAATAACCAGGCACAGTGAAAGCCATAAAGCTTCGGAGCAAACGAAAACGACTTGATATCTTTGTTTTATTGGTCTGTTTAAAGAAAGAAATCTAACAGGATAAGCCAGTCAGTGTGGACAGATATGTTTAGCCTTGATTGGCCAGTGCCAACTGAAGCTACATTTTCACTAACTATCTGCAGAAACATTTGGCATACTATACTTTAAAGTAATTATATGTGAGGTAGTGTCTTCAGGGTTTAATTTTCTGCCATTGCTATTAACATGCCCACCCCTTGTCATTCACAGCTGGACAGGAGAATAAACTCGCTTATCAGGCAAAACACCCATCAGGGACTGCACAATTAAATGCAAGAAGAAAACAGCAAAAACAAAACTATAATAAAAACTTAAATAACTGTAAGTAGTATGTAAATAGTTGGGTATGACACTCATACATATGTATGTACGTATGTATGTATGTTTGTATAAATATTAGGTACATATTTGGTGGCTTTGTCTGAAACCTGCCCGAAAACAATTTGCGTTGGGCTTCAGACTGGTTTTATGGGTTAGGTTGGCGGCGGTCGTGCACGCACGAAAGTTGACCCTCTTTGTTTGCCAGTGTGGTGTTTGTTCCTGCTGTAAAGCTAGACAAACAAAATTAAAAGCCCAAGGCAATAAAACAAATATATTGTGGAATAAAACAAGTGACAGGCGACAATATCTAATGCCCCGCCGTCTGGTATGGCGTTCGAAAGTCCCCCCCGACATTGGCTGCTGCAGGCCCATCATAAACTCATCGGAAATGGCATGTTTAATATAACTAATGTCAAGGTGTGTGGTGTGTGTCGCGAACGGATGCAAACCAGTATGTTTATAAGTGAGTAATTGTAGCAAAGGAGAGCTGCGCCCATAGGTGTTGCAAGACCAAAAGCGACAACAACAGCAACACATGGTCGACATAAACGCCACTTTATTAGACGTGTAAACCAGATTTTTGCCTGCCGGTGTCCAAGTTCAAATCGTGCAAAGGAAAGAAAGCAGTGGTGGCACGATATTCGATGTTAGCTGCAAACCGGCAGAACAGCTTTTTGGTTTCTTGCCTGCGATATCTTCTACGCGCTGGCATTGTCTTCGCTGCATGTTGTTACTTTTGACTGCTGTCGTTATCTTTCTTGTAGTAGCAGTTGTTGTTGTTGTCGTTGTGTTGTCGAGTTTCGCACAAGGATCTGGCCGCGGTGCTTGGCTTAATCGTGCATGCCGTTTGGCAACTAATAGATAGTCTAATTGGATGGACGACGGTCGATCCACTCAATCACAAATGTGACGACCACGCGATTCAAAGCCATTTGCCACTTGCGATTAGAAGTTAAGACCCAATTGCAAAGTAGAAATTCGTCAAATGAAAGCCAATCAATGCATAAATAAAAGTACGAACTTAATTTCACTAACTGCCTACCCCTCATGTACCTGTTTTTGTCAATGTGTATGCCTTAGTGTGTGTGTGTGTGTGCGTGTATGTGTGTTGGTGCTCTACCTGTTTGAATTTCTTTTTCGAATGTACCGCTAACTTGACCCGGCGCTGTCACACCGACGTTGGCGCTGACGGCGGCAGAGACGCGTGGGACTATAGCCAAAAACTTGTAAACGTTTTAGCGCGTGCGAAGGTATGGTTTCAAACTCTTACATATGTATGTATGTGTATTTTATTTGTTTTTGGGGCTAACACTGTTTCACTTATGTTTGGCACTTGCACGTGTGCCGCATTTAAATACGCGTCTTTAAGTTCTTGTATCTTATAGATACAACTCAAATCGAACTTGAGTGCCGCCGATCGCCTTCAAAGCGCACCTTGCAAAAGTCAAAGCTTAACTAACGGCTGTGTTTGCCGCCATCAAGTTTGCAAAACCCAAACAATGCCAGCAGCGCTGCCAACTTGTCCCCCATCGCTTATCGATAACAGTTCGTACCTATTGTGAATGGGGAGCGCCGGTGACCAATTTCAAATTTATACAATCGCATTTATTTATCAATTTAACCTATTTTAGATATATGGCCTAGCATGAACCACACATATTGTACAACAAATTTTATAAACAATTTTTAAATAACTTAGGTTACAGAATTTTAAAGCCATAACAATGTTAGTATATACCTAAAACATTCACATCATATGTGATTTAATCAATGTTTGTTTCTTTTTGCCTTGCTCAATTTCTTCTACAACATTAGTAAATCCAATTGAATCCAGTAAGAATATTTTTACAATTTTTCAAATACCTGCATTTGTTTGTGTCTTTTGCAAGAGATTGCAAAACGGTTGATAAACCAAACCAAATTTCATACAAGACTAAAGCCCTGAGTTTGTTGTATTGCCTGCTGTAACTTGAACTTGAGGCGTTCCTTGGTTTTGTAGCGCGGCAGGTCAAGCATATTGAAACATGTGTGTGCCACGGGCAGGAAGCGATCATCCGTCGTGGGTTGTATGATCAGCTATAGATACAGATATAGTTTTTAAGACTAGTAGTCCCAATGCAGTCTGTAAGACAACTCACCTTTATGGCCTTCATACCCTGTATGGGTATTCGATCACTTCCGGTCAGGTACAAAAGGAACTTTTTCTTTTCCGCCTCTGTTAGATCGTGAAATACTTCCCAAAACCATTTGATCTAAAAAGAAATTACAATACATTAGCTTGATTGAATTATTCGAATTACTTCTGCCTACCGTTTCATCGCCTGACGTATAGCCGTGCTTATACTCGCAATTGTCTTCTAGCGCCTGCCAGTCATACTCTTCGTTGCCCACAACAACAGCCATTAGTTCCTCTGGCTGAAATATTTGCATCACACGACCTGAACAGACTTTCATAAAGCCCTTGTGAAATGCATCATACTGCGATTCGACGGATTTATTAAAAACAAAATCCACATAAAGATCAACAAATTCTTGTCTGAAAATAAATTGAAAACAAAATAAATAGGTACAATATTGTAATGATTTGATTAAGAAAACTATACCTATTTTCCTTCGTAACTGGAATTTTATCACCGTTTGGTTTAAGGCACTTGGTTTCGGATTCACCGTACACATCTCGCGATATCTCGAACGTAAGGTCAAATGTCTCTTTGAAATCATCACCATCGTAGTCAAGCAGTGACTGCATGGAGTTGGCCAGAGATGGCGAAAGTTCACGAAGGTCGCTCAGGTCCACTGGCTCCTTTAGCAACTTTTTATACAGGGCCAGCGGGAATGGCAAATTGATAATTGTAAAGTTATAGATTGCCAGACCACAAAGCACACCAATGAGGAAGTACATGTTGTTCGTTTCGAAAGTGACATCCGCAAACCATAGCACGCGCGAATCCTCAAACTCCTTAAACATGCCATATTTGGGATCAATGAGATCCTTTAACAGCAGCATGAAGAACTCCTTGCGCACGCCGCCAGCGTCTTCCGCCTCCTCGCCATGAAATTTTATCTGTTAAACAAATGATTTTATATAACCAAGGATAACAAAATGTCTTATGAACGTACTTTAAGCGGCTTCTTGAGATCACTTTGACTATAGCGCTGCAACTCACTCAACGAATCCTGCACAAGATTCTCTCGCGTTACATTAAGTACAAGGAATTGAGACACAGAAAGGCCGAAATTCAGCATATTATAAAATGCCTAAAGAGATCAATCATTCGTTACTGAATTTGAATTTATGCTTAATACTTGCGCTTACATTTGACGCCGCGTTCTGCATTGCTGAGTGCATTTGTAGTGCCTGATCAGCCTGGAGTAGGGCAGTTTTTACGGTCGCATCGAACAGGAATGGAAAGTTACAAATATTGAACTCAAGAGGCTGTAAATAGAACATCATTAATTGATTGCTCCACAATTTAATTCAGTCACACACACGCTCTCAGTCATAATCCAGCGTATATACTCCTGCTGTACATCAATATAGTCCGACAGATCGGTCCAGTGAAAGAGCTGGTAATTCAAGCGCTCCTCCCGCTCATTGTTAATACGAGCCAATTTGTCGAGGAGGCGCAGCACCATATGCAAGTCATTATTGTAGGGCAGCAGCTGCAATGATCACCAAATCAGTCATCACATAAAGGCAATTGCAGTAATTTCTTATGTTGCGGTCAGAAATTAGAAAATAAGATTTAAAATAATCAATTATTGTTTACTGTTCCACTTTTCAAAAAACGATAGAATTATGCGGTTTTAAATTTTGAATTACTGTTGAAATGTAATCGGAAACCGGAACAGGACTGTGTATTTTAGTGAAGAATTCCTAAGCATCAATCACTTTTCTCAATTCGTATGCACATTAATTGCCTTCCTGGCCACATCTTTACAGTTTACTCACCCGGGGTTGCCTTTCCGCACTATGATTGACCACAATTCCAAGCTTAAAGCTTACGATATGCACGACCACATGCATAAATGTGTTAACCATATGCTCGAAGTAGTCCAGCGGCGTCAGACTCCACCACTTCTTCAGCACCTTTTTGGGATTCTCAGTGAGGTTGAATATGGCATTAATAAAGGGTACGTGCAATGTCTTATAATGCTTGGAATTGACAAATTCGTGGTACAATGGCAGTAGTAGATATATTCGCATGCTTTCCACGTCTGCCGGCGAAGCCACAAGCGATCCCAAAAGATCCTTAACGTTGTCCCAGATCTGTAAAATTCATATTAGATTATATTTATATAAAAGACGAAAGGAAGCGCACGTACCACTTGTTTAATGCCGTCGTTCTCTACATTCCGTAAATTGTCGAAAGCTTGTTGAGCGGCTTTTAAATCCAAGCCAGGATTACGCGCTGAGCAATTAAAGTGTTTGTCATTCTCCAGCAGAAACGAACCGTTCAAACAGGACTGACTCTTAAAGATTAATTCCATTGAGCTCAACAGATCCAAATCGCTTTCACCATCCTGTTTGATTGAAGCGCATTTCTTGGTAGCTTCCGCCGTAAGCTTGAGTATTTGAGTTTTTACGCTGCGTACAAATCAATTTAATTATTAATTTTTCATTTATTAAAACAATCGTTTAACTTACTCATAAACGCGACAATCTAGTGGTGGAATTTTATCCACAAAGAGTGTCGTAGTAACGACTGATTGATCGCCACCTGAAAAGATTTGCTTTATCACAACAGAGATCTGTGCATCGTTTGACTGCAGCAGGGCCGAACCGCTAGGTGAGACCTAAAAAATGACAAATCATTATTTTCATTACAATCGAATTTGTTTTTTTATTTGGACACTTACCCAAGGTCCAATTACCACTTGGGGCAGTGAAATGCTTTTTGTGCTGCGTGTTCCCAGCTGCCCAGAACTGCCCAGTCCAAAACCATACACCCGACCGCGGGATGGGACTAACGCTAGTGTGTGCCGATTGCCACATGCCACTTGAGTAATAGTACTGCCCATTAATTCGACGACCATGCGCGGCAGCATTTCGTTGGAGTTATACCCATGACCCAGCTGGCCATAGGCACCGGCCCCACAGGTAAAAACGCCACCCTCATTGGTTAGGAACACAGAGAACTCATCTCCACAGGCCACAAAACGCACCGCTAACGTACGCAGGGTTTTTAGCTGTGTGGGATATGCGCGATTCATCTCATCGTTGAGCCCCAGCTGGCCACAGTTGTTGCGTCCCCAGCCGAAGACTGCACTGGACTTTGATATTAGAAAAGAGTGATTGCCACCGCAGGCAACAGCGGCTAGCGGTATGCCCAGCAGTGTGGTTAATCTCATGGGATAATTGCAATGTGTTAATTCTTGGGGTGACTTCACGCCCAGCTGCCCATAGATATTAGAGCCCCATGAGTATAGTTCGCCACCTGAAATTGTCAATAGTTGTGTTAGAGATTCAAAGCTATAAAAGTAATTTGGCCACCACTTACAGCACGTGAGAGCCAGGCTATGGTTGTTGCCGCAAGCTATTTGCACCACTGTCTTTGATACCAGATAACGCACAATTTTGGGTAGCTCTATAATCTCTTGATCGGTAGCCTGACCTAACTGGCCGCAATCATTATCACCCCAACTGAGAACCTGACCCCATTCCGTCAGGGCCATGGAGTGCCGGCTGCCACACGCTATCTGAGTGACCACATAGTCCTCCAGCTCCGGTATGAGGACTGCAACAAAAATATAGTGATGGTGAGTGAGCGTTTGTGGGAGAATCCTAGCTGGCGCACAGCTGTGCGGGTGGAAAAAGAACCAATAGTTAGTTTTAGTGATGGATGGGTGCGTGCGTGTAGTGTAGAAGGTGTTTTTGTGGTTGGGAATGGAAGTTATTGTAGCACAAAGATGAAGAGAATGGAAATTAATCTACATACGAAATGACGATATCATACGTGGCCTTTTGGTGGGGCGATCATGACCCAATTGTGAGTGGTCATTGTTGCCACAGGCATAAACCTTGCCGTTGGCCGTCAGGAAAAGAGTGTGTCGATGGCCGCAGGCGACTTGCTGCACAGCTGCATCCGGCTTCCAAGGTATTAGGCTCGGTATTAAAATCTGTGATCAAATATGTATATAGGATTCGTGATGAAAACAAGCATATCAAAGTGTGCCTGCAAAATCGTACCTGTTCGGCCTCTATTCCACCAAGGCCGAGTTGGCCATGGGCAGTGTTGCCCCAGCAATATAAATCCATGCTAACTGGCGTGTGCTTATGGTTGATGTCGCGCCTTTGCTTGTGTGTTATTTTAGTCAACTTGATATTTTTGAACTGGCAATTTGCTGAGAATATTCGAGAAAGCTAAATCAGCCACATTCTTTGTGGGCTGCGCTTTTCACTCTCGCTTTGTTATTAAAACTGTATGGAACACACGCGTATGCACACGCACACACATGCATGCTCAGAGGCAGGCATACAGGCACTTTTATGGGTTTATCGTACTCTTTTTATCAGAGGCTTTGCGCCAGCGGGGGGGTACTGATAATAATAAGACGTGGTTGCGTGGTCTCACTTCAAAGCAATGTAGCTCCTATCAGAAATTTATTTTCTTCACAGCTGACATTATGTTTATAAAAAAGGGGAACCAAAAATGAAAATAACAACAAATGCCACGCAATTTGGCAGCATTTAAAACAACAACTCGCTGCCCCTCCCGCTAAATACAATTGGTCATTAAATTTGCGATGACACAGTCGATATCGATATCATGCCAAATTAAATGAACTATCAAAGCTCATGCTGCTTTCTTAAACGAAAGTTGTTTTTCGCAAGTTGGCATGCTTCTGTTTGTTGCTTTATATCAGGACAGCTGAACTCTGACCCGTTTTTTGTGTTGAAGCAATACAAAAAATACCATAAAATTAAGACGCAATCAGAACGCATGATAAAAGATAACGAATTTAGAGGTTCAAAATAAGGAAACCGGCGAATTCGTTAGTTTTAACTTGGCATAACCACAAAAACCGGTCGCGTTTAATATAACCAAATCGACAATCAAACACTACTGCCACGACATCAAGTATGCAGGAGGCCTATGTTAACATTAATGGCATACCCACACACATATTTACGTGGGGTCGCTGGATCGAGGAGTCCTTGAACGATGTCAATGAAATTGTAGTCTGCATAACTGGTAATCCTGGACTGCCTGGATTTTACACAGAATTTGGGAGCACTTTGCAACAGAAACTTGGTGGGGGTGGTGCAAATCTACCCGTGTGGGTCATAGGTATAAAGGAACAAATATTTCTATAATCTGACGTGTTTACAAAAAGTATTTTTTGCAGGCCATGCCGGTCATGATGATCCACCCGAGTCCAGCATTCGAGAGGTGCCTCAGCTGAGTGGCAACGAGGAAATTTTCAACCTCGATGGCCAGATTAAGCACAAAATCGAATTTATCGAAAAGTATGTACCACGCAATGTTAAAATCCATTTGATTGGACATTCAATTGGTGCCTGGATGATACTGCAGCTGTTGCGCGAGAACAGCATTCGGGATCGCGTCAAGAAATGTTACATGCTCTTCCCGACTGTTGAGAAAATGATGGAGTCACCGAATGGTTGGGTATTTACCAAAATAGCAATGCCTTTGTATTCAGTGTTTGGATACGTGTTCTTTACATTCTTTAATCATTTGCCCGCCTGGCTACGTCTTTTCTTCATACAAATCTACTTTTGGATGTTTGCAATACCAAGACAGTTTGTGGGCACAGCCCTAAAATATTCCAAGGCGTCAGTGGCTGAGAAAGTTGTTTTCTTGGCGGACGATGAAATGTCTCGAGTTCGTGGCCTACAACGTGAAATTATCGAAGATAATCTGCACTTGTTGAAATTTTATTATGGCACCACCGACGGCTGGGTGCCGGTTTCATATTATGAGCAACTGAAGCGACTGTTTCCCAATGTGGATGCACAGCTGGACACCCAACGCATCGACCATGCATTTGTGTTACGGCACTCCCGACCCATGGCCGAGATCGTCAGCGGCATGATACAGCAGAATTTGCGTTGACGGCCCTGTAGCCAGCGTATGCCTAGAATCTTGCTCTAAAATGTAACAACTCCTGCCTGAACTTGCACCATAAATATTGCTTTCGTTTGTCGAAACAGCATTTTATTTAGTAGCGCTCTATGAAGCGACTTCAATTGTGAACAAAACTAAATATACAATTTATATTTATTGTTAAGTTTAAACGTAAAATGTTGTTATTTACTACGAAGCCCGAAAATTGGCAGATGATTAAAAGTTCCAATTTTCGGGACTCGTAGAAAATGAATGTCTTAATTGCTGGCTGGCGTCGCGGAGCGGCTGCGTGTGGGCGAACGTGACCTTGAACCCGACGGAGATCTTGATCCGGACCTAGATCTGCTGCGACTTCTGGATTTTGATTTGGATCTACTGTGTGATCTAGATTTTGATTTCGATCTTGATCGAGAGCCAGATTTTGATCTTGAACCGTCCGATTCGCCACCTGACTCAATGCGATTTCTAGCGCGTTTCTTTCTAGTGCCGGTATCGCTTCCACTGCCACTTCGGCTGCCACTGCGATTGCGCTTTCGACCACGATCACTACCGCTATCACTACCAGATCCACTACCACTGCGACTGCGGCTACGACTTTTCCTGCTCCCGCTTTCACTTCGGCTTCGACTGCGGCTTTTCCTGCTGCCACTTTCACTGCGGCTACGACTCCGACTTTTTCTACTGCCGCTTTCGCTGCGGCTTCGACTGCCGCTACGACTTTTCCTGCTGCCACTCTCACTTCGACTACGGCTACGACTGCGACTTCTTTTGCCACCGCCTTCGCTCTCAGATTCGCTTGTTGAAATCGTTTCCTTCGACACAATCTTGAGACGCTGCTTAGCCGACAGCTTCTCCTTGGACTCCTTAATGGGTTGTTGCTTCTTTTTCTTCTTTTTGCTGGAATTGTCACCACCACGACGCTCTTCATCGCTTTCGCTCTCATATTTATCCGCCTTTCGCTTCCGCCCACTTCCCTTTTTGCGCTCGCCTTTGCTTTTCTTCTTGGGTGGTCGTTCGGCGCCATCTCTAGGTCCATCATCGCTATCACTGCCCGATAAGTAGTCATCCTTGCGTGGACGTCCGCTTCCCTTTTTGCGTTCTTTTTCCGTCGGAGCATCGGCAATAATTAGCAAATTTTTCGTTTTCTCCACATATTCCTGGCGCTTGGCCAACAATTGGTCGCGCGACATTTTTGCCTCTTCTTCGCGTCGTTTTCGTTGTTCTGCCTGTTTCAGTTTGAATGCCTCGCGTTCCTCCTCCTGTTTTCGACGTAGCGAGCGCTCCTCCTCGTCTATGCGACGTGCACGACCCACATGATACTGAGCCTGTGACAGTAGATCCTGGCATTGATTGGCCTCAATGGCTGCCACTTCGATGTTGAAACGTGCCTTATCGCCGTGCACGGACAGATATTGAAAGTACCTGTAATGGTAAAAAGGTTAAAAGTTTTGTAAAACACTTTTCGCAGCATTGTTTCAGTTATTGGTTTGGTTGCTCATATGAGTTTGTGTTGGAGACAATTTCAGATATTGAAAGAATTACTATTTACTACAAACATAACAATTCTACGGTTGGCTATATATAATTTGAACCTTTGATGGTATTTTTTTTACTTAACCAAGTCAGCATCGTATAGAGTTCGCTCTTAATTTAGTGATACTCACTTGTGGGCTAACTCCAGCTCATGTACCGCCTGCAGGACCACTTCCAGTGTGGACTTTTCGTCCTTAAGTATGGCCATGGCTAGGCGGGATAGAACCACGGCAATGTTGAATAAGAGCACGGTATCCTGAGGTGCCACACGTCGTGCCTTCAGCAGTACTGCCTTGGCCTCGACGAGCTTGTTGGCGCGTAAATAAGCACGGGCCAAATACTGCATGACCTCGACGTTATTGTGCTTGAAGAACTTTTTCATGCAGTTCTCGTACATCTGAATGGCACTGATGTATTGCTTTTGTTCCACATAAACGTGCGCAATGTTCAGCCAAACGTCACAGAAATCGGCGGTGGCTTCACGCACCTGAGCGAATATATCGCGTGCCTCAATGACGCAGCCCTTGTGGGCGAGAACAGCACCAATACCATTTGTGGCCCAAATGTTGCGCGGATCATTGCGTAGAACCTGCTTGTAGATGGCAAGTGCTTTTTCCTGATGCTTGCGCTCCTTCTCCTTGTCGCGTGATGGCTGATGAAGCGTCTGCAGAGAGAAGTTGCCCAAAGCAATCAGCGAATAGGCATCAGTAGAGGTAGCCGGGTTTTTCAAAATTGTCTCAAAATTCTTCTGTCCCAATGCAAACTGCATTTTTGCCAAATGCAAGTTACCAAGCAATGATCTTTAATAAAAAAATTGCATGCATTATTAAAAAAAAGTTATGGGAGTTATTTAGGGAGTGTAGTTACCTCGCATCTGGGTTATCATTATTAATGTTGAGTGCATCTTTGAAGAAATCGGATGCCACAAAAATAAGGCCCTTATCACGCGCCATGCAACCCAAACGCAAATAACAGTCAATATAGTTGGGATGCTCCTTGAGGATATCCTTGTAAAGTTTGTCGGCCACATCGTAGCTGCTCATGGCCTCGTTCAGACGTGCCAAATTGTACTTCATGGTTACCTGTATAGACTCGTAGTATTTAACATCCTTGTCCATTTCCGAGATGGCGTGCGACAGAGCCGATTCCAAAGTGCTTTTTGCCATTTTCAGATTTCCCAGTCGATAGTGTAATGAGGCCACATTATTTTGAATTTCCGCAGGTATCTCATACTTGGCCTTGTCACGCAATATACTCGATGCTGTTCCATACGCATTAAGTGAAGCCTGTAAATCATTCTGTTCCAAAATCTGCGCCAATTCAATCCACGCTTCGATGTCCTCTGGAAACTGCTCGGTGACTTTTTTCAGATGCGTTTTGGCCATGTCCCGCTTGGTCTGCGAATTGGAATGGGCATAGAGCGAGCCCAAGATCTTCATTGTCTCATAATTTCCCGGCTGTATCTTTAGCACCTTCTCAAAGCACTGCGCCGCCTAAAATGAAACGAAAAAAATATGTTAATACGCTACGATTTAAGCCATTTAAGTATTCTTACGTTCTCCGTATCTCCACGATATATATACATTTGTCCCAGTCCGTAGTGGGGCAGTACAAAATTGGCAGGCGCAATTTGCGTTGATTGGTAGTAGTACTGAAAGGCCTGATCGTAGTCGCTTTGTGCATGGAAGCTACGCGCTAATTGGTAACAACTCTCGGCACGCATTGCTTCGTTCTCGGTGTTGTGAAAGGCATGCAGGGCCAGGTGGTGCACCTTTTGATAGTCCTTCTTAAAGAAGAAGTGATTGGCCAAATGATTTAGTACCATTGGATTGGCATTGTCGATGGTGTAAGCTTTGGAGAGCATTTGAACTCCCAGCTTATTGGACTCTGGCTCCAGTTGATTCAGCTTCAGCACCGCCAGACCAATTAATGCACCCACGCACTGCTGGTCCAGTTGTAGTGCGCGCTCGAATGCTAACTTGGCCTTCTCCGGATTTCCCATCTTTAGGAAGCAATGTGCCATGCCTATGCGTACGTTTGCCGGACAATTGGGATTTGTGCGTAAGGCCTTCTTGTAGAATACCATGGCGCCACGATAATCCTTGCGATTGAAAGCAATGCAAGCCTTACCCAGCAGTGAGGGTATGTTGGAAGGCGACTGGTTCAGGACAAAATTAAATTGGGCATCGGCCTGGTCCATTTTATCGCCTTCAAGCAAGCAGAAGTAGGCTCGTCCCAGCAAATGGCTTTGATCGTACATAATGATCTTGTCAGCGCTGGTATACAGATTGGTGGCCTTCATGAACAGCTCACGCTTCTTATCCTTGGACTTTTCCCGGTACGCCTCCTGGACATAGTGTGCCGCCAGCATGTCCAACGCACGCATTTGGTCCTTTTCGAAGTCCCGATAGTTTTTGGTGCCCTTCTCGCGGGCCGCGTCCAACAGAGTAATAAAATCATCTGTTTTCTTTTGCTTGTAGTATGCCAGCTGCAAATGCATGGAAAAGCAAATTTTCCAGTCAAGGGCCATGTGGCAAAGTAAAATATTAAATTAATAGCTTACCGCGACATTAACCCACACATGCAATGGAGCATGCTCCTGCAGTAGAATGCTGAGTACCTCCGAGCATTCTGGCAACTGATCCGGGTCCACTTCGATGACCTGCGAAAAATTCCTTTTATTATGGAAGCGCCACACAAACAGAAAATATGAATATTTAGGAATCTTACCTCATCGGTATCCTGCAAGGGAATCTCGATACACGCAGACATGATGGCATGCAGCGTGGTTGAGTCCTTTCTGCAGATTATTTAGGTTTTAGCACACTTTTTGTCAAATTTTTGCAACTATCAAATAATTTTCAATCCGCTTGCTTTCCAATGGCGGCGTTAGTGATGATAAGACAATGCGATTCTATTTCACAGCAGATAGACTTGCTGTTATCGACTTATCGATTTTTTAAATAAAACATTCTTATGAGCTAGTTCGCTCTCATACCGAATCAACACAAAGTCATTCTTTATGGCACCTGCATGAAACAGTGCAAATATGTAGATGTTTATTAGAGAATTATCTTTTAATTAGTACAAATTCAATTGTAAAAATGTGCAATAGATAGTGAATAACCAAAATGCAAAGCCTTCTCGGTTTTCCCGTGCTAAATAGCAGTCTCTCCTTGACGCTGCTGTCATCAGTGAAAGTGCTCAGGCGGACGGCAGATGTTTTACTCTTATGTAATAATTTAAGTGGAAATGGAACGAAATTGAAATTGGCAACCGTCGCACATGTAGATAGTTCTTATCAGCTGGCGCGTCGGCATAAAAACACAACACTTCACAGGCAATTTTCGCGCTATTCGGCCAGCACAATAATGGGTTCCTCAGACAAGCATCTAGTACTGAACGACTACAGTATTGTTGGCTTCGATTTGGATGGCACACTACTGCGCTACAATCTTCAGGAGATGACAGTGCTAGTGTACAATGTGCTGAAGCAGTATCTGGTAGATGAAAAAGGCTATTCGCGCGCGTTGTTGGATCAGCCACTGGATATGGACTTTTTGCAAAAAGGTCTGGTATTGGATGGTCCCAGAGGCAATGTGTTGAAGCTCAGCAATGAGGCAGTCATACTTCGAGCCACACACGGCACACGCCTGCTCAGCGATGCAGAAATTGAGGATGCCTATGGATGCAATCGAAAATGGGATGTGACCACGGCTTTTTATGAGGATCCACTTTCTACGTGGAATGGTCCGGCAGCTGATCAAATGCGAGCGTTACTCGATTACTTCGATATGCCAAGTGCGCTCGTTTTTGCACAAGCAGTCGACCTCGTAGATCAGGAAACCGGCAGACAGCAGAATGGGTACACTGTCTGGCCGGATCTTCTTGCTGGCCTAATGCACAATTATAGTCGCGATAACTTTAGCAATGGCAAGAGCGCCTATTTTACAGCCATGCGTGCCGAACCCGAGCGTTTTGTGTTACCCACGAGTGGAAAGGTGATAAGCTGGTTAGAAGAATTGCGTGCTGCTGGCAAGAAACTCTTTCTGCTCACCGGCTCCAACATAGACTTCGCCAATTTGACGGCCACCCAAGCGTTTGGCAAAGATTGGCCGCAAATGTTCGATTTTATAGGGACGTATGCCAAGAAACCGGGTTTCTTCACCATGCAACGCCCGTTCATGCGTGTGGATGCGACGGCTCTGCAAGAGCTACCGAATAGTGAAGTTAGTCTGGGGACAACACTGCAAAAAGGCAACATTTACTCGCAAGGCAATTGGCATCAGCTGCATGAAACGATAGCTAAGATGCTGAACAAGGACACTGCCTCGGCACGTGCTATTTACTTTGGCGACAACATTATACAGGATGTGTACACACCCGTAAAGCACCGCGATTTTGATGCCGTAGCCATTGCGGAAGAGATGCTGCTTGCGCACAACAATTATCCCTATCCAGAGGCACTGGGGTCACGATTCTGGGGCTCATATTTCTGTATGAAAGACACACCTACACTCTGGGCCGGCCTAATTACAAAATATGCACAGCTGTGTGTGCCTTCCATGGAGATAATGGCTCAGTGTTCAACCTCTAAGTTGATTGTGTCCAAAGATGGATTCTATCCCACACAGCCCAAGGAACTCGAAAATGCGATGCAATCGAACGGGGTGTGACCTCTGCAAAGCAAGATAAGGATTATCATTTAATACTATGTACTATGTACCAGATATTTACTAATTGAAGTAATGCAATGAAAAATCGAAAGACATTCTGCTGTTATTGTGCTCGAACGCATCAGTTGGCGTCGTCCGAATTTAAAATCCGTTCAATTAAGCGCAACAATAAAAACCTCATACTTTACATACTTATAGAAAAAGTATCTTAAGTGATTGTTTTTTGATTAGATTATTCTAAAATTAAATCATGGCCTATAATTTGGATAAGACTTATAATACTTTAACAAAACTATAGTTTAGAAAGTAAACGGGTCGATTGGAAAATTGGTTGTAAGAAAAAATAGAGCACAGGCAAAGCTTATATACATACATCCATCTACATACATATGTATATGTGTAAATCCCAATCAATAACATTCACATTTACTTGACAATAAATAGACAAATATGTTTGCATTTATTTGGAACATTACACCCACCACACACGGCATTGAAACCGCAATAAGTACATAGAAGTTGAAATAAATATTTGTATAACAATAAATGGCAATTGCGGTTAATCAGACAACCCGCTCGACAGCCAATGCAATGCCCATGCCTCCCCCAATACATAGGGAGGCAATGCCACGACGTCCGCCAGTTCGCTCCAGCGCATACAGCAATGTGACGAGCACACGTGCCCCGGACGCGCCAATTGGATGGCCGAGCGCAATAGCACCGCCGTGCACGTTCACTTTATTGCTATCCAATTGAAGGCATTCCAAAACCGCCAACGATTGTGCTGCAAAAGCCTCGTTCAACTCATACAGATCGACGTCATCGCGTGTCCAACCGATTTTCTTGAGCTGTGAAAATTCATAAATTAGTGTGACTTAGAAATGAGAAGGGTACACACGTTTTTGAGGGGGGATACACAATGATAGAACAGGGAATATACTAATTAAAATTATTGTTCAAAGGATTTAATAGGGTGGTTAGCCTATTTATATTTTTAATGCTATCAACATATCTAAAGAGATTAAGCTAGATATCTTTCTAACCAGAAACCGCTGACAACATATATAGACAGATAGATAACACATCAGATATCAAAATATGCATATTTGAATATACTAGAAATAATTTTACTATAAAATCAATAAGATCGTGATGATTTTTTATCTATAACAGTGGATATAAAAGTAGAGCAGATCTTAGGAAAACTCTAGAAAATTAATACATACCAACGCTTCCACAGCCGTCACTGGGCCCAGGCCCATTACTTTCGGCTCAATACCCGTTTGCGTCCAGCCCACAATTTTGGCTAGAGGCTTGGCATTTCGTTTGCTGACTTCTTCGCCAGACATGAGCAGCAAAGCAGCCGCCGAATCATTCACACCAGAGGCATTACCGGGGGTTACTGTGCCAGCCTGAGAACAATATCGAGCATATTCTATGACTCGTCAAGGTAGAAGACTGATCAGACTAACCTGCTTAAAGTAAGGTTTTAACTTTTGCAAAGCATCGACAGTGCTTCCTGGCTTGATGAACTCGTCGTTCCTGAAGATTTGAGTGCCTTTTCGATCGACTATCTCAACTGGCACAATCTCACTGTCGAAGAAGCCCTTTTTCTGAGCCGCCTCGGCACGATGTTGTGAAAGAACAGCGAATTCATCCTGCGCCGCACGACTTATGTTAAACTTTTCGGCCAGATTCTCAGCAGTGATGCCCATATGAATGTTCTCCATCGCATCAGTGAGGCCATCATGCACCATGGAATCCAACATTGTGCCTGGTCCCAATTTAATGCCCTGACGTAATAGCATGACGTGTGGGGCCAGCGACATACTCTCCTGGCCCCCAGCAATGATTATATTAGCATCGCCGGCACGTATTGACTGATAGGCCAGGGCAACGGTTCTGGAAGTTATACAAATTTAGCTAATTTGTAAGAACTTTAAATAAAAGTCTTAGTCATACTTCAGACCGGAGCCGCAGAGCATGTTGATGCCATAGGCAGGCACTTCGATAGGTAGGCCAGCTTTCAGCGCAGCTTGACGAGCGGGGTTCTGACCCTGACCCGCGGTGAGTGCCTAAAATGGGTGTAAAGCTTACATTTACATAATGATGAGTTAAGCAAATTTCATTTATGCAAGCACACGATAAACTTTTCGAATGTTTCCTGATAAGAAACCAAGTGCTGGGGAACGAACCTGGCCCATAATGACTTCATTAACACTGCCTTCATCGAGATTGGCTCGTTTGATCACCTCTTTAATGACAATACTACCCAGGTCGGATGCCTTCAATTTAGAAAGCGTACCGTTAAAGTTACCTGTTGGTCAAGAGAAAGTTTACATATGTATGTATATCATAGGTATAAGAATTTTTTTTTAGGGCGTGGACTTTTAACTGACCGATGACACTTACCAATGGGGGTGCGAGCTGCAGATACAATATAGACGTCAGACATGACTTAGCTGTAATATTTTTAGCGTTTCAATGCTAATTTATTAATAAGAACTAGTATTCGAAACCAAGCTGCTTTTATTTCGTCGCGGTCCGCGTTTACAACAGAAGGTTGGCAGGGTTGTCATCTTACTCACCAGGGCTGAAACGTGCTATTTCATTAAATAAGAGCGCTGCAAATTAACATTAGTTATGTGAATTCAAAATCGATTTATTGCGCGCAAAAAAAGCTTTGCAATTACAACGACATTTGTTCATGATACACGACTTATTTCCTTTCATTAATGTCTTCAAATAATTTTATTTAAACTATTACTTGTTATTACATTAACCAGTAACAAGTAATAACTAAATAAACAATACAATATTTGTTTTATTGGAAATTAAACTTTCATCACACGTTTCAATTTTTACAACTTCATTGCATTTCAATTGTTTGTTCATATTTCTAAGTCGATCATTTTTGAATGAAAAAATAGTAGTGATGTTGGAGGCTGCCTATGGGGACTTTTCACCGACTATGGCATTCATGAGATATTGGTTTAACTCGTTTAAGCATGATCGTACAACAGTTTTGAATTTAGAAACAAATAAATAATAATCGGGCAATAGTTCCTATGGCAGCTATATAGATATAGAACTCCGGTCAGGATAAGTGCTAAATATGTATATATCCATTCGCCTCCCTTACTAACATTAGACCAAGCATGTAAATTATAATACATGTATGTTTATATATGTATTTATATTTAGACTAATGAAAAATTTACAAATATATATGTACATATATGAAAATGCGGCATTAAGCTATGTACTTATATATACAAATGTAGGACGTATGTTCATATGTACTAATTATATTAATATATTCAAGGGCATTCTAAAACTTTTTTAGCAGAAGCACTTCAGGCAAATTGATGCGCTCTAATTTAGCGTTTACAAAAGACTCATGCATAGATTTCAACGTATTTATGTCGCCGTTATAATCATTTTTATAAAAAAGCACGGCCGTACGATCTTTGCTCACAGTAATGTTGTATTGCCGGCACTGCTGAAAGAGTACATTGGGTGATTTAAGTACAAGGAGACGTATTAGGTATGTAACCGGAACTGTGAGCACTTTATTGTGGTAGGCATGGGAGAAAAGTGCCAACAGGCGACGTCTTAATGTCTGCATTTTCAGGGATGCCAAGGAGCACATGATGTGCGGAAGCGTTGGTATATTCTGTAGCACTCTATAAAGATGACCCCGATGATAATCCATGGATATGTTGAATGCTAACTTAAACACTTCGTCTTGGCGTACATGCAATGGCAATGTCAGGCCCCGAGATAAAGCTTCGAAAACACCTAAATTGAAGATTTGATACAATGCCTCGATGAAGTAGCGGCGCTGAAGATTGCGCAGACTTTCAGTTTGTGGATCCTTCTCAAGATCATCGTAACAGCAAAGCACGCGTTTTAAACATTCTTGTAAATGCTGCTGACAGATCTTTGGATCAAAGTTATCTATGGGTTCGGTACTCAAAGTATATAGGCTATAAGCCAAAAACATTATCATCGGTTCCATTAGGCGCACAGATTGGCGGCTGTCAAACTCCTGTATCACAATTTCTTGGCGCACGGCACGCAGTCGATCAAATATAAAATCGTATGCAAATCGGAAGGGTTTTCTCTTGTCCAGACAAATTTCTTTGAACAAATACTCAACGGTCCTCACGAGACACTCCTCTGTCCGCATGTCCTTAACCTTGGGAGTCACAACGCCGGCGGCAGAGCGTGTAAACTCTTTAACAAGCAAGCCAGGAACATTTTTTTGACCGTTCTTATATTCGTAGAAGTTAAGCAATTTTTCCTTGATACGCCTGGATACACATATACAATTCAATTAAAACAATTATATAAACGATGTCTATAAGTTACTAACATTTTTGTCTCCGTTTCTGGACAAAAAGATTCGCAAGAGCCTCGCAATTTCATGTCGCCTTTTTCTTTAATAAACGTGAAGTGGAACAACAACAATGATGAACAGCTGGCACAACTTATAGAGCTGTCAGCTATTGGAAATATTCAAATATGGTTGACAAATATAACCATTTTAAAATGTACACATTACATTCTTGGCCTTCAAAATGTTCTTTAGGACTTTAAAACAAATTTTTAAACAAAATTACAGTGTAGGTCTAGTATGTGGCTCAAGCTTTAAACGCTGTCTGTGTGCGAACATCACCAATGGCCGCGTTAGCAATACTGCCACTCAGCTGTTATTTGTTTTCGTTGGCGTCACAAAATGCCAGGACGAGAAGGTAAGACGCGGCCAGCTGAGAGGAGCAATTCTTAATCGCAATAAGAAAATGACGTTGGAAAAGAGGGCGCAGGAATATTTAGATTCGCTAAAAATGGTTTGGATGCAACTCCATAGTATGCCCGGTGTCTTTAGCTATGAACTGAATGCAACCAAAGCTCGTGTTCTTTCGGGCAAATGCAATTTCTATGCTGAGGTGAGTTGGATGAACTCTTAAATGCATATAATGTCACAAGTGCATACCTGCAGCTAAATAAGGATCGAAGTATGAAACGTCGTTTGCCCCAAACCATTGAGAATCTGAATCCGAAATTTAAACCTTCCCACTTCAACTTCAATAAAGTCAATACGATTGAGCAATTAATGATCATTGAACACAATGACAGACAAGTGCATATGATTGTTAACAAGAGTCCTATCACTCAATATCACACGTTAATTTGTCCGGATGTTAAGAAGAACTTGGTGCAAAAAATTACTGCTGAGAGCTTACTATTCTGCATCACCTTTATGCGTCACATAAACGATGGCAACATACGTATAGGCTACAATAGTCCTGGCGCACTGGCCTCAGTTAATCATCTGCACTATCATCTCGTGCACATGCCACAGGACTTGTATATAGATAAGGTGGAACTGGAGCATCTGGCCGATGGTTATACGTATCGTTTAAGCAGCAAACTGCCCACAGAGGCGGTTTGTTTTGTATTTAATTCAAACGACACGAAGGCGTTGGTAAGGGAAAAGGTGGAAAATATACATCGACTAACAGAATGGATGTGCGACCAAAACTTGCCACACAATCTTTTCATCACGCATGATCGTCGTGACTTAAACAAGCCTGGCAAAGTCTTGGTATATGTATTTGCACGCAGCAAGTTCTGTGTCACTAAGGATTTGGCTCACTTCAATGTCGGTTTCTGTGAACTGGCGGGCTACATACCATTAGGTGGTAAGTACTTAATAAATCTTTGTTTTCTTGTAAAAGGAGGCGTGATTCCGAATGAAATCTTTATAATAATTAGGTATTCTTAGTTACAAAACACGAAAGTGTTACAATTTTGTACTATATAAGAATGTACACATCTAAACATACAATTAAAAGTAAATGTGTTTTGTTTTACCCTAAAGCAAAACACATTCGCCAACAGGCCAAGCCATTCTTTAAAATTTGCTTTCAATTTCAGATGACACAAAGCTACAGAGTTTAACGGAGAAGATGGTTGTAGAACGTGTACGTGATATATCAGGCGATGCTTATAAATCCGTTTACGGGAAGGTCAAGTTTATAGTCAACAACTCTCCTACCGCACTCATCTGGGAACAACCGTTTACCATTTAAGCAAACACAAACTGAAGGATAAATATACAAAACATTTATATTTACATTAATTTTCGGTGTACACTTAATTGGTCGCAGACACAAAGCCTTTCCCCATGCCTGCTTTGTTAATAACTTTGACATTCTTAGCTATGGAATAGTCTGCAGTTGAATCGGCATTTAGAAGTTTTGCAAGCTCCGACAGTTTATCTGATGCCATGCTTTTGTGAATTGTCTCAAAGAAGGCCATATAATGATGCAGATTGTGACTGAAAGCAAATTAAAACAAGATTAACGTCAGGACTTTCAGAAATATTGCAAGTTCTACTACTACTTACACCATTAGCAATATGGGACCCAGGAGCTCGTTGGTCTTGTAGAGATGATGAACATAGGCACGCGTATGCTTCTGGCAGGCCAAACAGCTGCAATTGGCTACCAATGGCCTGAAATCCTCCTTGAGTGTGTCGTCCGTTATGTCCAAAAAAGGTGTCTGCTTTGGGCAGCCGTTTTCATCGTTTAACTCAAAGTTAAACGTCAGTGCCTTATAATTTACGGCTGCACAGTAGGCATACGATGTATCAAACATATCTACACCCAAACGCACCAGTTCCAGTATCATTAACGGCGTATAGGCACCGCACATCATGCGTGGCTTTTCATCGTCCAATTCTGTTACACAATGCTTCACAATGGGCAGTAATTTACTGGCTTCTAGATGGGTGGCGCTCAGTCCATTTGTATGAAATCCTTCCAGCACATAACCGCCAAAACTGTTGGCAGGCTGTTGCCTAGCATGCTTAATAGACTGGGTGCGAGCGTAGGTGCTATAGCCACCCACAATCGGCGCCAACAGTGTTGATTTGGATAGACGGTCCAGCTTCCCGTGCTGTTCATAGCAGTAGTCCATGAAGCGCTCGGTCCGATCAACAGATTTTTGCACGCGTTTTTTTGAGCTATCCGCATTAGTATCAGCATCGCAAAGTCCCTGATATAAATCGGGGGCAAAGCTGTCCATCAGCTCCATATACCGTTGTGCTGTTATCGAACCCTTGCCATGTCGCGTATATAATGGCACCACATCGCGGTCATTTCCACCGGAGGGGGTTGTTTCGCAAGGATCACGAAACAGTAAAACATTCGGATAGCCGGGGTAGCCTACATATGCGCTTAAACCACTCGGATATTGCAACAACGACTCAGCCATTTGATCCATGGTGGAAAGTGTGAGCTGCAGAAGCAACGGTTGCTGCTCCTTGCTAACGTATTCAAAAACATTGCCACTTAGGTATGGAATACTACCGCCTTTAGTAGTTTGCATTAACAGTGGCGTCCTTAATTGCAGTTGGCCTGCCCCCTCACCCCGCTGTATAAGCAATTGTCCCAGCCGGCCGGAATCTCTACTTATTTGTTTATTGATGACAAATTTCATTGCAGCACGCTTTACCATTCTTCTTCTTCCAGAGGAATTTTTGCCATTCGATTGGCTTGTGATTGGCGTTGCCACCTTATAACTTTGGTTGTGAATGAGAAGCCTGTTATAAATTCTCATCGCTGCCTCAACTCAGTTGCTTTTTAAATTTAGCCGTGCTTGCATTGAGGGGGCGCGTGTTCATTTGTGTCCGCCGCTGTCGTCATCTCCCCATGTTAATGTTTTTATGTTGTTGGTTGGTTGTATGAGCGGCGCACTCGAGAATTGTCATTGTTTTTGTTGCCGCAGTGTTTTCGTTATGCATTTTCGGGCTCGCTCGCACTTGTTGGCGTAGTCGACTTTTCCCCAATTGTGTGTTTTCGTTCGTTCATTGATTTCCTAATTAAGTTTATAATTAAAATTAATTGAAAAATTACATACACACACAAGCCCACTTTTATGTATGCATGAATGAGCGTCAAAATGTAAAGTGTTTGATTGGAGAAAAAATTAATAATACACGGGCGCGTTAAGACTGGAAAAGGAAATTGTGCCAAATAGAACAAGAAAATAGAAGCTCATTGGTCAGAAGGTAATTGCAATAACAATACTGTACATACAGATCTATGAATACTTGCCTAATTGATGACTTCCTTGCGCGCTATATTTATAATTAAAAACGTCTGCAGGGGCAATTATATATTTATACATACATATGTACACATGTATGCGCTCCCTTTATCTGCTATGCATTCGGATATATATGTACATAGTTAAATATTGTATGTGTATCTACGTACATACATATGCATATAATGTACATACAGAAACTATAAAAATTCTTTGCACAAAATTTTGAATGTATGTACATACATAGTCATAAATTTGGCTAGAAGTCATTTCGGCTTAAGTATTAAGTATTTCTGTGGGCTGTGGTGCATGGAACAATGCGAGTATATATTTGTGTGTATGGGGCTTGTGCTGGCGGGGGGTCGCTGGGGATACCACACTTATCCTATTTAGTGGCCAGTGTTGCCAGTTGTAGTGGAAAATATCATGTACAGGTATCTGTATGGCCTTGCTAGCATTTCTACCTGCATTCTACAGTCCTTAAGCAGCAGGCTCTGTTTACGTTTTATGACAGTGCACCAGTGATCCCTTATACCAATTTGTCGCGCAGAAATAGTCGTAAATAAAATTTAAAATATCTGCGTTCAAGTAATAAATTTTTACCTTTATGCACATTCCAGGTGGTCCTTAGAGGCGCACAGTAATCTGGCAACCCTGTTCAAATGAACTGTTTTACCTGTACAAAAAATGCGCGCCGGTCGACCGTCGGCACCGCAACGGATAATTTAGTGGAATTTTCTAAAATAGCAAAGCAGCTACAGCTACGGCTACAATAATCCTCGTCGTCGGCAATAGTGAGCGCAGCAGCAGCAGAGAGAGAAACAACAACAACAAGAGTACAACCATTATAATCAAAGATTAAATCAGGTTTATATGGAAGGGTTAAAAAGAGCAAAACAGCCAGCCTGTCGCAGGAAGAAATACACGTTTCCTAGTTGCAACAACAACAACGCCAAATGATTTTGATTACAAATACAAGGAGCGCGCACACATACGCATACATAAATACACACACATACCTAAATTGATATAAACGCGCTCAATGAGAGAGCGTCGTCGCTACGGCTGCTATGAATGTGTGAGTGGGAGCGAGAGAGCAAGCACAGATTAACTAGCAGTCAGCAGCAGTGGCAGCAGCGTCGACTTCGTAGCAGCACACTGCCGTTTTTTGCTCAGTTTTCATTCGTGTGCGGTACGGTTATGTTGCTGTTGTCGCGTTGCATGTAAAGTAAATAACAAGATTTTTCCGCTAGGCAACAGCAAACAACAAATGTGTGTGTACTTGAATGGTGGCGGCATTTGTTGATAAATATACAAAGACAGAGTTGAAATAACCGTTTCTTCTATGTGCGAAAATTTGCCACAAAAAAGTTGCTCTAGATAGTAAATGTAAGGAAACAAGTGAAAATTATGATAATCGTGAAGAACATAGTTTAAAGATATAATAGAATAGCTAAAAGACAACTTACAGGCAGGCGGACCAGTTTGAAAAGCCTATTTGCAGGGCGCAATACTAATACAACACACGCTGCCTTCGTCGACGTCGTCGTCATCATCTCATCATCGTTGTCTTTTGTGTCAGTGTGTGTGTGAAAGAGCAGGCGATAGTTTGAGAGTGCGGTGGCTAGGCAGGCAATTGAACATACACACACGTACATGCCAAGACAGCTACAGCAGTAACAACAACAGAGCCGACCGCCGACCACATACGGTGAAAAGGCCGTCTTAGCGGCAGAGGCAGAAGACAGCAGTATCGGCTAGTAGGCGAGCAAGGAGCGAAAGGCGCAGCAACGCGAGCAGCGAGCAATAAGAATAATAAATTACACTTTGCTATAATAAGAAGAAAAATTTATATACACACATACCTACTGACTGGCATACACACACATGTGCAAGAAGTAATGTACTTTTGAACGTGTGTGCGTGTCTGTGAGTGCTGCGCACATAGCTTGTGGAAAATTGTAATAAAATATGAACGCAACAACAACAAGTGAACGAAAAACGTAAGGCGGGGGCGCGCCAATGGTGGAAAACTAAAAGTAAAGTGAAAATTTGTGTGCGCTGCGCTGCTTATTTCGTACGAGTGTGTGTTTCGATAAAGTTTTGAAAGGCGAGCGCGAACACATGCCGTTAGCTTGTGTGTTAACATTTAGATGCGGAAATAAATTCAAAGCAACAACTGAATAAAAAAAAGATAAACAAACATAAAGAAGAAGTAAAAAAGAGAGAAAAATTCATGTGCCATGTAAAACAAGAAAAACTCAGACTTCAAACTAACTAAAACGACAAAGGAAAGCTTTAAACAAATAAAGAAACAAAAATTATAAAAATTAATTAAAATAATATTAAGATAAGTGCAACAGTATTAGTAGAACACCAACCACCATCAAGCACAAGCCAGCACCGCCATTACTACCAGCAAAATGTCCTGCATATCGAGCAACTTTAGCTCATTCTTCCTCAACTCGTTGAACGATCCTTCAGAGTTTTCCAAGTACTTGAGCAATGGCGAGCTGAAATGCACAAATTTCGAAGAATTTCAAGTGTTTGGCTGCGGCGCAGGCGCGCAAACGTCGCAGCAACAACAACTACAACAGTATTCTCACACACATCAGCAGCAGCCGCAGCATATGGCAAATGGTGGCAACAGCAATGGCGGCGGCGACTTCACAGGCTATGACGTTCAGTCACAACAAGCGCAGCTACGTGAAGCTGCACCCACGCCCACAACCGCTTCACATTATGAACATAATTTGGCAGCAACAGCCGCCGCTGTGACATCAGCAGCGCAACAGTCAGGGCCACCACTTGGAAGCAATCGGTGGCCCACAGCTGTGGCTACTCCAAATGGACACGCTCCAACGACACCGGGCAGTGTGCCACAACATTTCGATGGTTCCTTCGAGTTCATAAAGTATCTGCGCCACTCCACGGACTTTACGCCCGACTCTAGAGATGCAACGGATAAGACCAGCAAAACCCCCGCCTCGTCGCCAGCCGGCAACCGTCAGTGCCAATCGCCTGCAGCCAGCAGCACGGCCAGCGGTAGTCTTATTGATCTGGACACGAGCACCTCCCAGAAATCACGCTCCACCTCACGCAAGGTGGCTGCCCTGCTCTCTTCCGTTTCGCGTGCTTCCAACAGTCTCGAGACCTCATCTTCGGCACTGGATGTCTTCGATCATGACTCAAAACAGACAATATTTGATCTGCAGCACATGACCTCAAACGGTTCCTCCAACTCCAATGAGTCTTCGCTAGAAATGCTCGCCTTCCCTAGTTCTCAGCTCAATGCCTCAAATTCGAACACATCGTCGGAGGGTGCAGCTTGTGGAAGTGCGGGCGAATTTGGTGGACTACTCACAGGGGCCAGTTCCTCATCCCAATCATCCTCACATGCACCTAAGTTACTCGGCACGTTTGTGATCAATGAGAACTTCGATGTGCATCCCTCACACAAGGTCGAGGAGGGAATCTTCCAGCACATGAATAAGCTGCCATCAAAGAAGAAGGACACGCTCAAGCAGTTGGGCGTACGCTTCACGGGTCAAATGACGTTGACGGACAAATCGATTGTGGTGGAGAATTTCATCAAGTTTTGCGAGGTGAGTTCCTATGATGTTGATGTTGTTGATGATGATGATGGTGTTGATGGGCAGTATCGCAATGGGTGGGGTTAGGGTTGTGAATGGATGGCGCGCATCAAATTTCGGGCGTATTGTGTTGAGCGCAATTGTGGAAATTTCAACGCAGCGCAGTTGGACGTCAGTTTGCTCATTTCCATTTTGAATTTAAAATATTTGCACATGCTCGTTGATATATATGTATATATGTATATATATATATATATGTACATACATACATATGTATGCATAGTATGTATACACATGTGTACATATACATACACGTAGAAATGTGTGCATGTACCTATCTAGATATGCATTTTTATTTCTATTTAATGTTGGCTAAAATGGGGATTGCAGTATTGGTTGTAATTTACCGGATCAAATTTTCAAAGTTAATGTAAATGGTCTGCATTAGCAAAAACTATTTGCAAACCTTAATTGGGGGTTAGGCTTACATTGGAACTAAAATGCTTGGCACGAAAAGTGCTAAAATTCATGTTCAACACGCCCCAATTCCGCATCGTGCAAATGGAAATATACCCTTTAAACTTTAAATGCGGGTATGGTGTAGTACATAAAATTTTCTGTTGTCTGTGTGCTTTCTGTATTTTTAAAGATTCAAGCATGTTAGGTAATTCAAATAGAATGGATCTATTACCCATGTCGGGTTTTTCCAGATCCTATTTTCCAAAACTCTAATTTTTTGCCACATAACATTCTATGTTTTCGAATTACATAGCATATTTGTTTCTTTAAATGTGTTCTAGAACAAGATTTTTTATGTCATGCTAATGATTTCCAAAAATATGTGATTGCTCACATTTGGCAATGGAAACGCTGATTAAAATTGAATATTGGCTTATAACTATATGTATGTGCATAAGTATATATATGCATATAAGTATTTTCAAAACATGCACCCTAACTAGATGCATATATCCTTTACAGAAGCGCATTTCTCACTCCATTATAGGAGGCGCCTTTTCCCATACCCAAACCAACCACTCCACCCACCCACTAACACATACACACACATAGAAATGTCATTATAAATTGTAATAACAGCAGCAGAGACGTCGACGTGGCCGTCAGCTGCACTGTTGGCAGAGGACGGCAACAAAACGACGACCACAAATACAGCATACAACTGTAATCATGTGTGCACAATGTATGTATGTCTGTCTGTTAGTCTGACTGTATGTATGGAATCTATGTGTATGTGATTCTAAACACCAACACATGCCAGGAACTCTCGACACACACACACAGAGGTACACATACGGTCGCATTACATTTGGCGCCTTTTTAACACCATGCCGAGTCCACCCCCAACACCGTTACAAACACAGTTATCTACATACAGACATGCTCATTACGCCCTGCTTTATCAAACCCATACATACACAGACATACATACTTGGACGCTCCACCTCTCCTCATACTCATTCACAAACAAGTATGTGTGTAAATACGTATATATGTGTGTATAAAATGGCATTGATGGCATAATACAGCAACAACAGCTACGGCAACAACAGCACTAACCTTATTTTAACATGCCACTTGTTCTTGTTGTTGTACTTGCTAGCACATTCGCTTTTGGGCTCTCCCTTCCTCTTCTTCGCCCCCCCCCCCACCCCCCCATCTTACCCGGCTGCCGTGTTATTACAACATTTTAGTTCTAAGACGCCGACAAAGCTTGGAACTTACACCCCCTCTCTCGCTCTCTTTAGTACCTTCTGCGTTTTCCCGCCTACTCTGCCACCCGAAAAACAGCTACAACTTTCGTTTAGCTTCTAACTCAAAATTGTTGCTCTCTCCCACTCACTTAGTGCGCTCTTTTCGCTCACAACTTACTTGAGAAATAGCCGACACTCAAACTATAAGGCAAGTATTGCTTTAGTTTTGAGTGCGGCATCCAACCCCCAAAAAAGAGGCACGATGCTCCATGATGGGGGACGCTATTGAGTAATTTTATATGCCAGCCCACCTACATCACATGCATGTATGTGTGTATAAGTATGTGGGTAAGCTTACAGGCATACAATCATCAAGTTACTTTCAGGACGGTTGAGCGAGCGCCTGACTGAGTGAATGACTGTCCGTTGGTTGCCTGGCCAAAACGTAGATTGTCCTTTCGAAGCCCCCGATACTTGTGTGTGTGTGTATAAGTTTTTATCAACACATTCGACTTGCGAGTATGTTTTGAGTGCGGCATGGTTTGTATGGACACATCTATGTGATTGCGTGTATGTGTGTGCATATGTATTTCTGTAAGCTTGTATATGCCAGTGTCCATGAGGCCATGACGCCGCTGCCCCCTGGCTGCGTTGAAGGCTACTAAGTGCGCATGCAGCGAATCACACAAACGCACGTGCATATGTGTCTGTGGGGAGAAGAGAGGGCTAAGTTCCTGCTGGGCGGCTAAGGGACAGCTTGGGTGGGTAGCTGGCTGGTTAGGCAGGTAACGAGTGTGTGTGTCTCGGCTTCGCACAATTTACGCGCGCACACACACACGGACGTTGATTATAATTTTAAAATTATATATGTAAGTCCTATACCTAACTACATACATACTATACATACACTGCTGTGTATACACATATGATGACTTTATACGCACATACAAACATACATATGTATGTACATATGTACATAAACAGTACAGTAATATGTATGCGGTGAAAAATGTTAAAGAGAATATACATACATATATATTGAAAATGCCATAAGTGACAATTTCTGACACAATAATTCTTCAGAGCATTGTAATTCCAAATAAATAAAACTCTGCAGTTGTTATTATATTATTTCCATCACGTATCTAGATATACATAATACTAAAAGAATACAGCTCTGCTGAGCCTTGAAAAGCAACGATGATAAACAAAAGAATCTAGTCCCATTCTACTGTTTTATTATTCTTTGGTTTTATTTGCAGTTGAGTTTTTATGTGTCGCCAATACTTGTTAACACAAAAACTTTAATATATGTATGTATATGAGGTATGGTACTTAATATTTTGAGTTTATTTTTATGGATAAGAATTAAAACATTCCGAACATTTACAATGTTTTGATTATTTTTCGTTACTTTTATCTTCAAGTTCCAAAAAGATAACTTTGGGTTTTGTAAGACGAAACTTTGGACGATTGGTTGGAATGGTACCGAGTAGGTTGCCCCTTTAGCGATATTTACTGTATAATCAGACATGTGTAGTACATACAATATTATATATAGTATAGTATACTAATATATACATACATACTATATGTTGGTATATGCGCACATAAAATATTTAGCTTTTGTGCATCGTCCTTTTGCCGCCTTTGGGGCCATATTAAATTATTGTGTGTTGTGTATAGCATAGTCGAGGGCGCTGGGTGGTGCGGGAACTCGAACTGAAATTGGAACTGGATGGGTGGAGTGGAGCTGGTTGGGATATGTGTGCAAATGCTGATTTTTGGCAAAATTGTGGAATAGTGGGTTAGCTTGTTTATTGTGGTTGTCGCAGGAGGAGACGCGGCGGCAGACGGGTGTTTATTCTAAAAAGGCTCATTAGTGCTTAGGCCAATGTGTTTGTTGAATGTGTGTTTGTGTATTTGTGCATGATAAAGTGAGGTTGGAGGTATGGTATTATATTTCAAATCAACCAACATTTGTACATGCGAGGTAGAAATATGTGTATGTGCTCACGCATTTTGCATTAATTAAAAACATAAATTAGCTGCTCAACGAATGGGCAGTGTACCAAGTGGGAACACCAAAAAGTTCTGCCTTGGAGGGCCAGAATCCAGGCATTTATTTAGATGACAACCCTTTTTTCAGGGCAGCACGCGCTGAAGTTAAATTGTTGTTAAAAACCTGTTAAACGCACGCACGCTCGCACGCAACACTGAAGTCAAAGAGTGAAAGTGTGAAAATTGTTACCCCACAAACACAGACATGAGGACAGACACAACCATGCACGCAAACAGCCGCCGCATGGCAGACACGCAACCCTCAAAAATCAAAAAATCATTTTACAAACGCACACACACACAACAACAACAACATCAGAAAGCGCAACACATACAATTCTTGTTCTAGTTGTTGTGATTGTTGTTGTTGCTGTTACTGCACACGCACACGAAAAGAAAAACAATTCACACTTGTCTCAATAAAAACAACAACAAACCGCATCACACCACAGACAACAACCGCAATAAGCACACAACACACACAACCACCCACAGTCAGCCATACAAATAAACACACACACACGCAGACACACATTCAAATTCACTCGCAGAGAGCCGCAAGGCTACGTCACGCACAGATACGCACAAACATGTCTGGTCTGATCTGTGTGTGTGTGTGCCATGCCAATAAGTTGCAAAAATGCCATTCGAAAAAAAGAGCCGTTGTTGCGGCAACACATTGGCATTTTCCTTTTTTCCTTTTGTATTTCCTCTTTTTGGGGGCTATGAAAAACTGTTAAGCGTTTGTGGCGATATAAATATACGCACACATACACACCCATAACACACTTGCTTGTGTGACAGAGAGGACAGCAAAACAATCAAATGGCAACACTTTAGTTGACAGGCAATGGGAGCCTCCGCCCACATACACATTTCGCACATTTACCAACACTCGCTCATTCACTTACTGTGTGCATGAAGCAGCAGGCTGTTGTTGCTGCTGTTAATGAGCTGAACCAGTCGTTGTTATTGGTGTTGCCTTAGACAGGTGACGACGCGCACGCCTCATTGTGGTTGCCGTCACCATTTCGAAAGGCGTTGAATTGTTTTTGCTGCATGCCGTTGCTGCTTTCGTTATCCTCTTTGTCCAACACATTCGTTGCTCTCATCATAAATTCACACTCAACCCAACACAGTCATCTTCTGCGTTCAGTGTGAGTGTTTTGAAGATTTTGGCTTTAGCCACTGCCTCCAACTATTGAAGTGAATGACTCGAGATCCATTTGAAATCCTTTTTGGATTGTTGCGTTTACGTCGTCACTCCTTTTTGCTCTATTGATTTTTAACATAATCAAAACCCAAAATGTGCACGCACACACACATACGTAAAAACACATCACTTCCATAGAGAAAGGCGGACATAGGGGCGCAGCGACAGCGTCCAATATACCAATACATGTGCACAGAACAATTTCGACAACGTTGTCATGTGTATGTTTAGAATTGTGGGATGCGAGTGGGGGGGGGGGGGGGGGGGGAGTAGTTATGGGTGGGTGGCAAGCGACGTTGGCATCGTGCTGATTATGAGGATGTTGATAAGTTCCAACGATGTTGGTGGCGACGAAGAGCAACCAAGCGGCCGAATGACTACGATGCTCCACTCTCTCTCTCTCTCTTCCGCTCTCGTTCTCTCTCACTCAGACTCACAAACACACATTGGCGTTCATCAAGCTGCTGCGCCTATTTTAAACATACATACACACGTACAGCCACTCGCACATACACACCCTCAGACAGAAACACACATACATGAACATGGACATAAATATGGCAACCCTTTTTCATTTGGGAGGTTTGAGGTTTGCAAAGTGTGTGTGTGAGTGCACAGAACCCCATATCCTTCCTCTCGTTTCGCCGCTCGTCGCCTCATTGTGGAAAATGGCTTCATTGAAAATGTTGTTTGCTTTTCTATTTGGTTTTACTTTACGCCGCTTTTGTCGTTGTTGCTGCTGCTGCTGGTTTGCCTTTCTTCTTTGCTTTATTTTATATTTTTACACTATAAAATATACATTGTAAGTCTGTGTGTGTGTGTGTGTGGGGTGGGGGGTGGTTCGAGGTTGATTTGGGTTTAGTTTGGTTTGTGGTATGCTGCATACTTTTAGGCGCAATCTTTTGTGACTGTATGTGAGTGCTTTAGAGAGCTTGGGACGGCAAGTTTTTGGCTTTTGTGAAATTTTCGTTTTAAACTTTTCGTTGTACACGAATTATAAGTTTTGATTAGTAGTGGGGAAAGTTTTTGTAAGTGTGTATATATGTTTGTGGGGTGGTTACCTACCATATAGTTGGTCCCTGGGCTATCATATGTATATGTACAAAATATGTTTATATACTGGTATGTGTGTATGCGAAGGAAATGAGCTTGAGGTATACATATTCGAATTTACATACGCACGTTAATATTATGAATATGACAGCCTAAAAAGTTTAGGAAATTACGGTGCGAGTATACATATGTGTATATATATGTCTGTGTCTGTTGCATAAACACATTGGGGTGTGTGTTGGGGTCAAGGTGTGCGCATTCGGTGGTGTTGAGGAAATGCCTTGCAAAGCGGACATGTGAACGAGTTTATGGAAATCGAGGGACTGTGACTGGCCATGCGAATACGAACGACATTTAGCTGACATTTAATTTTTCAAGCAGCTTTTGATTGCTGTACAGACAAAATAATATTTATTCGTATTCCCCGTATTTATTTCGATATTCCCAAGGTGTTCATAGCTGATAAGTTTTCAAACTTTTGAGAAAGATTAGTGTGCCTAGAACTCTGACTTTTGATTTGCTAAAAAGCATTGTAAGGGTTTAGAACACTTCTAGTTTTTTTTTTTTTTTATTATTTTCAACTGCTGTTTTTTTTTAATGAATAAATAAAAAGAGCGGAGGTTAAAACTTAAGTTTTAGATTACTGCGAGATGTGATTTTAAAATATTTTTTGTTAAACTAGTATGAACACTTCTTAATTTTAAATGTTCTATTTTTTACGTTTTATGTTCAAAATCGTACATTTACTTCGACGTAAGAAAAGTAGTTTATGTCTTTTGAATTTAAAATGCCTATAATCTGACTTTGATGATTAATTTGTATTTGGAAAGCAAAATCAGTTATTATGGGCTGAATTTGGAGAAATTTCATTGTAAATTGCGTTTTTGTAAGCAAGTTATTTAACAACATTTTCTCTAATTTGTTTTCTTGCCTTCCAGGAATATGAAATCAAGGATCATCGCCCATTTCTGTCGTTAAATCAAAGTGGCCTAAACAAACCAGAACAAATTAAATTTGCACGTTATTTGGGCCAAGGATTGCCAACGTTTACGCTATTTTGCATTTATAGCAACTTTAAAAATCTGTTTTGCACCAAACGCACGGAAATGTGAGTACTGGAGACCCCCTGAAGTATGCAATGTCCATTTTGTATAACCAAAACTATTCAATCTTCATTACAGGTATACTAAAGAGGGCTACAATCTGCCTTATATACTTGACAAAACCAAGCGCTTCCTGGCCAACACAACAGCTGGTAAGTTGAATAGCAAATCCGACAAGAATTTCAAAATTAGTGCAAATGCAGCAAGAAATATTAAAACAAGAACTAGAACAAGAACAACAGGCAGTACAGGCAGATGGAAAGACAAGAAATAGAATGGCAGAGCGTGCTAAATTTTAAAAATATACACCGACAAATGTGCTCTATATATGATTTTGATTTTTCTTATAATTTGTCTATTTTGCATATTTTCGGTTTCGGTTGTTTCTGCTCTATTTACATGTATACCAGCGTACATACATACATAATTGTACTATATATGTTTATTATATGCACTTTTGTTGTTCTCTATGCTAAATAAATAAATGAATTTTAAAAAACTGATAAATTGGCTGCCTATTTTCCAAAATTGCAAACTAAAAATAATAATAATAAAAAAAACGTTTTCTCTGTAAAAATCATTTTTAATTTTCGACTTCAATTTGTTTGTGTTTTCTTTCTTTTTCACGCATACGCTTTGTTCATAGGCGAAAATACCAACAACAGTAACAAGAACAACAATACAACAACATCAACAACAAGCACACCGGTGAAACAGACACAAGAGCCAGAGGCGGCGACAACAGCCACACATACAACAACAACAACAATAACAACACCAGACGCAGCAGCAGCAACAGCAACAACAACAGCAATCACACAACACACACCAACTCCAACACCTGTCGCAACAACACTAACAATGCCGGTGCTGGTGGCGGGGGTGGCAACAGCAGCACCACATAACAACAATAGCAACAGCAACAGCAACAACATCATGCAACACGCAACAGGCAACAGCAGCACACATTTACACACGACGCAGGCGGCGCAGTCAACGCCGCGCACACTCACACCCACAACCAACACGGGTCCCCGGCCAGCCACGCCCACAGCGGCAGCAGCGGCAGCAGCAGCAGCAGCAACTCATCAGCAACACTCACACTTGCAACAGCAACAGCAACAACAACCACAACACATGCAACACCAGCACATACAACAACAATCCGTTGGGCCGACGCTGCATATGACTGGGCGCGGCACGCCCATGTCGCCTGCATCCTGGAACAGCAATGTGTTACAACAGCAGCAGCAACAGCAACAACATCAGCAGCCGCCGCCACCGCCGCCCCATCATTTTGGCCATCATCCGCAGCAGCAACCGCCACAGCAACCACAGCAACATCCGCATCCACATCATTTTGCCTATGCGCCAGGACCGCCACCATCGCATCAACATCCCGGCCTCCATCCGCACCATGCTGGTGTGCATCATCATGCCTACGGCCTCCCGCATGCGCCTCCTCCCCCACATCCACCACATCCATCGCATCCGCATGCCCATCCACATGCGCACCACCTGGCCATGGGTGGTGCTGCTAGTGGGGGCGGTGGCTATGTGGCGTCATCGCCAACACCAACAGCGGCACCGCCACCACAACATGCCTTGCCGCCGTCCATGTGAGATTGGCGTCGGCGTGGCGCCAAATATGGCAGCGGTGGCGCCACCTGTTGACACTTATAATCGACCCATTTGATGCTGCAATCGACCATTGGATGCTATTTCTACTATTATTATTTTATTTAACTCACTAACTCACTACTTTTTTGGGTTTATCTGTGTCTCATGTTTCTAGTTTTGCGCTTAGACTAATTTTTATACAAGCTTTTTACCAAATTTGTGCATTTTTTGTTTTGATTTTATGTTTATCGATTTCTTTCGATTCGATTATGTAATGAATGTTATTCCTTGAAAAGAGATTATTACAATTTAGCAAACAAACACATGCCCACACACATACACACACACGTATACATATATATACAAACAATATAGGACATACACATATACATAATAGAGAAGCATACACGTACATTAAATGCTAATTAATAGTAATTATATATATAAATACATACATACAACTATATATTTTAGTAAGCCAAGATCAAATGATGAACATAAATTGTATTTAAAAACCAATCCTAATTTTGTGTATATATATTAACATATATACACGAATATATATATATATATATACGCAGAAAACAAAATTGTTTCCAAAATATATAGCAAGAAACTGTAATTAAGCGATTTAAAAACAAAAACCAAAAAAAAAAAAAACAATTCTGGCGTTTTATTTACTGCCTGTCTGTGACAAATGCTGCATTTGCGCTATCCCCCCATCTTCTCCCAGAAACTGACTTGCAATAGAAGAACTGAGCGGCGCAGTTTTTAAATTTCTTATTTAAATGGAATGAAAAAAACTCGGAGAGTAGTATGCACATCAAGTTTGGTCAATGTCTGCTCAGCTTTTTCCGAATTCCAGGCCTTTTTTTATAAAGCAATTTGATCCGTCGTGCTAATTAGGAATATATTTAAATACTTTACGGGATTGTATATGCTTCCATTTTACTGTGCAGTCTCGTATCCGTATTACACTTCAGGTATAGGTTACAAGATATTTCCCAAGATATTTCCCAAAAATATGAGTACCTAATAAATAGAGTTTAACATACTCCGATCTGTGCGTTCTCAAAACTAAAAGTGCTTCATCCATTTTGTGAAGAAAAATGCATCCGAGGCGAATAGTTTCAATAATGAATTTGGATAATATAATTGCCAAAGAGTTTTATGTGAATGGCTGGCACCAAAAGTGTAGGCAAGTGTACATAGTCCAAAAATTAATATTCTGGTAAGAAAAAGAATATCTAGTGAACTAGAATTTTTACGATCTTCAGCTGTATACAGTATTTTAAAAGCGCTAAGAAAATCGTAATTTAACCAAAAAAAATTTGGGCTCAGTTGTGAGTTACTAGCTAAATACACCTAATTCTGTTTTTACACGGTAGATTGGTTACTAAAAAAATCGTGTAAAAAAGACCATATATCAAATTTTTAAATATTAAAATTTATAATTTTTCATCATTAACATTTAAGGGACTGGTGTTGGTAAAACTTGATTGTTATTGAAAAACAATACTGACGTAGATTCTTTGATCCTGAAAACTTTCCAGCTCAGTGGACTGATAAGGCTTCTATTCTCCTACCCCCAATAGCTCATAGATATGCATCTATATGTATATATATATTACTCGCTCTCTTTTAGATCTGAAGAATATGGCAGCAGCCAATGATGGCACTCTCGAGTTTGCCAGCAGTAGCAGCAACAGTAACAACAGCAACAATAGCTCCAGTAACAGCAACAACACCAACAACAATAACAACAATACCATCAACTCGACTAGCCTAAATAGCAGCAACAACCATAGCAACAACAATAACTATACGACAACCGCAGTTGCCGCTGCCGCTGCGACCGCCGCACCCCCTCCGATGGCGATTGATCCACGTTATGGTTGTTCAATGGCGCCGCTGTTGCCACCGCCGCTGCCACCGTTGGCGCCGCCGCCACGTTCCCTCGAACAGCTGATCATCTATGAGAACTTCGATGTGCACGAGACGCACCGGATCGAGGACGGCGTCTGCACTCACATCACCCGCCTGCCACCGAAGAAGCAGGAGCTATTGAAACAGTTCGGTATACAGAGTAGTAGCCAGCAATGTCTGAGCAATTATGAAAAGTACATAATCATCGAGAACTTCATCAAGTTTTGCAATGTGAGCAAAAGTGTCGGCGTCCAACGACGGAACCAAACGAAACAGATTGACGAGCGAATGGGTTAAGCAGTAGAGCTTTGTTCTTAATCAATTGGCCCGAAAAAAGACTTATGAAATTGATGATCGGCTATATATAATATAATATCGAATGCATTTGCTGTTAAAGCATTCATTCAGAATTCGTTCAAAATTGCACTTCATCTTAGAGCATTTAGAGAACAAGACTCTCGGCGGGTTTCTCCATCGGGACTGCTTTGGCTAATCACATACTTTTGATTTTATTTTGCTCCCATAGGAATATCAGATATCCGATCATCGACCCTTTTTGGACTTCCACGAGAGCGCTTTATCCAAATGTGAACAACTTAAATTTGTACGATATCTGGGCCAGGGGTTATCCAATTTGACGCTAAACAAGATATATGTGGCATTCAAGGAGCTGCTTGGCAGTGGCAGTCGTTTGGAAAAGTAAGTAATTCAATTAAAAATTTCAAAATTTTTCTAAAAAAAAAAGAAAAAATATTAATAAAATTGATGGGCTTTCAAATATAAGAAAGAAAGACATAAAAAAGCAATATTCTATAATACTAATATAATATGTTTGTATTAGAGCAAATAAATATTTAGACAGATATGTTGATAAATCTTTCTTAGCCTTCATTATTGCTGGCTTTGCAGCCTTTTTTTTTTACTGAAACCACTACTGAATAGAATAAACATACATTTCACAATTTAGGATTCAGCTTAATAATTTGTTCCCTTTTTATAGCCTGTACCCAAAGGGTGAAAGGCTATACTAGTTTTGTGCGCATGTATGTAACACACAGAAGGAGGCGTGGCAGACCCCACAAAGTATATATATTCTTGATCAGGATGAGAAGCCGAGTCGATATAGCCTTGTCCGTCCGTCCGTCTGTCCGTCTGTCCGTCTGTCCGTCTGTCCGTATGAACGCAAGGATCTCAGAAAGTATAAGAGCTAGAATAACCAAACTTGGTTTCCATATTCTCCTAAGACCGAGAAAGTACGAGTTTGAGTTTTTTTTCGATGCACCCCCCCACTCCCCCGCAATTCGTGTTTTTTCTTATAACTTCCGTAATTCTCGGAATTTTGAAATCAATTTTGGTAGGTACATCCAGTTAGTACTAATGTGTCCGTGTGCCAAATTTCATCATGATAGGTCAATTCTGAAGAAAGTTATAGCCATAAGTAAAATCGCTGCTCATGCGCTGCCTCTGTCGGCAGCGCTGCCCGCAGCTGTTGTTGTTGTTGCTGCTTTGGTTCAACTTTGTGCTGCATACATACACGCATATAAACACGTACGTGATGTAAATGTATGCTGTTAAAACTAAACATAAACATATATTCTAATTTAATTTAATTAATTAATTCATTAATTGTTTTTAATAATTTAATTTTTTTTTAAATTTTTTTTTTTTAATTTTTCTTTTTTTGTGGAGAGTACAGGCTATTTTACTGTCGGGCTTGCTCGACTGTAGCGTTCTATCTTGTTTTTTGTGTAAAAAAGTGTTGATCTTAAATAATTAGTACGGTATTCAGAGGGTTACAGAACTTCTTAGGATTTTCCGATTCACGGATCATTGATCTTGATATGTAGAAGGAATACTTATAATTGGGAGAAAACGAGAAAGAATTTGATGCGCAGACAAATCAGTTGTAGCCTTTATAAATTATAGATAATAAAAATTAATGTATTGGAAAACGCTCATTATTTCACTTTAGTCTACTTAGTACTTACTTACGAATAGTTCGACATCCCTAAGACTGAAATTAATGAAATTGATAAATAGATGTCCTTCAATTGATTTAGAACATGCTTATATTTGGAGGCTCAAGTGCTTATAATTTTCGAGATCTAGGAAAATATATACATACGAATAGGTTTTTCCATGCCCGTCGGATTTTTATAAAAATTGAACTAAACAACAACATTTATCTTTTGTCTTACAGAGGGGGCATGGAGAGTTACAATTTGGATGCCATTTTGAAGAAGAAACGCAAAAATCTCTATAATCGTTTGCATGCGGCAGGTAAACAAACAAATTCCTTTGGCTAACCATGAATCGAATTGATAAATTCAAAATATGTATATTGAACACCAGCGTCCAGTGGGGAATTGCAGCCCAACTACGAAGTACAGCAACAGCAGCAACAACAGCAGCAGCAGCAGCAGCAAAAGCCCAACTCGTTAGCGACTTCCCGCCACGCTTTTGCCGCTTTAACGGCCACAGGGGCAGCGCGCAACGAAGTATGCAACGATTTGTCGCTTCCCAGTGTGCAGTACAGTTTCGTGCCACGGTAAAAGGCAAAGCTAAAGATCTACCCGCAATTAAAACACATATAAACAAATACATATATACTTCCTGGAACTGGACCAGTAACTGTTGTGTCTTCAAAAGAAAAATTATGCAAAAAAGCAAAAAAATAAAACAGAAAATTGTTAAGCAAAATTATGAAGAATTAATGAAAACTAAGTGCTAAATTTTTAAAAAAGGATAAATTAGTAAAACTAGACTACATGTTAACACAAAATTATAAATTTAAATGCAGGCAGCAGCAGTAGCTTTGGAATTTAAAACAGAATTATTAACTATTATTTAAATATGCAAATGCATGCAAATTAGTTTAAGGAACGTCAAACACCCCTACATATATACATACATACATACATATATACGCATAATGCCTAGCACTAACATTACAGTTGTGTTCGAAAAAAAATTGAAGCCTTAGAAACTTTCTCAGCAGATTCGTCTTCCATTCATTCTGATGATGCCTTCTCTATGGAAGTTCTATTATCTTTCATTCACCAATTAAAGTCCTTAGAAACATTCTCAGCATGTTTGTCTTCCACTCATCTTGATAATGTCTTCTACAGGAAGTGCTCTTGTCTTTTATTTCATTTTTTGAAAAGAAACGTTCTCTGCAGAATCGTCTTCCACAAATTCTGGTGATGTATTCTCAATTAAAATTAATTTTATTTAAAAAAAAATTCAAATTTAACTTCATTGTTTTAAATTGAGTCGAGGGGCCGGAAAAAATATCGATCATTATGGGAATTATTGAAAATTTTAACTTAAGCTAGATCATTATTTTAACGAACTATTATTATGTACCTGTATATTGAATTAATTTTAAAAATAACCCATTTTAAATATAATAGAGTATCACTCTTTAAATATTTTTGTTTTTGGATCAAATTTCTTATCTAACTGTCTCAGAATTTATTTACATTTCTTATATATTTTGTAGCAATCAGAAATTAATGCATTTCAACTAAAAACAAGAACAAATATTGCACTTTTTAAGAACAATTGAGAAAGAATTTAAAATAAATTTTCTTTTTTCTGTTTCTCCAAATTTATTGCAATAATATGTTTGCAAACATTTCTCAAAGCAATGTCTCACTGATTTCAAATCTAAAAGATTTAAATATTGTACCTTTTAAAAGCAATTGAAAAAGACTTCCAACAAAATATTTAATCCATGTTTAAGCTTCTCTGGTAATGTTAATTTCCCCTTATTTTCTGAGCACATCAGTAAACATACAAAAACTACTCACATATGAATTAGAAAAGTACATATGTATGCTTTAGCCTAAGCACTTCGGTTTCGAAACTACATTTTCAAGTTGTTTTCTAAAATACTATCGTCTAAAAATTAAGCGCAATTGCAACACCAAAATTCAAAAAACTAAATCAAAGACCTCCTCCCAAAGATGACAAAAATGTTCCCTACTATGCAAAACTGGCGTATAGACTAGATTGTAAGCTGGCAAAATATACACATATACATACATACATATGTAGTACATACATACTTACATTTATGGCAAGCAAAATCAACATATATATATATACATATAACGAACACGATGATTAACAACTAAATATTCCTATATACAGTAATTGAAAAGGCATTAAAATGGAACGCAGAAATCAAATATACATATAGAAACTGTAAATTATATATACAACATGCATATATACATATATATATGTATACCCTAACAAATATATTATATATTAAAGCAGAGCTCTGATGGTTTTACTTTTATTTTTTGGCAATTGATTTTATTTGCTTCTCTCGTTTTAAATTTTTACTATATATTTTGTTTAACCGTTTATACGTGTTGGCGAACAATTTGAAGATTGATAATTGGAATATATGTTTGTAGGTATAAAAAAGTACAATACAAGGCAGTTTTTAATGGAGCGACTTAACTACACGCGATACACAAAGACGATGTCTTGCCAAAGATTGCTTACTTAATATACATATAATATATATCAAAATATCCAATAAGATGATGTTTCGGCAATTTTAAATTGCCCAAATGGTAGCGTACGAAGAACGCGTTTATGCAGACAGAGTACCATAGAGTATGCTATCAAATGCACGGATTTATGTGATCTATCCCTAATTGGAATCCTTGCTTTTGCGCTGCGCTTGTTCCCGTTCCAGCGCACGTTGTTTGGCCTTCTCATAAATGGGCAGCAACTGACCCGTCTCGCCCAGCATTTTAAGCAACTCCACAATGAAGGGCAAGTAATTGTGTTTGCGACGTATATTCTCCAACTGTAGCAAATCAGAATTAATTAGTGAATGATTCGCGGTAAATATGTAAAAGAAGATGTGCTCTCACCTTGTATCGCTTCTTCTTTTCCTTTTCATACTGTATGTAAGTGCGCAAATTATTGATTTCAGTCTGGCGATCCTCTCCTGTTTCCATGGCATTGGAGTCTGGATTCAACAATTTTTCAATTTGTTGCTCATAGATGCGTTGGCGATCCGAAATGAGCGCCATAAGATTAAAGTGAATTTCGCCCTCACTATAGCGTTGCATGCGCTTCTCAATGATTGGACGCACCACATCAATCCAATTCTGTTCGGGCTTTATCTCGCCCAAATCAATGGGACCCTCCTTGAGGCCATCCAACTCGTACAGACGTCCCCCTATGGGCATATAGCCAACAAAGTGGTACACATCCTCGTCCTTGTTGTGGTTCTTCATGTCCAACTCGAAAAGCGTCTGCCTCGCAAACGAATTGTGCACAGTACGTATCTGTGATGCGTTGCTCAACGTTAGTCCTTTGTTATACGGATCGAAGCACTGACAGAACTCCTTGAAATTCGTGAGCGTGTCACCCAGCTTGATGTCCTCGTGTTCCAAATTTAGCAGCAGACTCAAAATCGCTTGAGTGGCACAAGCATTATTGATTACTTGCTTGGCAAAAAAAATGTTATCCTTGTCCAGCACCACTTTGCCAGTAGGCTCGTCTTCTTGTACCCATTTAAACAGAAAGATGAGTCCATGAATCGGCTCGAGGTTCTTAAACGATTCACTGTCCAGACTCCAGATTTCCTCAACCTGTGCTCCGTCACACCCTGTATGCACAAAGATATAAAAATTGCAATTTAATAATTAACAATTTGGCCCAAAGCCGGCGTCAGAAAAGCGCGGCAGTTGATCCAAGCTTACCAAATTCACGAATCAGCTCCGTGAACACACCCGGATCGCTCTCTATGAGACACCAATTGCCAGCACCTTCACTCATGTTGTACAGCTCTTTTACCCTTCTATTTATCTCTTTATTGGCTAATTTAACCACAAAAACTGCCGATATAAATTTTTGTCAACTCACAAGGCGTTGAGTGCTGCCACCTAGGTACTATTCTGTTCTGATCTGGTCAATTTTGGTTTGTTTGCTTAGCCCTGCCACCATATTATTTATTTGCCTGTATTTGAGATTATTCTGTCCGTTATCATAAATACAAGCTATCTTGTGATTTGTATATGGGAATTGTATTTCCAAGGTATTAAATAAATTATTACAAGACCTTCACAAATACCATGTCAGCTAATCGAGTACCAATTTAATAACATGTATTTCGTTGTTGTAAGTATTCCTCACATATTCTAAAAGATACAAACGGTGCATTTAAAAACCATTGCTAATATACTCTAATTTTTCCATTTAAACCTAGTAGCAATGATAATAAAACTTTCAAAACCTAGCTTTTGATTTGACAATGTCAAGTATTTTGAATGTACAGCTGGTACATTGCGCTTATGAAATTTGTCAGAGCTGTGACTTGGAGACAAAGTAACCGATAGTTTAACATCCCTCATCTCTATCCGCCATTACAGGGGAGAAAAAATATGTGCAAGTGCAAGCTAGAATGAAAAATCCTTCGCAAAAATACAAATTTAGTGTATTTGTAGCCTTTGTAATATAGTGGAATAATGTGAATTATATCACCAGGACAATAATATGTATTTTAGAGTAATTTTTGTAAAGAATACGCCAATGTAAGCCCAAGAAAAAATGACGCGAAAATTCAATTTCAGTTGCGTGCAGCAGCACCTACAAAATCAGTGTCAGTGTTTGTTGTAGAAATAAAGTGGCAGCAGATTCGCAACTGCAATTGCGTTCTTATATATAATAAGTGGCAATGGTGAAACTATAAAAGAGACTGCAGAGAAGGCGAAAATAATTGATTGAGAAACGTGCGTGCATAAATCAATTTTAAATTAGGCAAACGTGAATATTGGGCGAAAAGAGGCGCGAAAAGTTCGCAACAAAATGGTTGTCTCGAAAGACAACAAGCGTCGCCGTAAGGAAACAGAGACCCCGCCGCCCCCAACGTCTGCGTCGTCAGCGACGACGACGCAGCAGTCGGCGGCGGCAGCAGCTGCGACAGTGGAGTCATCACCCGAAATGCCCAAAAGGTGAGTAAATGTTTGTGGGTGTGTGTATGTGCGTGCTTTTAGTGTTGTGTGTAATTGAGTGCGTATACCTACGTTTCAATTGTTTTTGCAAAATGAAGTTTATCAGCGTAAATATAAGTGTGTACATATATGTGTAATTGAATAAAGATGTGACGCGCACAAGCGTCGTCATTTAAATATGGAAGGGGGATCAGGTGGTGGGGGCTCAGTTGTATAAGCAAGCGTCGTGGCGTTGCTGGCAAAAGGGGTGTTTCGTATTTGTTTGGGGCACTAGCTTTATATACGTGTATGTGTGTGTGTGCAGGTACTTGAAAATGCAATACTTTGTTTGTGAGCGTGCCTATGTATTTGTCAAATTAATATTATTATGCATATTTCATATCAAATTTCTATTAAAAATTGAATTCCCTTTTTTTAACTGCTTTTCAGAACAAAGGTGCAGGCACAACGTAAATTCGCCCAGGGTCAGAGCGCGCCCACATCCTCCAGTGCTTACAGTTCTGCCCTCAACTCAGCCAGCAGTTCTGCCACGACGGCAGGCGGGCCGAGTACATCGACGGCAGAGACCCAACCACCCATTGAGATACTGCCTAATAAGTGTCCCAAGCCTCAAGATTTTTTAACGTTCCTCTGTTTTCGTGGCACCCCAGCGCTGCCGCCCCATTTGGACTATTTGAATCAGGGAAAATCCAAAGAAACCGATAGCACAACAGGCAGCAGTAACAACAATAGTAACAAAAAGAACAATAGCAGAGCGGCTGCCAATAGCAAAAAGAAACGCGGGCGTCCGGCAAAGGGAGGAGAGAGTACCAGTAAGGCGGAAGTAGTCGCCAGCAAGGTTCTAGAGCCAGAAAAGCCCACGATAGCAATAGCAGTCGCAACAAAGACCACCATGTCGGACCAGTTGGCGCCTGCGAAAATCGCTACCACAGAACAACCAGAAAGTGATAGACCAATGCCTCCGATACTTGCGGGTGCTGTTCGTAAACGTGCCGAGGTTGTGACCGAAGGAAATCGACGAGGTGGACGACGCAGTGGCAACAAATTGGCCACCCAGAATAAGTGCAATACCTCCGTGGAGACAAAGCGACGTTCGAATCGTGCGGCAACTAAGGAGAGCAAACCAATGGTAGATGGTGAAACTGACGAGGAGGAGGCTGAGGAAGATGGTGGGGAAGATGATGACGAAGAAGATGAAGATGAATACTTCTCAGCGCATGATGCCAGTTCACGAAATGGAGGCGAAGAAGTCAATGCAGATCCCAAGCTTGGAGCTATGATCAAAACTGCAGCCTTGGCATTGCGTAAATCGGAGACGCCCTCAAAGGACAGCGATGCGGGCAAATCGGCGGGCAAACGTGGCAGACCAGCATCTAAGAAAACTGCTGAAGCAGCAGCAACCGATTCTGCAACAGAAAAGGTTAAGGAAAAGGATAAGGCGCCTGTTAAGCGTGTGCGGCAACGTGAATCACCCATTTTTATACCTTCGCCTGAATCTTCGGGACGAATGACGCGACAGCGTGCTTTTTTTGAGCCTGTCAAGGTGCCGCCACATGATGATAGCCCAAAATCAGTGGAGGTACCAACGGAACCACCCAAAGAACTAGAGAAGAAAACAGCTGTAAAGAAGGATGCCAAGATTGATGACGCGGCAAAGAATGCCAAGGAGACAAAGGAGAAGACTAACTCCAGTATTTATGCCAAAGATGCGAAACAGCACCTGGAAAACGGAGGCACTGGTCCGGGTGCCGATGGTGGTGAGGATGGAAAAGGTAAGAACAGCTTAAACGTCTTCGATTTCTCCTCCGACGATGAGCAACCGCTGGCCAAAGCCATTAAACTAAAAAAAGGTGGCAAGGGCAACAGTCCCAAGAAGGGGACCGCGGCAACAACAACACGTGGTCGTAAATCAGCGGGAAAAAAGCAGCCGCTATTAATAGAAGAGGTAGCTGTTCCTGAGCTGAAAGTGGAAACGCCAAACGCAAAGGCAGCGCTAGAGACAGTGGAGAAGACTGTTGAGGTTAAGGGTAAAGCTCCAGTTGTCACACCTGTTACCAAGCGCGGCAAGACGGTAAAGAAAAAAGCTGACGATAGTTTAACTGAGCAGGAAGAATTAGCACCGCCTTCACCCAAGAAAGCCGCAAATGCGCCAAATACGCGACAGCCTCGAAAGACGAAAGGAAAGGCGGAAGTCACAGAGAAAGCGCGCTCTCCAAGTCCACCGCAAAGGTCGCAGAGACCTTCGCGCAAGACCAAGGAAGCGGCGGCTATTTACATGGGCATCATTGGCCACAAACTGCAACTGGCCGATGATGAAGACGATGATCTATCGCTCAGCAGTTTTCCCGACATTCCTAATGTAAAGGAAATGGAAAAAATGGAGAAGGAGATTAAAAAGAATGCGGCATCGGGAAAGTTGATCGTGCCTGAGGCGTCGACGGGGCCAACGGCAGCGAAGAATGCACGCAAACCGTCACCCAAACCACCGCTGACCGCACCACAATCCTCACCATCAGCAGCAGAATTAACTATACCTGCACAATCGACCGTAAGAGTTGTCACACCAGAACTGCCAACACCCGTAACAACGTCAGCGCCTGAAGAGAAACCCACACCTCCACGCCGTGGACGACCCCCAAAGCAAACAAAAAATGCCGTGGTGCCTCCACCCAAACGTGAAATAGAAGGAATGTTGGTGAAGAAAGGCGCTCTTGCTAAAATAGCCACAAATGCAGTGCAACAGCATCAGCAACAATCGGAGCAGGGGAAGGCGAAAGCAAAGTCCGAACAGCAGAAAGTCGATTCCGATGAGGAGGAAGACTTTCTTATAAACGAAGAGCTGAACGAAACCAAACGAAAATTGGAGAAGAGTTTCAGCGATTCCGATGATGAGCCATTGGCCATTAAAGTGGTGCCTCCCAAAAGTGGAAGTGTTGAAAAACAGGCTACGGGCAATGTAGCGCAAGATACGACAAAGCTGTTGCTGCCTAAGGCATCATCATCAGCAACAACAACAACAGCACAACCGAGCACAACTACAGCAGCAACAACAACAGCAACTATGCCTGCCCTCAATCCAACCACAACTACGTCGCCAGGAGCTACACAGTTGACGATGTTGCCATTAACAGCAAAACCGTCACAATTTGGCCCACTTGCACTGCCCGTCAGTGCTAATTCCATATCGCCACCTAGCTATGCACCTGTACCATTGGTCAGCACCTCTACACCACCGGCAGCTATCAAGCCCATGGAGAAGAAGTCACCGGTGCCCACATCGAAAATTCTTAATGTGCCCGCAACTTATGCCCTACCAGGCACCGCTCTTGGGGCCACCGTCGGCGGCGGTGTGTCTGGTTTCCAGAAGACGACTTCGTATTTGCCACAGGCATCACCGCACTACCACACGCCTTATGTGCGTCCGCCACCGACGCCGGCACACCAGTTTCCTGGAAGCAGTGGCTCTGCGAAACCACCTGCAGCCACAACAACGTCAGCAACAATACAATCACAACAACAGTCGCCCCTCAAATATCAGACGCCACCTACTACGTATCCACCACCCATTGAGGCCTACCAATGCCCCAAAATAAATCCAAATTTTCTAACGCCCAAATACGAGCGAAGCGCCCTGCCCCGTGCCAACAACTCGTTTCCGTCACCCTCCCCCGTAAAATTCGATGCGGGTCGTGGCTTGACTAGCTTGCCCACACCGGTGGTGGCTACCACAGGAAGCGGTACCATTGCGAATCCCGCACTTACCTCTAAAAGTGCATTACCACCGCCTCTATCGCCGGCGGTGCTAAGTCAAGTCTCGCCACAGGTCAGCAGCGTCAATCTCAGCATGTCCAATTCGACGAGTAGTGTGTTGCCGACTGCGCCACCACCACCGACGACCACCGTGGCTACAGCGTCTACATCAGCAGCAGCGGCGGCGGCAGTGGCTTCCGCGATGGCAACGGTGCCCACACCACCGCCCGCCCATAGCGGCAACAATAACACACCCGTCACCACCACCAGTGCCGACCCGCTTAAGGATGCCATTGGCAGTATTTTGGCCGCTAATCTCATGCCCAGCAAAGAGGAGTCCGGTAAAATCTTTGGCATTGCCAGTGTAAGTCTGGCCCAGAGCTCTGGCCCTGACAACACAAAGTGTACGCTGGGAAAATGTGGCTCTATACACAAGCCCGTTCTAGGTCCAGTGGTGCCCACAGAGAATTATTTTGGGGATCAGCTATCGAGCAAGGAGCGACGCAAAGCCAAAGTAAATATGACCCATGAACAAATACAAAAGTGGCTCATAGAATGCTCTTCTAATCCGGATGAAATACAAGACGATCTCGATGATGATTTCGACGATAGCTTAAGGCCGAATCAATCGACAACGCCTCCACCAACTCGAGACGACAAGGAGAGCACTACTTTCAGTTCCTCGTCGAAGAATACACGAGAGCTGGGCAAGAGTGAGAGCGCATGGTCCGCCAAGGGACCTTCTTTGAAGGCCACGCCTGTGGTCGCGGCCCCGGGCCGTAAAGAGGAGGAGTCCAAAGATGATTTGGATTACGATAAGGCAGCAACGCCTGTTAATCTCACACAAAAATCCAATGCGGCAGTACATGAACCAACAACAACTACAACAACAAACTCTGCCGCAGCGACAGATAAGAAGCTGACAGCGACGCTGGCCGATAAGAAAGCCAAAGATGCAAGCAAGACAACTGCGACGACATCAACAGCTGCGGCGACGTCCGCCAAAGACAACAATACCAAGAACCAGCAGCACCAACAACAATCACAACAGTCTCTGCAGGTAGCGGGTAAACGTGGCGCTGTGACGCCCACTCCTGCAACGCCCCCACCAGTTAAGCAAAATCGGCAAAACAAGAAGAACGCAACCGCTGCGGTTGTGACACCCACCAGCGCTGCCTTCTCGGCGAACGCAACCCAAAAGCAAACAACAACGCCAGCTACTCCAAAGCGCACACCCGTTTACAATCAAAAGGCACAAACCAAGGCACAGGCTCAGGAAGCGGCTAAACAACAGGCGACAGCAAACGCCATCACAACGGCAGCTTCTCAAAAACGTGGAGCAGCAGCATCTGATTCCGTGTATGCCTTCGGCAAAGAAGAGGAGACTGCAACTGCTCCCAAGCCCACAACTAATCGTCGCAAGAACCTCCCAGAAACTAATCCGGCGGCGCCACCAGCATCGGTACCAAATGCGCTTAGCGAGCGTTCGCCTACGAAAAAACGAGCGGCTGCTGCCGCAGCTGCCACAGCAGTGCAACTGACACTGAGTCCCACCGAAAACTGTAAGTTGCTCAAGGTGGGAGGAGGTGAGAATAAAGGCAAGGCGAGCGGACGTGGAGCTAAGAAACAGGTGCAGTCAGAGGTGACCAAAAATGAGGCAGCTGCTGGCGACTCCGATGCCGAGGGTGCCACATTCTATATACCACTACAAGGTGCGGGAGTGGGAGGCAATGGCGATGGAGGCATACAAGGTGTTGCCGTCAAACTGGGACGCGAGGGACCCGACGGACCTAATCAGAAGGTGGTAATGCAAGCGACGCTTGTCACCAAAGCGCAAATGGATACTAATTCCAAGCCGTTACCTGAGGCGCTTAACACTAACGAGCTGGTAAAGACTCTACTCAATGCCGCCACCAATGATGTGACTGCGGGTAGTGGCAAGAAATCCGTCGGTGGGTCCGCCTCCAATAGTCTAAAGAGCGCACCAACGGGTCGGAAACCGGAGCTTCCCAGCACATCGGCGGCAGCTGCAGGTGGAAATACCAGTCTGGTTCGTGTTAACTCCAATTCCTCCCTCTTCTCCGGCTCCGCCAAATCTCGTACAGCGGCACAAGCGAGCTCCACGGCAGCGGCGATAGCCAAGAAGTACAAGGATGACACACCCATCAAGATGGCCAATAATACGGCTTTTCCCCGACACGATGATCCAACACAAATGGTGGAAGCGCCCATTTTCCGACCAACAGAGAAAGAATTTGCCGATCCGATAGAGTTCATTGAACGCATAACCCCTATTGCGGCACGTTTTGGCATCTGTAAGATCGTACCGCCGGCTACATTTAAACCGGAGTGCCGGATCTCGGATGAGATGCGTTTCACTGCCTACAATCAATATGTGCACAAAATGTTGCATCGTTGGGGCCCCAGTGCGAAGGAACTAAGTGCGATCAAAAAGTATTTGGCCACGCAGAGCATCGTAATGAATCATCCGCCCTGGATTGGCGGCATGGAGGTCGATCTGCCGCGACTCTATCACACGGTACAGGAGCTCGGCGGTCTCAAGGAGGTGATCGAGAAGAAGAAATGGGCGCGTGTCGCTGAAGAAATGTGCATACCGAAGTTGGCGCAGGATCGGGTCACCAAACTAGATGATATATACTGCAAGTACCTGCTGCCATATGATACGCTCTCGCCTGCCGAGCGTCAGAAGCTCTTCGATGAGGTCGAGGCCGATTGGGCCAAACGGGAGGCGCGTGCGCGACGGAACGCGGATCGTTTTGTCAACACGGAGAGTGTATCGAATGAGGAAGATGATGTTTCTTCTGACGAGGATGAGGAGTCCGAAGAGGAGATCGATGGTGTATCCATGGAGTGCATTGTGAAGGGACGCAGTATGCCCCTTAGCCAATTCTTTCGTATCGCTCGAAACACCATGGCCCTGTGGTTCAAGAACACAGATCCCACCGTTAACGAAGTGGAGGCGGAGTTTTGGCGCCATGTTGCCGTCCGTGACAGTCATGTGTGTGTCCATTCTGGTTCTATCGATTCTTCAGGCTGGGGCTATGGCTTCCCTAGTCCCGGACCCAAAGGCAAGGGCTCGAATTATGCGCGTCATCCGTGGAACCTTAAAGTACTAACTAATAATGCCAGTTCTGTGCTGCGATCTCTTGGACCGGTGATGGGCGTAACAGTCCCCACGCTTCATGTGGGAATGCTCTTCTCTGCCTGCTGTTGGTATCGCGATCCGCATGGTCTCTCCTGGATCGAATATCTGCATACGGGCGCCTCTAAGTTGTGGTATGGCATACCCGACGACCAGAGCGCTAACTTCCGAGCGGCCCTTACTTCGTTAATTCCGACGCATTGTCAAAATAAGACTATCTGGCTGCCCTGTGACACGGTGATGGTTCCGCCACATATGCTTACGGATCGGGGAGTCTCATTGTGTCGCATCGAACAGAAGCCCGGCGAGTTTATTGTGGTCTTTCCACGAGCCTACACATCTAGTCTGGCAACCGGCTATGTAGTATCCGAGAGTGTATACTTTGCTACAATGTCGTGGTTGGATCTGGCTAAGGACGATTTCAGGGTGAGTTGATACGCAAAATAAATATAAATAAATAAACTAATATAGGAATAAATAACTATAGGAAGAACACTTACAAATAGACATACAGTATGAGTATCATTTGATATTTATTTATAATACATTCAATTCCGACAATTATATTAGTATTAAAATTCAATGCCAAAGAAGTTTGTTATAGCAGATGTCTATATTCAAGTTTAGAATTCGTATTTCAAATTTGTGGGTCAATAATTTGACACCAAAATATCGGTCTGACAATAGCGTTAGTAGACAAATTTGTTTTTAAGTATTGAATTTTTGTATTTAAAAGTATTAAACAATAATTTTTAAGCTTGTTAGCTTCAACATATTTTATGCATAGATATCTTTCTTATAATTAAATTGTATAACAAATGGGGTCATCTTTTGTGTGGGTTCATATCGTTAATTTTACTACGATGTTTAACAAAATATTTCGAATTTTTGGCTCAATTATGTTTTATCTTGCAGGATATACACGAAAGCTGTGAGCCAGCAATGTTCTCATTGGAGCAACTACTGTTCGCGCTGGGCTACGATCAGCGTGTCAATTCGGACACCTTGCAGCAGATGCTGCCCATGCTGAACGATGTGTGCGAGAAGGAGTCGGCGGCTCGCGAACAGCTGCGGGTGAGTAAAGATACTATAATCATCGCAATAAATCTTTATCTAAATTTGTTACTATATTCTTATAATTGCACAGGCTGCCGGTGTTACATCCACTGAAAAAGTGCAATCGGAGAAAGGTCAAAAGGCGAAGAAGCAACAGCAGCCGCCGTATAAGTCAATCGAAAGCGAATGCGATCTCTGCCGCGCCAATTTGTATATATCGATGGTGCGGACCGAGGAGGGCAACGTCTACTGTCTGCAACATGCACTGAAAAATCTCAACAATGGCAACATACAGGCCAAGCAATGCAAACTGATCTATGCGTACAATGTTGATGACATACAGCAACTTATAAGGACGCTGCAGGAGAAGATTCACCAAAAGCTGCGCCAAACGGTGACGGCTGTGAAGAAAAAGTAGCATCGTCGGCGTCGTTATTAAGCGGCAAACGACAACGGATACAGCAAATTGTACATATTAACATTTCTTCAATGTATTATGGCAATGTTTTCTCTTCAAGGTTTTCGATTAGGCTAGTCTAATGTTTAAGCGAAGGCAACAAGCGCGCGTATGCAATGAATTTTGTTTTCCATTTTTTCTCCATTTATTTTTGTTACGTTATTAATATTATTGTTTTCTCTTCCCTTATTGTATATAAACAAGAAATCAAATTTACAATTAGTGGTAGTGTATGTGTAGTTAGAGCTTCGATTAAGTCAAGAAAAAAAAAGCCCAAAAAACTAAATCCCTCAGTCTCAGTTGACACACACAAGGCTAACTATAACACAAGTTGCAATTTCTTATACCATTTTATAGACTAGACATAAACGCAATGATGCATAAAATACTAAACTTAAAACGTTTAATAGTTGTTAGATTCGAGCTAAGCTGACATGGGCAAATGATTTGAAAAAGTATGAATGTCAATAATACGATGCCAATTAAACGTAATGATGAAGTTGTATTTGCATTACAATAGGAAGTTTATTGATGTGAGAGTATATTGAAAAGGTAGTTGCTAGACTAACTTTCAAAGTTACTATATGGAAAAGTTTATATGCGCATTTTTTAAAACAAGCTGTGAATCTGTCGGAATGTAGTTGGAAAACCACCCACAGTAGCAATTGTCAAAGAAAAGTTATCACTAGTAGTTCGCTTAACACTTTCATTATCTGCTCCCAACCACAATCACATCCAAATCCATCAGCAAAAGGCTTAGAGTCAATAAAATGAGGAAATCACTTTTATATTATATGTTCAATGTATTTATATAGTTGTAATACCATATTTAAGTAACAAGTGCAACAATAAATCTTAACTCGAAATATTAGCTGTGCACGATTTACAATTTTTACAAAACATTGGGCAGTTTTTACAATCATTTTAAAGTTTTTATTAAGGTTGTTTCCATGGTATATATATATATTTTTATATATTTAAATACTTTTACACATAATTATGTATTTATTTCAATAACTATCTTTCTAGTCTAGTCCCATTTAAGCAAATCTTAGATCATGTCCTATAATTCAATATATTTGTAGCTCATTTAAGAAACAAGGGATTTCTACAGGTTCGAGAACATAAAATTTTTAAAGAAACTGCTGAATACAACAAAAAATCAAGCACTAAAGAGATTCAACAGCCGTCAAGATAGAGGTGTGAATGTTTTAAGAGATGTACATGTAAGGTTATTGCGATATATGTATATAATTATTGTACAATACAATTTTCCCGTAATTGAAATTAAGGAACAGCTGCCAATAGAAATAGTAGCCTAAACATATTTGTCCTAAATATTTTTCTATACGCACTAGGTGTGATTATGAAAGTTGTAAGCATTGTTCTTATCTATAAGTATTACGTAACTGAAAAGCTACTAGCTTCACTACATCAGGGGGCACTAGACTTTCGGTTTCTTCCCGGACGGCAAGCAATCTGTAGAGTTGATTTGGCGTTTGGTCGCTCCACTATTGCCTGTTGCTGTCACCGATAATTGGCCACGTTTGCTGCCCATCACATCCTCCACTTGTCTCTTTAATTCTGACACCTGTGAGCTAAGCTCTGTAATAGTGCTGAGCGCCTCCTGCAGACGACGATCCTGAAGGCTGCGGGCACTCTCCAAGCTACGCACTTTAAGCATTATACTCTTCTGTCTTTGGCATTGCTTTTTGATGTGCTTAAACAGATAGTCTTGTTTTGGTGGTTGGTTGGCGTTGGCAGTCGGATTGGCGTTGGGCTGGGCGTTAGCCAGAAGGCGGGCTTGCTGTACAAAGGCAGCTGCCTTTTGGCTCATGCAGAGTACATTGCCACACAGAGGCATTTCTTTTGTCGCAGTGTTGCTGCTTGCCACGGAGGTTCTACGTTTAACGCCACTGAAGCTGATGTCCGCTAGAGCGCCACATACAACCACACGCGTGCCTGACGACTCTGACAATTTGGAACGATGCTCCATCTTGAAATTGACCGCAATTTTTTCATCGAAATGTTCAATGGCCATGGATGATATATCCCGCAGTTCTTGCAACACTTCGTGGGGGCGCAATTGCCGTGACGTTGTTGCCAGCAGTTTCAAAATGTTGCTTATCTCGTCCAGAACGCGACCGGGGATGAAACAGCAGATGTCCAAATCAATGAACTTGGAGTACGTCATGGTAAGCATTGAAATGCGTGTCTCAATGGAAGTCAGTATGTCCGAGTGTCGCGCCAGGCAGTGATTGCTGCAACTGTAATATGTACACTAAAATTCATTTTCTCTTTTTTCCACTCACCGTCGCTCTGACTCCCGACGAGGTAGCATACTCTTTATGCGTTTGAAGTGCTTGGCATGCTCCTGAATTATTTTGTTGAAGCCTGCGTTGAGCACACGCTGACCAATGTAGTTGAAGTGGCTACATACCTATTAATTTTTAGAAACATCCAGACACTGACTCAGGTCACTGGCATTATGAGATCGTAATCAGACAAGTCTTACCTCACGCTTTTTGGCTACCTCGTCATAACTCAATAGCTCGAATATATCCATGAGGACATTATCGGGCAGATCTAATAAATTCAACATGTATATATTTGAATTGAACTGATTGCACTGAAACGTTGAAAATATTGGATGCAACTTTATTGTTTTGTGACGCAGGTGAGCAAAATCTGTGGCCACTCTAATGCGTAGTGCTACCAATTCAAAAAAGTTAAGTGTTGTAAAATTTCTGGTCGTGGTCTAAATTTATAACAATATATTAATTTTGACTATTATTGTTTTTGAAATTAAATGTATTTTACTTTATCATTAATATTACATTTATTTTAATATATTACAAGTTAAAAATAATTAAATATATTATGTATTCATATTTCATATACCAATAACAATAATGTATGAATAAAGTGCAAATATTATAACGGCTTTTGACCAGTGCTGCTAATTTTATTATTTTTACGCCCATTTTACTCAGATCTACTACTAAGATAATGTTGGTTCTGATATTCCAAATTCTTCCTCATTTAAAACAGCTATTTTTACCCCAATAACAAGAAAGTATGCTGCATTTTCGATAGCTCCACAGATAATATAGAGATTAGATTAGATTCCACAATTATTCCAAAATTTTTTGTATATGCTATTATTTGTAACTGCTAAGAAAAGGAAGAAAAAAAAAATTGTACTAAGCAAACGTTTTCATTGATTTTAACGTAGACACTCGGCTGTGGTTTTTAGGGTTCGCAAGAATACCCAAAACCCTTATAATTAAATCAATTTTTAAATTCATATAGTTCTTTATGTACATATTTTATTTATTTTATGTCTATGAGTTTTAATACGACATCTAATTCAACTAGCTGCTTAATGTTCGAACAATCAAGTACTCTTGGTCTCTACATACATATTTTGTATTTATGAATGTCAAATATTGCTAATATTGTTGTTTGTTTTACTTTTGTTCATCGTCGATACTAGATAGTATAAACTTTTACTTCAAGGTTCACCGCTGCTTTTAATTTAAGTTTTACTCAAATGAAGCTCAATACGTACAATTGACGACATAAAATAAATATTTTTTGACGTTCCAGGGCAATTTTTTTCATACTAGATTCATATCTACCTAGAGTACTTTAATGATACTACGCTTTGACATATAGTACAAGCGATTTTCAATGTTTAAGCAACATATTTTTACCGTAACATGGTCTTGCAATGTAGTACTTGTATACTCACGTAATATAGATAATCGTGCTAAGCACAAACAATTAACATACAAGTACGCACGGGTATATTAAATCAATTGTAACGTATATTTTTGTAACGAGAATTACTTTTAACATGTGCTTAAATAAAAGGAAACTTGGAAAATGTAAAGACGGTTATTTTAAGCATGTATAAGAAAGCCAGCAGCGTCGTGATGCTGCCCATGCGCTTCCTCCTCCAGTATTGGCTTCTTTTTTGGGACATACGGATTGTGTTCTGGATCGGCGTTCAAGCTGAGTGATGAGAAAAAAATAAATAATGAGTGAAAATAAAAACAAATGGGCCATTTAAGGAAACTTACTGATAGAGACTGATGGCTTCCTCGCACTTGACATTGTACCACCAATCGCATGCAAATTCCTTTTGATTGAAAATTGTGCCATTTGTGCAGAGAAAGGATGCACCCTGGTGTCCTTCGCGGCCGTCGTGGCAGACATGATAGGCCTGGCAGCCGGTCTCGACATTGGCATACATGCCCGGCACTGCGGGCACATTGTGGCAGCTGAACTGTGTGTGGGGGACTTCGTGATAAATGGGATAATCCACGCCCGCCACACCAGGTATTTTATTTAAATCCTGTTTTTCCTCCTTCTTGGGCACTAAATGCCCTTCCGGTTGTGGTGGATGGAACAGATGCCCGAATGTCTGCAATTCGATGAGGACAGTGGAGACTAAAGTTTCAAATGACGCTGCGCAATTGCGCAACTAATCTCGCAGAGACAGACACTCTCGCGTCCACACATGTGGATGTGGTGCAGCGGAACCGGTTATCTGCACAGCCTCCAAACTGGCAGCAGTTTGGGTGCCGCTCATTATTAGCAAACAATTAAACGCCTGCCTGCCTGTCTGCCTGCCTGCCTGCCACTGTCTACGTTTTTTGTAGTTGTGCCTCAATTGCATGTTACAATTTTTGGGTCAAAAGTGAACGTCGACGTCGTTGTCGTTTTCGTTGTCGCTCGCTCGTGATGTCTCTGTGTAGCCGCGCATGCGCACAAAGCTCTGGAGCTGTGTGTTGATTGATTTCTCAGCATAATTACAGATTTCCATGCCTATGGCATCTATTTGATTTGATTTTGCGTGGCCGCAGCACATCTTACAGCTCTTGATGTAATAATTATCGCATCTAACTTACCTGCACTTCAATCGCTGCCGCTGCTCCAATCAGCAGCATCAACAGCCAGGCATAGCATATAGCGGCGTTCAGCTCAAACATCTTGTTTAAATAGTACAACAACTCAACGCCCAATTTGGAGAGGTCTTAAGATTTCCGTCGTGCTCTACGCCTACCAGCCAACAATTCAGGGAAGAGAACCGTCCACTTCGAGTTTGAAAATCGCACTGAGTTGCAGTTTTCCAAGCCCACGAGCTGCCACCACTTGAGGCAATCGACGCGTCGGTGCAGACCATCGTGTGAGCTTTCAAGGGTACCACTAACCGTTAGTTGATACCATGGTCGGTTTCAGTTTCGGGCCTGGTCTTTGGCTACGCTTTCATGTCGCGTGACGACGACGACGACGACGACGCCGACGATTTGGAGGCAACTTTCAATTGTTGGAAGCTGTTCTCCTAAGCTTTTTAACCAAATTTGGCAAATTGGTTTCGCCAGTATTGTGTTTCCAAGTATTTGAAATGTTAAACATAATGTTGATATATGGATCATACATGTGTTTCTTTGTTTTTCTTGCCCGTTCGTCAGCATGTCTGTGTCTCTATGTGTGTGTGTGTGTGTGTCTTCGATTGTGGGAAAGTGGTACAAGACGGTTTATTTTGTAAGATACAAATTGTTCACGCTTAAGTAGCTAAAATATTGTGCATGTACATTACACTAAAATTATACAAAGGCGCGTCCATTGCAATTCGCAATTCGGGGTTGGTCAGTGGGAAATGACAGCTGAGGAGTTGCATTGTTAGTGGATGGTCAGTCGACATGCAATTGCTGGGTAATGTGGTAAGCAAATGGCGAAATCACTGGGAATGCGATGGGATCACATGAGTTTTGGATAGGAGTGAAGGGATGTGAGATACCGCTTAGTGGGTTGGGAGCAATTATCGCGATGGGATCAATTCAGTTTAATTTGGATCAAAGGAATGGCAAATGAGTGGATTGATAGGATAGGGTTGCCACACTACTATGGAATATTTTCAGGGGTTCACTATGATAGCAAATTAGATATACCGAACATATGTGTTTGTTTGTGTTACAAATATACATAGTTATAATAAAGTTTCCAGAAACTTTAACATAGAGGCTAAAAGCGATAGCAAATTAGATATACCGGCCATATGTGTTTGTTTGTGTTACAAATATACATAGTTATAATAAAGTTTCCAGAAACTTTAAAACTAGGGACCGCTGCTTTTGTGCATATTTTCGCAAAACAAATTCCAGTGTTATCAGTGGATGCTTGGTTAGGAATAGAAGCGATTAAGGACTAGGGAATTTATGAAATAAAGTGCGACCTAAAATGGGCTTATAGCTCATCTAACTGCTTAGAATGTTAGAGAAAATGTTCACAAAAAATGTATTTGTATTTAACCAATGTATGTATGATGTAGGGTTAGTTTGGTTATTTTTTTCGACCATTTAACTAGTTTTTCACTTTTATTGCAAAAGTGTAGTGACTGGTCACATACTTAGCTGTCCAAAGCAAATATATCTTAACACTTTCGGATGCAATATATTCGCAGCTCTATAAGATAAAAAGGGAAGCCTGAAAATTGCATGCATCGAATATTGATCACAATTGGAAAACCAATAACTTGTGCCGGGGCATTGTCGATATTAACATTAAGAGGGAAGCCAGCGGAAGCAGATAAATAATATACATACTATATATTGTAAAAATTAAAAGCGGCTGGTATTAACAATAATTTAGTGTATGATTATGCTTCTCTTCAATAATCCCCAATTCAATTATTGCTCGATAGAACTTTGTCGCAGAAGCCTCTGAAAATTACCTAAATATATCAATCCTATTGGATGACAATAACGCCGGCGATAAAAATAATTTTCGTCTTAAAGTACTGTTCTTCTTTAAAACCTTTATAAAAATGCTCTGCTTTTAAGTGGCTTTCTTGCAATTGGCTTCAATTGCACACCATTTTGAAGAATAGTGGCGCGGAGAAGCTCTATAAAACTGGCTTAACTTTCGTTATTGGAGTCCTCGATTAGAAAAAATTGGTTAGTAAGAATGGTTTGTTTGTGGAGTGTGGCAGCCAGGGTTTTTGAACAGATTTGTGGGATTCTACGAATTATACTAAACTAAAGGCATAAGCATTTAAAACGTGCAACACTTCACATATGATAAGTATAAACAAGTCTTAATCAAACTAATACAATTTTTGCGCCGTGGATTGTAAATCGAATTTGTTGAACAATTGATCCAGTTCGCTGTAAAGCTGTAGAAAGGGAGGAGTTTGAGAAGAGTTTTAAATGGTTGTATATTGTATCTGTCTAAATCGCGAGCCATCAGCAACTTACATGCGTTGTTCCATAACTATCCACATAGGTCTGGCTGCCGCCGAGGGTTTTCTTGAATGGCAACAGTGGCGTGTGCAACAGATTCACATTCTGATAGGATTCGGCCTTTAATGAGCTAGTGGCATGGCTTTTGCCCACTGTGGGCGCCAGATCCAAGAAATTGGGCGCTGCATAGGGCGAAAGAGTCTCAGTAATACTTGTCAGTCGACTGTGATCCATCATACTAACTTTTTTTCGATTGCAGTTTCACTTGATTGAGCAGCGGATTGTGCAACTGCAATTGATTGTAGACAGGTAGCGCATGCTTGGGCGGCACCAAAACGTGCGGCCGACCCACAGCCTGCGGATACAGATAGGTTGTCTCCACAGTCGGCACTTGGCGGTAGTGGAAGCGACCCTCCCGGGCAGTGTAGCGTCCATCGGAGCTGAGCGCTATGTGGAACACCGTACGCATGGGCTTGTTATAGTATTGATAGACCTGATAGATGGGCTCGCAATATTAATAGATTATTAGTTAATGAGTCGTTTGGGTTACCTGGGGTGTGCGGGTCTCTGGCACAATGCCATCGGGCACGGATATGCCCTCCTTTTGCAATCGATTCAAAAAGAGGCGATCCGTTTGAAAGGCCGAGTCTGGTATTTTGCCACCCGCATGTGGCAAGACTTGTTCGCGATAAATTTGCCGTTTCTTCAAAAGTAGAGCGCATAGAAACAATTAATTAATTAATTTATGGCGCGTCGCAATTGTTATCGGTGGTAACGATCATTAATAAAAAATCACTTTACTTGGTTACTTTTCTACGCGGTAATAATTTTATGTTGGTAATAAATATTAAAGGAATAATAGAAAATCTAATCTTCAAATGTAAGTAACGGGTAGAATGAGGCGTGCTGACAAAACGAATCGATAAAGATATGTCCAATTGTCCGTCCGTTTGAACTTCACCAGCAAGGGGAACGAAATATACGCAGAGCAAGTTTATTAAAAACCATAAAGTATAGCCTATCATAGGGCCGATCGGTGGAAAAAATTGCTCTTTCTGGTGTTTTGTATATAAAAAAACTTAAATAAAAATGTATTTTTTTCTTCTTAGTTAAAATTATTATTATTAGTGTACTACTTGTATATCATATTTGATAACTGCCATAGAAGCATTTAAAACAACAACATTTATTCAACAAAGAAGGCTTCTTTATGAAAGCTGACTGGAAATTGCGAAAATATTTTTAAAAATTGGAAATACTTTCAGAAAAATAGAAATGTATGGTGGCCATGGTTACACTATTTGCATTTCTTCACAGCCCGACAGAAATGAAATCATCAATAACCATCAAGTAATTGAAACGACTACCACGTTGTAGCAAGGACAACAATTGTTAGAATACAAGTATATCTAGTCTTGAGACTGAATTCGATAGCGAAGTTGCCGCTTAGGTAGAAAAGTAAAGCATTTTCAAATAAAAACACAAGACAATTTCACAGAAGAGTAATAAAAAGATTTCAACAAAAGTCATGCTTTTGAATGACTGTGCAATTTTAGCTCGAGAAAAACTATTTCTGTGCTTCTGTGCAAAATAAATAAATATTTAAAAGTTGTCTTTCTAAATCCAATGTACTAGAAATCGCACAACACAAAGTTTGATTTTTCTAAATAGAACAAAATAGGTTTATAAAAATATGAAAGTAAGGCTGGCAAGTAAATTAATAAATAATAATTCCAAAAAAAGAACGTTTTTCAAAACGTTTCTAAATGCAAGTAAATGCATTTTTCTTAGTGTAGCCCGGAAAAGGGGGGTCACGGGCAGCTAGAATAATAGAAAACTGGCACCTTTTAATATTGAGCCATAATAGATGATTTTTCTAAATTTTAGAAAGGAAGGAAAAATAAGCAATTTTTTCAAATCTTTTCTAAAAGCTACGAAAATGCATTTTTCCTGGTATAGCGTGGAGCCAAAATAGCAAATTTTTTCGAAATTTAAGAAAGTAACTTAACATGGAATTTATGCTGTGATCCAAAAAAGTAAACTTTTCTTAAAAATAGAATATTTTTTAAAACGTAACTTAGACCTTAATTGTAAGCGATTGCTTAAATTCTAGAAAACATCCTTTGTGAGTGTAGTTGAATTACTTTAGCGAAAAAAACGGTTGGTACAGGATATGCCAGAGTAGGGATGGCATGTTTCTAACATTCTACATTATTTCTATTATTTCTATAATATTTTACAGCACACCTAATCAGATTTGAAGAACGCACCTTGTGATGCCGTTGTGCGGTGGATATGTCTTCAGCGGAGCTGAGAGCGACGATCAGACAGAGTGGCACGATTAGGTGTCGCATAAATGACGATGACATGGACATGGCCAATGCTTGATTCAGTTTGTTGCACTTTCAGGTGGTTTATATTCTTATTGGTATTCGTTTTAGCTTTTATTTTTATTTTTTTTATAGCACATTGGATGCTGCGGATCAGCTTACAACACTGTTGCACTGTTTTGAATTTCAATTTGAATTGGAGGCAAGAATTTCAGTTATTCGACAGCTGCGAAAGGTCAAGTTGATTACAAAGCACGATCGGCAACAACAATTGAGAGGCATTCACAAGTGTTGCTTAGCTCTTGGCAAATAAACGTTACCAATTCGATGGCAAACAAAAACAAATTTCAAACATTTTTCGAGTCGCGGGCGACGCGCGACCAGATTTTGCAACACACGATGACAAACTCCAAAGATTTGCGAATGTGGCGTTACAATATGGTCTCAAGTCTTCCGTTGGTTTGTTCAATTTTGTTCGCCTGCCAACAACAATAGGCGCGAGTGTATAGTTTTTTTGAATATGGGTTCGAGTATTGAAATATGTGCGCAACTTCGTTGTTCGCCCGTCGACAGTGGCCAACATAATGAATGCAAATGCATAAAGCCCGCTGATCTCTGTCTGTTGAGCCCTCTGTCGGATGAGTAGCGACACTGACTCCGACGCCGACGCCAGCGCCAGCGCCACCGATGATGAGACAACGCTCCGTCAACTCGCGATCGTCGTTTTTTGCAACACTGTTGTCTGTCACGTGGTGATCGCTTCGAACGGCAGCAAAACAGCCAGCACGATCTTACGGCCATAAAGCATAAATACTGTTTGCCAAAAAGCCATAGGCCATACACAGAGGAAAACATACATACGGCTTTACTATTTAATTGATTGTCTTATTTCCTTTGTTGTGCAATTTTTGTAAAAATCCATGATGTCCCGTTTAAAAATTGTACTTCATATTTTATGGAATTATGCGGATTGGTCTCACTGGAGCTGAAACAATCTGTTAATTAAGTAATTTATGTTAATAGGATTTGTTTATTGTCTAGGTTAAGACAAATTGCAAATAAAATGAATTTACAAAATATAAAAATATTTCATGGAATTGAAGTTCGTAGTTTTAATTAGCAAGTGAGATATTTATAGTTTAGTTTCGTTGTAGGGAAATGTTGCAGAATGCCTTCAGGAGAAATCGTAAGTATGATCAAAGTACAGTCTACAAGTGATACAAAGTGATTAATGGGACGTGAAGACATCAATGGCTTACTTTCATCTGTAACATCCAATCTATGAAGTGAAGAAACTTATGCTTGAAAATCGTCGCGACAGTATGCGTGAGATTGTTCCAGTCCTTGGCATTGTGGGACTGAAATGCGTGGCGGTTCCGAGTTAATATTCTCTAGATTTTGTGCTCTCCTGGCACCATTGAGTCCATCAAACATAAGGTCTCTTAGACTGTTATGGATGATAGGATCAATTGGTGGCTTATGTATGTTCGTAGGCTCTTATGGCGAATACTTGGAAAGCAATAATAAAGATATTAACTATATATTTCCATACAGTTATCAAATATGTTCACAGATCAGCAAATAAGGTAGATTTTTTCACTGTGTAGATAAACAACAACAGCAGGAGCTGGCACATCAGCTTTTGAAACTCTAAGTGTTTGTTATTGCTTTAAACTTAAACACAAGATTAGTTGATATTACTATTTATTTTTTACTTTAATGTCTTTAATTTTGTTTTGTTTTGGTGGCGGAAAGAAAAATCATTTTGGCCAAATTACCTAATTAATCATGTTGGACATAGACAGCGTCGTTTTATGCCGCAATTTCTTCCATCTGGTGTGCCTCATCATTGATTTTGACGGCTTGGACCCGTTGCTGCTTTTTAGGGCATTGCGCTGCTGCTCGAGTTGAAACTTTCAACCTTAGAGTTCATCTTGTTTTTTGCTGTAGTGTATTCCATACTTGTAATTACAATAGCTTCGGACATGGCAATTTTTTGTAGCAAACCTTTTGAAAGTGAACGGATTTGGTGGTGCTGTATTTTTAATGCCCTTGCGGAAGGGCATTGCGGCTTAGGTTGTTTATTTGACAATCCCTAGCGTCTTGAAGTGAAAAGCTCTAGGGTTTTTAAGTTTTTATTTATTCTCCCAAGTCATTGGAATGTGAAGGAAAGAAATTGTTTGTAATATAAAAAAAGATCGAGTGCCTAAAAAAGTAGAGAGGCATTAAGTTATAGCCACAATTGCAAAAAATGTGCCTGGTTATGAATGGGTATGAAAAGAAAGTCCGAAAGAAAGTTTTTGTACTCCTACTAATTGATTTTAATTGAAAAACCATTCCATAAACTACATCATTTTAATATAATCTTTAAATGTTTTTTAAATATAAGAAACTTGAATTAGTTGGACGGCAGTGGGCCAACTACAGTTGAAGTTTTGAAATAGAATGGATTGAAAAAAAGGGCTTTCTTTTTCCTACTCTGTACCCGAAGGGTGAGAAAGGTCAAAACGCCCAATGTATGTAACAGGCTGAACTCATATATGTAATCAACATGATAAGACAAGTCGATATGGGCACGTCCGTCTGTATGAACCCAGAGAACTTTTGAACCATTAAGGCTGCAGACGCCCACATAGCGTGTAGTCTTGATTTATCCATATGCAAGATTAAGTTTCTTACAAACCATATACAAATATATTTAAAAGCAGAATTGGAAGAATTGCATTAAATATGTAGTATGAACACCAAATGAAATAATTATTAGAAGCATTAAGCAGTACCATAATAAGTATTAGAGTGTATGTAATATTTCACTTGTTTTTTCACAGTTTCCAACCAGACCTTATGTTTTTCGATTTGTTTTGACTTTTGTGGTTGATTGCGCTTCAGTCGTCATTTCCTAAATGCTTTATTTTTATTGATTGTTTTTGTTATTATCATCATTTATGTTTCATTTCCACTTTAGTGAAGATCAAATTTTGCTCAATTTTGGTGTTGTTAGAAAAGTTATTATTGTAAAAGTTGTTGTGTAAGCGCGAGCCTTGAAATGCTTTTGAAAGCAAATTTAACATGGCAGTTAACTGGGCGAAGGCGGTACCCAAAAGTACGGGTTGTTTAGCTTCTTTGGAAATAACTAAATAACTCTTTTCAAATTATGCATTACTTAGATGCATAAAGTAAAGGTTGGAATTGCCTTTTCTTATGTAGAATTATTTCAATTGAGATGCCTGATTAGTTTACGTATTAATTTTAATTGTGAAACTACAGCCCAACATGATAAAAAGGTGAAATAAATTAACGCAAAGAAAGAAAGATTTCATATGCTGTTTTCTTCGATGATAATAGCATCGTGATTTATAGATTGATGACAGGCTTACAAATAAATAAAAAACTGCTTAGACAATTGAAAGCTAATGATATGTACAATCCACCGATGTCGTGGTGTAGTAACCTGTTTGTTTCCTCACTGCAACTCCATTGTTACTTGTGCAAAAAGTATTTTAAGATTCAAAAGCTTGATCCGAACGTATTATGCACACTCTGTTCAGTGATAGACGCTCATTGTGAAATCAATTGGGAATATTTTCATGCACACATATGTATGTATATAGTATCAGACGACAACTTTCAAACTGGTTGATTTATTTCCATATCTATGTCTAGGCTTTAAATGGCTGTACAAGCCGAGAAGTATTAGCAATAAACTCAATTTACTCTAAGAAAGTAAAGTTTTTTATTTTGATAAACAGTTTTTCCTTCCGGCTGATAATATAAGAGTATATAGAAATCATAAGATTTATGGACAATTTGAAATTCTTTGTAGATTAGTGCTGTGGAGTTCGCGTTGCATTTCAAACAAATTATAAATTATTTATTAAATTATTTGGCCTAAAAGTTTTTCTGTGGAGCTGGCTTCTTTCAAAATAAATTATAACATGAAATCACATTAAGATGGCTTTTATAATATTTATAGGAAACTAATATTATTATATGATGAATCCAAATAGTATTTAAATACTACAATCCTCTTCGACGTTTATTGAGATTTCTTTTTAAATAATTTTTTTTTAATGGATGGATGGAGCTTTATGGTAAAGATCCATGTAAAGGCATCGTCCAGAATAAAATTTAAATTTTCTAACCATGTTTTCCTTTTACCGAGAAGTTATTGACTAACTATTTATCAGACAAACGAACTAATTTTTACATCTTACTTACACCCCTCTCTATCCAATAAAATATACTATAGTACTCCAATTTATTGATTTTAAACGGGAATTCAATGTCTCTTCCATTCAGATAGTGATGAAAGCTTTGAGTTCCAATTCAATTTGCAGAAATATCGATAAGTTGGCAAAATCGTTGCAGATTTTACAGGATGGCTTGATAACAACCTGACTTTCAAGATCATGCCGAATCGTTGGCTACTGAATTACTGTTTCAGAATTTATGAAGAAGTTATTTGAAATCTGCCAAGACAGCCCATCCAGCGAACTATATACACCAATGATCGTTAAAGTGAGGGGAAATTGGAAACAGCAGGAGGCAACCATTCGAACCTGTAATCATATTTAATCATTAATCATGCCATATAACTGTCTATCGAATTAAATAGCTCATTTGTTCATTTTATTTCATAACACGCCCGCTATGTACAATAACTAATTCATATGTTTCTAATAAGTGGTCGACTGCGTACTCCCTCGCCTTTTTAATTTTCATTCACAATTCAATATTCAAAATTCGTAGCACAGCGCCATTATGGTGTTTCTATTCATAAATGTGTTTCAGCAGCTCGAAAACTATTCCCACGCTGCTGTAGTTGCAAAAACGAAAAATATGATTGGCTGCAAGCAGAAGAGCACTTAAAATTCCGAATGCATTTTAATTTTTTTGGTTTATTTTTTTCGCGTCTTGTTAATGACAGGCAACTGAACATGGAGTGCGATGTCGGGTCGGGTATGATCATGGACGTAGCGAAGAGGGTAGATGCGCGCTGTTGTCCCTCCCCAACAACTCTTCTAAGTGCAACCAGAACTTAGTTAGTATGTATGTATGCACCTTTATATGTTTTGCAGTTGCGTAAATTCAACAAATATCTTAGCCTTAGAGCTTTTAATCTACTAATAAATATACATAAGTATGTATGGAAATATAAATTCAACAATGTTATTATTTAATTTTTCAGAAGTTTCACAATTTAGTTCGGCGGTCACAATATTTTAATTTATCAGAGATTTTACAATTTAATTCCTCAATATTATGATTTAATTTTTCAGAAATTTCACTATTTATTTCTTGATTTGCCAGCGCTTAGGTACTTGGTATGAGAATCGCAGAGGAGGGCGCCCACAATATTTTTATTTAATTTACCAGAAATAATGCAGTTTAATTCCAAAACACTATTATTTAATTTTTTAGAAACTTCACAATTTAATTCTCGATTTGCCAGCGCTTAGGTACTTGGTATGAGAATCGCAGAGGAGGGCGCCCACAATATTTTTATTTAATTTACCAGAAATTTTACAATTTAATTTCACAACACTAATATTTAATTTTTTAGAAACTTCACAATTTAATTCTTGATTTGCCAGCGCTTAGGTACTTGGTATGAGAATCGCAGAGGAGGGCGCCCACAATATTTTTTTAATTTACCAGAAATTTCATATTTTAATTTGAAAATATTAAAATTCAATTTTTCAGAAATTTACATACATACACACAATATACATATGTATGTAAATAGTACGTGTATGGTTACAGTATGTATGCCCTAGCTTTCGGAACATACCAAAGTAATTTTCTATTGACAGTACCTTAAGAAACTTTAGACAGCGTCGGACGAGGAATATAATCTTTAAAATAAACTTATAATTGTAAGCCCATCAATGTCGAGTAAGACCTGCTACTATATTTATAAACCACTCATCGCAAATCATCAATGAATATAAAGAGGTAATGCTGTGTCAAGATAGGTTAGAAGTCTCCTGTACCTATACTTGTATTGTCTGAAGATGCAAAAAACTTCACCCCCTTGAAAGAGATCTCGGCTCCGCCCATGGGTACGTTGGTCATAAAGCATAAAACGCAAATCGATTTGTGCGTGTCAAATATGTAACAAAATGTCTGAGCACTCGTAGTTATTTGTATTTATGTAAAACAATTGCGTAGCTCGTCTGTTAGTGAAAGTTAAAAGCTAGATAGTTGGGGCTTGGGCGGCGATAAGAACGTACGACGATGGCCATTCAAATGCCAGACACAATGCCGATTCGAGTCGGGTCGAGTCGAGTTGAATTGAATAGCGTGGAGTTGTAGGCTTTGTTCGTTACGCAATGGTTAAACATTACAAACTACAAGTCGACCACAAATGTTGGAAGACTTCTTTGAGAAATTTTGTGTGCGCTTGTGTGTCTTACAAACCAACCTTGACTCAATCAAATGGAAACAAGATGTTGTGGCAAGCAGGCAGCAGCATCCATTGAGAAGACTAGACTGCCAGCGAGATTAATTATTTTAAATCGTCGTCGACCTTGGGCACAACTTCAAAAACAACAACAAAACCAACAACAAGCAGTAGGCAAAAGCAACTTGGCAGCTGAATTAGTTTTTCTGTTTATTTTTGGCGCAAGTACTTGTAAATCGCAGCAAACTTAAACGTTGTTAGTAAAATGTAGTTGACCACAAGCCTCAAGTTAGGCCTCAAGTTGTGGCTGGGATTGCGTTTGTCGTACGCTAATTGGCTCTGAGATTCCTGTGGGTGCACCTTGAACCCATTTACAGTTAGTTGCCGTTGCCGTTGCCGTTGCCGTCGCCGTCGACACGTCGCGTCTGCTTTCAAAAAGTGCATCGAAAAGTTCAGTTCGTGAACTCAAGGATTTGTTTGAGTCGACAATGCCCAGCAGCATGTGACCAAAGACATTCTCACGATTGTACAAAGCCTTTCCTTTTTAAATACTCTTTTAAATCAAGGAATTTCAACTTGGTTTATAATCATGTTAATAACCAAGCCCTCACGAAAACTGGCACTTAATCCAAGTTGACTTATGAGGTTTCTTTTAGATCTTATTGATTTCTTATCCCCTTTCTGAAATAGACGAATTCCTGTTAATATGTTTTATGAAACATCTAAACACTTACCTTGCTGTGAAAACATTCTGTAGCTTTCTACAGATTAAATGATTCGATTGATCGAAGAAAGGGTTTCAATATTTCTTATCATATGCTTTCTGTCATTCAAATTGTAAGACCTAATTCAATATTTAAGCTTAAATATGAAAAATGATAAAACGTGAAAGTTTTTAAGTAATTAGTTTCGGACTTAAAAACGATACCAAAACACATTTCATAATTTAAAATATAAATGTTTGTTGAAACGTATGTTTACATAGTAAGAGAGGTTCTGTGGAAATCTGTCCCGAAAAATTAAGTCTCTACTCTTTTAGGCGGTATTAGTTTAGATCAATCTTGATACATATTGTCATTGAGCACAAATGGGACCTCCTTAAGAAAATTCCATTAAAATTAGTTTCTGTCAGAACCTTTGAAACCAATCCGACTAGGATCATATTTATTGCCTGTACCCACCCAAAGGGTGAAAGGCTATACTAGTTTATATTTGTCTGCTAGATTCTCCCCAACAAATTTTTAATAATTCTTAAATTTTTTGCTTTTATAATTAAATTATTTGTATATATAGTTAGTTATTATTTAGTCTAGTTTTAGTATCCGTTTAGAATCGAAATATTCTTATAGTTATATGGCTATATTTACATAAATAAATATGCTGATTATTGAAATAAACAATGATGCTTTTTATTTCTATTTGTTAGATATATATTTTTTAAATAGATAGAAAGCTATTTGCTTTCATTTCATTTAAGGGAGATGACAAGTTTTTCGAGAGCATGTTAAGTTCGGATATTCAAAGATAGCGTTCCTTTCTTTTTTTGTTGTTGTTTGTGTCCCAGCTTGTATGTACTAGCTCGTCACAACCGCTGTCATGAAATGACAAGGCAGTACCTCGACACAAGTATTGAGCGAGTATTGACAGAGTGGTCTGGCCTGATCTCAATTGTAACAAGTGTGGCGGCGATGGGTTAAGTGGCGGGCGCATCATTGCCAGCAGCGATTGTGAATGAGACTGGGATTGCGACTCTGACTGCGACTGCGACTGCGATTGCGGTTGCCTAATTGGCCCAGAGCTCAAAGGCAAGTTCAATTGGTTGTAATGCAAACTCATTTGGTGCTTTGATTGAATTTGCAATCAAACATTTTGCGGGTTTTGTATTGTGTTCGTGCTCGTGTTTGTGTTTGTTTGTGTGTGGCTGACTACTTAAGTACGCCCATGAACGAAAATGAAAACGAAAACGAAAATGAAATCGAAATTGCTGCCGCACTTATTGCAAATCAATTTGAAAATCAATACAAACTCGTTCCACCTAAACTTTGCATTCGTTTGTGCGTGCAATTGTCTGCGTGTGCACTTAATGCCAATTATGGCACGATCTCAGCCTATTGGTATACATATTTTCAATATGTTTTGCATTACTCCGAAAAATGACACGAGCTTGCCCCGGGCCCCCTTTTTTGTTTTCTGATTCATTTCTGACAGACATTGACAGCTTTAGGGCATTTATCATGTATGTTAAAGCTTCAACACGGGAAAGTTCAAGGGGCTGCCGTTCAGTTTTTGATTAATGGGTATGTAATGCCTCCAGTGATCGAGCAACATGGCCCCCGGCCAGCTGACATGAACAGCCACAGACACAATATAGTATTGGCCGTGCTAATAAAGCGTAGCCATCATACCTCTGATGAATAGGTGAAGTCACTTTCTTAGAAAAATACCTATATTTCAACGCCCTTTAAGGCAGAGGGCAGCTATTTAATATATGATATATAAGTAGTATTATTACAGTTATACATTAAATATTACATTTTACATTCAACTGTTAACCCCTGTTAACCCATACTATTTCAGTACCAGCTGTACCACAAAAGTCGTTACAAATATGCTTGATAATGACTTAACATTTTATTCAAGTTCGACTTCGATCTTATTCCCTCAGCATAATATGACTTTTTGAGTTGCTTTTGTTCAGATTAAGTAGAATTCTTTATACGCCGTTGTCTCGTGATCCTTTCATCTAACAGTGCATGATGATCATTTTGTTTATCTTCTTACGTTTGTAATAAGTCATGCAAGTACGTTATAATTGTTATTTTATTACGCTTAACTGCTTGTTTAAAGAATCTGGTTGGTCGGATGGAGAGACGAACAAAAAGCTTACATTAGACTTGTGTGGCATAGTGAAAACGGAAAGCCATTGAAACTTTAAACAGCCTACGAGGCTTATCTACTTACTTATTAAATAACCGTTTGTTCACATTACCTTTGGAAATGCCTCTTAACACATGGTTTCAGTTTGGTTGTTGGTCTTCTTATTTTTCTACAGATTTGACTCCATCCAGATGCTTCATCATCTTTATCATCTTTGTCCCACTCTTCAAGATATTTATTATACCGCTTTGCCGGCGAAAGTGACTGGCTAGGGCGCGCATTTCAAGAGTCGTCATCTTCATCGTCATGGTAATACTGTCCTCTGAAATTAGGCATGACAGAGACTTTATGCTTCTGGCAACAGACTATGCAACTATCCTATCTTTAAGATCAACTGATTACGCGTATCCTGTTTATCCAGGTCTCCACCAGATGTTAAGTTCAAAGGCCTTGATAGTTTGGGGTTTTAAAACTGTATTTTGTTTTCACCCTTTCTAAACAATCCTATACGATAACTTCGTTTGTTTGCTGAGATAAAAACCAATTGAAATAAATTTTAGTATTCGGCAGGGATCACTAATGGGAATATTGGGCAGCATTTGGGTGCTTAGAAATGCTATTCTTAATAACGAAAAACATGGCGATAGATGTCACTATGGGATAAATCATTTTAATATACAGATGTCAGGAGTTTCTAATAACACTATAACACAATAAAACACAGTAAAAATGATAACATTGCACCCCTGGTCACAGACATCAGTGATCGGCTCGACCATTGGAAGTCGTAGTATACTTATGACACCCACATCTTCAACATTCTTTCGGCGAAGCCCGGTTGATAAGGGCGCACAACATAGATTTCTGACACGCAGCAGCTACGAAGGGTCCTGGAATAAAAAGGTGCACACGATGGATGGCTTTGGAACCTATCGGTTTCCAGATGGCAGCGAATATCGGGGCTATTTCCATCGCGGCAAGTTCCATGGTTATGGGCAACTGAAACTTGCAGCACCCTATAGATTCTCGATAAAGGGTGAGTTTGTTGAGGGCAAGCTGAAAAATGTTGCGGATATGTGGTTCGAAGATGGTTTGCACTTGGACGGCACCTTCGAGAACGGGTATCTTAACTGTAAAGACTGGAAATATCTGTCTGACTACGATCGACGCTTTCACGGGGAATTGAGTTATGGGCAGCAGCCGGTAGGACCCACATCTTATTTTACCGGAAAGTCAACATCACGACATCTCAAGAACGGCACCTACGATGCAGAAGAGGGCATCTTTCATCCAAAAACGGGCTATATTACTAATCGCGTTCCGCCATTTACCAGAAACTTTTACGTGACCTGCCACGAAGATAGGGATTGGATTACACGTCATTGTCGAAGAGGAGTCAGCGCTTCGGAGAATGCTAAGGAACCATTGCCAAGATTCTGCCGTCAGATTATCAGTAATAATTTGGATGATGAAAAAAGAATGATGGGGAAAAAGTCTGTTTGTTTGCCTGCAAAGGGATTCATTAATCGCAAGCAGTACTTTCATAAGATCTGTGACGAACTTAACGACGAAGATGCCCCCAAATCAGTGGAAGAGTCCATGGAAAGGTCAATTGGTGTCGACAGCAGCTGTGATATTCAGAGCATTACGGAGCAATCGTTCAAGGAGGGAAGGCAAAATTTTGGACGCATTGTCAGGCGTGTGGGACCCCAAGACATCAATGTACGTGTGGTACAAAGCAATCTAACACTCGGTTTCACCAGCTTCCTGTATCCCAAAAGCTCGGCTTTCGATTTGTAGCTTCCAACAAAAGCCTTCCTAGCAGTGCAAAACATAATTCATCTACACATGTACTTATATACTTGTGCTTTAATAAAATTATGCCCACTTATCAATTCAGTCAAATATTGTTTGACTTAGTGTCAAAACAATGATTGAATTATAAGAAATACGATTCACTGAAACATGTTGTATGTTTTATTAACTCGACAATAATCAGGCCGTAGATATTACTCAAAATATATTCGAGCCATAGAGCTATATGAGCGACAAAGAAGCAGTCACATTTACCCACATTTTTCGGCACATTCCCGATTGTGTGATGGCCTGTCACGCCTGCGCATGAATTTGTGTTTGTTTTACAATTTCATTCACGATTTTAAATTCTCTTCCTTCCTCTAGCATTTTATCTAGCAGTACAAGAAAGTGCCATTTCAATAAAAGTTATTTTAAATACTTTTATTTAAACGTAAGTTCCAGTACTGGGTGTCGAGAAAGGATATCTTGATTATTCTAGTTGAGAAAGGGGCATTAACAGTCCTTTACCTTCCTAATTTTGATCACCTTTTCAATTTGCATTGTATATATACAAGTATATATAAGTTTTTCAAATCCAAAGTAATTTTTTCGCGCAATGAAGGATGCTCCAGAATAATCTTTACTTAAGTGAAAGTTTTGGTGAACTCAATTTCGATGTTTAGTTTTTAAAACAACATTTTTATACTTTATTATTTTTAGCATTATCCGAGTTATAATCAAATTACTTTCTTATTATATATTATTTGATATCATTATCAACGAACATACCCTTTTGCGAAAGCGATTTTGTATTGGTGGTCTAGTTTTCGTAATAATTTACAGACTTTGGAAATTATATTGATTTTGTGAATCTTCATGAAGAACGTCACTGAAATTTTGGGCAATTCATAAAATGCATGACCTTTTTGGACCTTTCACTATCACGCACGCTCATGCACAGCTCTTTCAACAAAAATATTTGCAAAAAAGTTTATTGCTGTATTTGAAAACGCATTCGTTAATACAGGTTTTAGAATATTTGCATCCAATTCGTTGTGCAAAACGGACTTTTCTAATCAAATCTGAGGAAATGCTGTACATAATCGATGCTGAACACTTTAGAATAAAACACATTTATATATTTTTTCACTTTGTTTTTGGTTTGTTGTAATTTAAACAGTTTTCCAAAAAGTAAACAATTATATCAATCTTTGCTTTTCTCAATATGTGTAAGAAATATGGACAAGTTTCATTGCTAAATACATTGGCCAACTTAACAGCTTATCGTGTATATATGTAGTATATATTACTTACACACATACATATATGGTATATATACAACTCATGTTTTCCCATCGCTGTGCTTTCTTTACATTCAATTGACGTATCGCAACGCACCAAACTCGGGCGCTCAATATAATAGTAAACCTTTTATTTAGCAACTTTTTTTTACAAATAAATCTGTTTCGTTGCAGTTCAGTGTACAGATGTTTAAATGCAAAAATCTGCGTTCAATTAGGCTTTTTTGGGGCTTTACACACTTAATTTTCCTTTCTGTTTTAACTTTCATTAACTTTCTACATAGGCTATGTGTGGTTTTTATATAAAACTATATATTTATAACATATGTATGTATGTATGAATATCGCACATTTTAATAATTTTCGGTTTAATTGGATGTTTTAAAAAAACAACTAAATTTTTTATATAAAAAATTTATATTGAGTAACCTAAAGCGTTGCAAAATTATAAATAAAATGTTTCGTACTTAGTTATAGCAACGCCTTAAGCTTAAAGTTTGAAAGCTTACAACTAAACATGCTAAAAATATACTATATGCAGTTGCGAAGTTTGCATTAAACAATAGAAAAAAAAACACAATTGTTTAATGTTTACAATTTTGGCTCTTGTAATACTCTTTTAGAACAGAGAGAATGGGAGGGGAAATCAAAACCGTACGAGCTAAATGGAATTATTTTCCATTTACAAATTCTCATTTTCATCACACATGTTTTTGCTTCTTCTTTTTATAAACATATTAATATATGTTGTATTTATGTATGTATATGTATGGATAACTATTAACATAGCGCCTTGCATTGCATTGTACTAAAAATGTACTAAAAACCAACTAAAGTATTTGCGTTGTTCTACTATTTGGCAAACTAACAGCTAGTTTAGACAAATTCATGTACAATTCATGTATGTACATGCATTTAATTATATTAGTGCTTCAAAATTTGGTTGACAGTGCGTACTAAAATGTACTAAAACGTGCTAGAAACGTGCATTGGTGCTGTGCTAAAGTCGTAGGCACTCTCATATTATTTAGTTAACCTTAAAGTGTTTATGAGGTGTGTGTTTCTCTTTCAACTTACACTAAACAACATTTACATACAATTTTATGCATGCGCAAAGGAAATATACAAAGTGTGTGTATGTTTGTATGTGTGTGTGTTTGTGTGTGGGTGTGTGTGTGTGAAAGGAGGACGCGCAGTTTTACATCTAACCATAGTTAGATTCATTTGAACTAAGCTAGGAAAAGTTTTGTGGTGCATGCTGCACGGCGCTATAAACTACGCTAAAAAGTATTTATCGCGTGTATACACATTTCTATATAGTATTTATATGTATGTATACAATAAATATATCCCTTGGTATAGCACTGCTTGTTTTAGTTTTCTTCTTCCGGTTTTGTGTGTTCTGCGCTTATTTCGATTCGGGCGTATCGCTGTACACTTTCATGATGTCCTTGATGGCGGAGAGGGAGCCAAAGACCAGAGCGAAAATGCCACAGATTGTGATAATAACGTTCTTCCACAAAACCCACTTGTAGGCACCGAAACCAGTATCCATGCATACAATGAGTTCAATGATCACCTGTGAGAAGGAGAACAAATGTCGTTTAATAATGATTTTCACCTTTTGGAGTCTTTAAACTTACTGGAAAGATGAGTCCAAGTATGGAGAAACAAAAGGCACCAATAAGTCCCATAAAGGGTGCTATAGTAGGCACCGATACGGCTAGAACCACAGCGGCTGTAACGAGCACAGTGCTATTCAAAGAATTTAAAAGAAATTAAATTAGCAACAAATAAATTGTGTAAAGTTGTACATTTTTGGAATACCCTGTACCCTGCGTAATCTGATCTGAGGAAAGACATTTAATTAATAGAAGGAACTCCAATACTTGATCCGCAAAATGAGGCAAAAGTTGATAGTTAAGGCTCTTCTAACATTCATTTTTGAAGATTTGTTTTGTCTCGTCCATGCTTAAGAATTCCACAACTAAATGAACAAAATTTTGCCAACTTATTTTATGTGATGTTTTCGATCTCTAACACAAATTTATTCAAAAAATTAATTCCAGCCAAACATTATATGTTTGTATACCTTATACGTTGGCACTAAATTTTCTCAAGATTTTGGAGTGATTTTAGTCTTGTTCTTCTTTTTCTGCCTATAAGAACGTAGACTTGGAGAAGTTTCCTTTGGGTTCAGGGAAAACCAGTCTATTAAAAACATATTATTTTACTTACCGCAGAACATAGTTGACAACAGTGGGACGTTTGGTGCACCTGTCCTTAATGGCATCCCAGACAATTTCCAGGCATACGTAGAACTGCAGACCAAAGGTGCAGTAGACAGCCAAAGCGATCAATACCTTCACCGCCTGTGCGGGCCACTCGTGGACGGGCAAATTGAGCGTAATGCTCTCACCGGTCGCATCACCATAGCGCATATAGCCGAGGAAGCCCAACAGCATGTAGATGAGTGTCACACCCGACATACCCTGGCTGAGAACACCGCAAATGCCAAGGAAGTTCTTTGGCGTCTTCATGTTATTCTCCAACGGCATCACCACTCCAATGGCCTCCATGGCGAAGATGGTGATGGAGAAGAAGGCCGGCAGTGTGGACAAGTTGACATATTCGCGTTCCTGAATTGGCGGCAAATCCATGACCAGATAGTAAAACGTAATGCCCAGGCCAGAGCCCATGAATACGTTGGCGACCATTGAAACGGGCGCCAAATACTTCAGGTTCGGCACCCACGATATCAGGATCAGGGGTATAAGCAGTGCTATGATGAGTAAACGCAATGAGACCTCGTAGCCAAGCCAATGTTCCAGCACTTGCTCAAAATTCTTGGCCACAATCACAGTGTAGACGGAGCAGGTGCCGAAATAGGTCAGGAACAAGCCGAAGAGTATCGAGAATTTAGCAACGGGCGCAAAACCGCGGCACCATTTCGGGCCCTTCTGGAATGCAACCTCAGCGATTTCGGCAAAGCTCATCTTTGTGCGACGCGTTTTATAATACAGTTTGTGACCGCATTTGACCTGAAAACAAAGTATGGAATACAAATTAATATTGATAGAGATCTACTATATACTTATAAGTACATATCGAATTGCAGTTCACTACGCTGTAGAATGATAACCTTAAAGATATTCAAATTCATTTGAAATAATAACTTAAAGATAATTTCGAATTTGTCTTACAAAGTATTCAATTTTTTTGAATTGAGACATAGCTTATAATATTTTCAATTTTTTTAAGTTTCTTTGTTTCGCTTCCATTTATATTTTTGCCTAAAATTCTTATTTTAATTAGGCATCATTATTAATATATTATAAATTTAATATTAAATTTCTTTAAAAGGGTACTAAAAGTTTGTTTATAGATTTAATTCTATAAACAATAATATCTATTTCATTTCAAAAATATTAAACTTGTATTCAGAAAGTTAGTTTCATACAGAAAATGTAAACGGACTTCAAAATCTATTCTCTTTTTCTTAGAGACATAGCTTATAATAGTTCAAAGATAATTTCGAATTTGTCTTTCAAAGTATTCAATTTGTTTTAAGCTTCTTTGTTTCGCTTACATTTATATTTTTGCCTAAAATTCTTATTTTAACTGGGCATCATTATTAATGAAATGTGATGTGTTGAATTCAAAATTTAATATCAAATTTCTTTAAAAGGGTACTAAAAGTTTGTTTTTAGATTTAATTCTATAAACAATAATATCTATTTCATTTGAAAAATATTAAACTTGTATTCAGAAAGTTAGTCTCATACAGAAAATGTAAACGGACTTCAACATCTATACTCTTTTTCTTAAAAACATAGCTTTGAACTAAATAGGATTGATCTTCTTGGTGGTTTGTCGATTTCAAAAACTCCTTTCGCATTTTAGTAAGAAAAAGTTTAACTTACTATTTTTCGATTGATGGGTAGGGTTCTAAAAATACTACAAAAATAATAATATCTTTAAAAACTTCAGTATTATAATTTTTAAGGTACTGCTTCGTTCGTAAGAAGAAAAGAAAACTAAGCAGAAGCCTTTGGTTTTCTGATAAACTAGAGAGTTTCTCTAACACATATGGTTTCCGATAGAAGAAACGCCTTTCTTTTAATGTGTAAATAGGGTTGGATTGTTCATGCTACATGCATACTCGTATATACTTTGTGGAGTATTGAAAATTACTTGCTGTTTTTTACTTTCAAAGCAGTCAACTATTTTCTAAAACAGCGCTTTTATTTAATTTCGAAAAGCGTTTTGATGCTTCATAACCCCTTTATGGGCAGTGCGTGAATCGAACTGAACTATCACAACTCCGGTAAATATTTATGTAATCAATATAATTGAATTTCCACTCACCAGAACATAACTGCAGTGTGTGCAGATGAAAGCAGTGAAGATGGTCGCAAAAATGCCCATTATAATGCCCGAGTACATGAAAGCAATCGGCATTGAGAGTATGCCCGTGCCCAGTGAGGCCTTCAGCAAATGCGTCAAAGTTTCATTGTCGCTAATTGGAGAGAAAGAAGAGAAATCGATTAGTTTCGTATGGCACTCGATGTGGTTGAAATGTGTGTTCAAAACTTACGTAGTGGGATGTTCATTTTCGCGCATCGCAAACGGATCAAAGTCATTGGCAGCCAAGGCCTGCTCAGCATCCGACTTGCGTGGTTGTATCTTGTATCTGAAAAAAGTAAAAAAAAAAAATGTATCAAAAATCGAGTAATAATTGTTCAAGTTCTGAATGCAACCTCATCTCAACAGTTACGGGTTCTAAATCACACATTTCGCTGTCTGCTACTCTTTTTAAATGTGCTTCGAAAATGTTGCCGCCACAAATGTTGTTTGCCAACTAAAATCGCCAGCCTGATGCCACATTTTCTTATATGCGTTTCGAGTGAAATTCTCATAAGCGGAATTGCTGCATCTGCAATTATAGTCGTTAACTGACCGCCGGCTGTCCGCCGCGCATGCCGTCTCATAATACTACACTTGTAATTCAAAGTGCCAGTGCGCGGCGCACCAAAACTGCTGTCGAGGTGCATTCTATCAGATACACGACTAAGATCGGCTGTACATATGTACATATGTACATATGTAGGTACTTGTATGTACTCGTACCGGCTGCCGAATTTGGAAAACGATGGTAGTCGTTTGCAGACAAATCGCTTTGGCCAATTGATTGAATTGTTTTCTGCTTTCTGTTGCGACTCAAGAAATGAGACTGACTTGAATGATCGTTCCTATTGCATCAGAAAAAGCATAAGCTATACGGGGAGCTTATGCAGCAAAAAATAAATGGATTGCAGTGCGGATGTGGCATACTTTTAGGTGGAACCTAGTCACAATATCAATATTAATTCATAGCATTACTCGTACTACCTAAATTTAAAGAAGCTCAATAAATATTACAGATCGATCACATAAGCAACGCAATATTGGAAGCGAGCAAAAATTATATTTCTGTATTAAGCATAAGTCTGTATAAGCCAGCCTCCTAAATGAGTCGGAAAATCCTTGGTGGTGTGTCTTCACAGCGATCGGAATATAAATTTAAAAACAACTGACCCACAAACTAGCATCTACATACATGTATTAATGTTTTGGTAACCCTCTCACGTATGTACATCATTTGTTGTATATATATTTCCATGTTCCATGATTCTATTCAGCAGTACGAGAGGGAATACTTATAAGTAATTTCACGAATACACCCGATATCATTACGATTCTGTGTTAAAAAGTGGTTTTAGTTAAGCCGCCCAGTCGAGTCAGTGAATAGAGCTTTGTTTCTCTGAAGAAATGTTTGTGGCAATCACGAAGGAGATGGATGGAGAAATTATTCCAATTTTCATTTTCTTCTTCATTTTTTATGGAAGTTTGAAGCGGACTTGCCGAGAGAGCGATAGCTTCTACTAGAAAACAAATGCGTTTCTTGCTTAGTTATAGAAGTTCGATCTGCGCCGAACAAATATGCGAATTTTCGTTCACTAAATTCTTTGAATTGAGTTTAGAAGAAAAAGTAATTATTAGATAGTTAAATAATTGACCAAAATAACGCTAATGTGGTAATCAGTGTAAGCTACAGACAGTGATGGAAAAGGTGTACCTTTCTTATGAAAATGACTTCTGAAGTGAGTTACAAAGATGTTTGTTGTAATTCGAGTGTTTGTATGTATACTTGTACATATACATAGATATTTTACTGATTTTACATTGAAGGCAGATGAAAATCGCTACATAAAATTCTACTAATATAGATATGTGCAAATTTGTTGCCTAACCCTTACTTAACGCCTTACAATTGGTAGCTCGGAGATGTAGATTTTTGAGAAAGGTGAGATAAATCAAGTGAAAAAAATCATTTTTGAAAATGATGTATTAATTGATGTATATCGAAAATTGCTTATGAAGTAGATTTGGAGCGAGCGGGCACATGTGGAATGAAGATTTGTCTTCAAGAAACATTCGCAATTCGTGATGCTCACAATTTGTACATTCTTATACAACATCTTTATTATTTGCAATTGTTTTTTGATTGTGCTTTTCTTGATTTGTGTATATGTAGTATGTATGTATACTTGTATATTGTATTGAATATCAAAGTACAGTGCATAATCGATTCTCCACCTTAACACTGGGTTATCTGTAGCAGCTAATCGAGCATTATGGCCAGACACTCATTTCAAGTTTAAGCATTCTATCTATCTATATATAGTATAGGCTCAATTTGAAAAATTTAGTTCGTTGTCACTCATGGCATTAGTGGCAGGGCAGCACAATGAGCTGACATCTAGCTCAGTTATCAGTAAACAAATTTCCGTCCTAGCGCTTTGACAAAAGTGGCAAGTCATTTAGAATTATTATTAGCTGCTATACAATTTCAAATGTTATTTTTCAACTCAATTTTCAAAAAGTCAACAGTCTGCATTGCTACCTCATTTACAATAAATGTTTACACATTTTTACTTGCTATAGCGTCAATATACAGAAAAATATTTGCATTTAAATAACATTGCTATTCGGAGCGGTAGCAGCAGAAGCGGCGCATCCTAATCACAAATGCGCATCAGAACAGCCGCAAATATTACGTATACGTGTGCCTTATGCCGTGTAGGTTGAAGGCCGGTTGCGCTTTTCAAAATATTTCAAAGAGAGAACCTTTGTGTAGGTTGTTACAAATAGAAAAGATGCCCCTTTCCCACCAGCACTAGGGCATATAAATATTTGTGCATTTGAAGTATGCGCACATGTCTAAACTATTATTGAGTGTAAACAAAGCCACCAACTAATTATATATTTGATCAACATCTCAGTGAATACATTGTTTGTCAAGTTTGTTTGTCTTATTGTATGAACTTGTTACTTGTATACTGGTAAGCTATTATATCTTTCAAACTTTGTGTGCAGACTCTTTACAACTATATTCATAAGTAAATAGAGTTAGAGCTTATAATAAAATTCACTTTTACTAAATAGCTGCTATTGATATGATCGATTCTAAAGTGTTTGAAAAGTGTTTGAGGCTTCGAAAAAATATTCCTCAATTCATTTGAATGGTTCAGAAGCATTGCTGCTACTACTTACTTGTATTGAAAGGAAAGGAGAATCGAAGAATTAAATTGTAAGAGAATATATATAGACTGGAGACAGGAGAATAATAAGAATTATATGAGGACCACTGAGAAACCATTGTACTCTTTGTATTACAATAAACAAGTTGAATTGATAAAGGAAGTCAAGAGAAATTACATTTTTTAATACAACTTCATCTCAAAATTATTATAAAACGGTAGTAACAAATAAAGCTGCGAAATGATTAGATACATAGTGTATTGTCAGGTCGTATCTTCTATTTTGAAATATACATGTAATTCGATAGAAAATGTTTTCATTTATTTTGCTGCGTCGTAGTTTCGCTAGTCTAGTAAGTCTGCCATAATTATACAGTGCCCATGATTATTACAAGGTTATAAAGTTGTTTGTTTATTTATTTATATATTATCAAAATGTGCACGTAAAAATTACTTGGTATTTTGCCTGGAAACTAAGCCTGCCATTCAAGTCTTTCCTGTAAAATATAGCTGTGTATATAAATCGTCTGGCTCAGCATTGTGATCCCATTTGGCCTCATGATAATGAGTATGACGTTTATAGCTCTTTTTGTTGCATTTCAAAAAATAAAAAACCACCTACTCATACAATTTAAAAATTGTGAGCAATTCTCTCTGAACTTTAAATCTCTGCCCATGGATGACATAAGCTAGGGCTGTGTCTGACAAAACTTGTGTCATGCCCAGCCAGATAGATAATCGAGTCAATTGTCGTTGGCGGCATCGCTGGCTAATTTGAGTTTAACTCTAGCATTTAATTGGCAAACATGCGAAATATTATGGTATCGTGTTGCTTAATTTATTTTAATATAAGTCTGCATTTAATTGCGCGCCCCGTACTCACTTTTTGCCTCCATCGCCAGGCAAGAATTGTTCCATTTCCTGTGGCGCATGCTTAGCGCCGCTGTCCTATATAAGGAATAATAGTATTAGTATTTGACCGAGTTTATCAATATTTCACATTATATGCTTACCACTATGTTGACCATTTTGTAAGTATCAAGTCAAACGTCCGATAATTGAAGTGAAAAAAGGCCCAGAAACCTGCAAATAAAGGCAAATTAAAATTGTTGCGTTAGTTTTGTAATTATTGAAGAAAAAATGAAACAAAAGTGCTTTTAGTGCTCAGAAATAAACAATAAGTGCGAAATCGCAACATAACTGCCAAATTTGCTCAAAATTGTGATTATAAAAAGTATATAAAGAAAACTAATTTACGTATAATTTTCTTTTGTTAAATAGTTAAGCGTTCTTCATATTTAAAGCGTGTTTTGTAGTGCTTTAAAAATAAACATAACCATTGCATGTGCGATTTCAATAAATCGAAAAGCTTCTGTATTTCATAAAAATGTTAATCCAAATACTCACATATGATTTGCCATTGCAATGTTTTTAAGAGAAAGACAACAGATTAAAAGAACACGCTCAGAATTAGTTTTATTCAATATATTAAAGTTGTGTTTTAAAAATGTTGTGAAAGTTTAAAGATACACAAGAATCGCTAAGTGGGCTTTTGTTGTTAGAGGGGCTTGGCTTTAAAAGACCTTTGTTTAGAACTTGACTGTAGTTTATAAATTCGACATTTAAGCTTACTCTTGAACAGTAAGAAGAGTATATTAGGTCGGTGCAAAGCAAGAAAGAATTCTCTCTTACCACATAAAGTATAAATAAATAGCATTTTCTCCTTTTATCTGTCTAGATAAGCGCCTAAATTTTGAAAACGACTGAGCTTCTTTTTTTTTGGTACGTAGACTCTCCTAATCTTCAGGCAACACAAGTTTATTTATTTACTTTCTATCTTTTCCCCTTCTTTGGTTTTGTCTTTTCACTCCACTATTCCAAAAGTTCACAAAATAAAGTTTTCATACGTAAATAAACTTTGTCAATTCTAAGAAAAATTATTACCGAAATATTTCCGGTTTCGTTCTTCGTTTTCTTTTGCCATGCTGATAACAACCCATATAGCACAGATTCAAACATTTTTATTGGCAAGTTTTAGCACTTTTTTTTCGATTTCTTCGAAGAAAAGTAACACATTCTTCCTTTAAGTCCTTCACATTGAAACTCTGCTTCCTGTGTGCAAAAAACGAATCACTTTTATTTCGCAACAAGTAGTTGATATTAAGGGAAATTTTTTTGTGAATTCCTCTGGGTACCTATGTTCATTCTCGTATAGTGAAAATTTAACAAAATGAGTTTTGATTGAATCAACAGACAGTTTGATTGATCTTGATTCTTGGTTTAGACTCCATGCCCTGATAGCTGATTGTCACAAGTTTTCAAGCTTTGCTTTGAAGTTCTGAGCATTTGGTTTCGACGTCTAATTTTTTTGTACGCCTCTCTTTCGATTCAATTTTATTTAATTTATTGAAATAAATGCTGTAGCAGATTTGAGATTTTTCGATTGTTCAATTAGTACGTGAATTATGTTTAATTTCAATTTATTTTCAGTCGTCGTGTCGCTGACAAATTGAAAGAGAATGCTGCGAATAGTGAGTCCAACAATTCCAAACTTTTGAAATGAGTTTTATTTTTTGGGCCCTCAGGCACGCATACTCAATGGACAGAGGAAAAAATATCGCGCTATCAACGACCTTTGAAGTATTTGGATGAACTTTTGACAATTGAAAGCATTATACATGTACATCTGTGTTTTTATTTCGACATAGTCATGCTCGCTGGGCATAATGCTTTACCTCGTGACGTCATTGCTATATATACAAGTACTCCCATGTATTTAAGGTGCTAATTTATACAATTTCCAAGTCAATGTCAATGTGTTATATTATTATTGATTTTTGTTTGTGTACGCTACAATTTTGTCACGAGAGCTGGCGAGGCTACAAGTAAAAAGCTGTCACATGTATCGTCGTTGTGGGCGTGTGAGTATTAACGTGGCTCATTTCTTTTTCGCACTGACGCATTTGCAAACCGGTTCTTTGTTTTGGCTAAAAATAGATAACAATTTAATTTTTAAATAAGTGAAAATTAAATGCAAAGATGATGTGCCCAGCAAGAGGCAACCAACGAGGCCAGCCCGAGGGTTAAATTGCGCAGAAAGTGTCAAGAGAAATGAAATATTTGATACCAAGTCTGGCCCATTTACATTCATTTTCAGCTCCAAGACGCTTGCGTAGTCAATTTTGTGTGTTCTTAATTAATTGTTGAGCGGCGACAGCTTTATTTTGGCCAGTTTTCGCTTACTTGTGCACATTCTATAGACAAGGTTCATTCAACTTTAATGCCAAAAGCTTTGTTAAAAATTGTATAACAATGTATCAAGTGGCAAAACTTATAGCTTAAGGCAATGTAAGAACCGAGCAGTTGGTTACCGGCAATTTTATTGTATTCATTATTAACTTGCAGTGTGGTGGAGCTCGTAAAGGTGCGGAATATCTGAGAAGTTTATTGTAGAAATAGCTCCCGATTTAGAGCTTCGACCTGGTATAAACTGAAGTCAGATGATGAGGAAACAAGCTTGAGTTGATGGAAATTAAGACCGACATCTCAACGTTTTGAAAAATCTTCCAGAAATTTCTAAAAGTAAGATAGTGTAACTAGCCAATCTTCAGAGCCAATAAAACTCGCTTCGAAATATATTTTTTTTATAATCCATCCGCCACAATGTTATTACAGATTTAAAAAATGAAGATTAAACTAGAGACGATTATGAATAAAATATGATTTCCTACAACCCCATAGCAACGGTAAAAAAGTATAACGTTTTGGCAATTTTCGATCGACTTTATTCATTATGGGGAATATCTAAAACTTTACCCATGACTACTAGTATATGTACTTTAATTTTAAGTCAACCACACGCTTACATTTTCATGTCATCTGGATTTTAATCTTATCTCAACTTATTAGAGAACAATCAAGTGAAATAGAAACCCTTAGCGAGAGCTAAGGAGTGGTCTTTGCAAGAATATTACGATCTTCAGTCTTTTCATCTCAATCTCTTTAAATCAGTTAATCTCAATCTCCTTAATAGGTTAATCTCAATCTTCAGATTTAGTACAATAAAGCCCTACTTTAGAAAATAATCACATTTTATTTAATAAAGATAGCTTTAATATCAATTACTTGAAATCCCTACCCTGTAGTTTCAAGTTTATATTAACAGACCATAAATGCAGTAAGTTGTTAAGCTGGCACTCGTTAAGTCCTAAATGCAAAAAATACCAACGTCATACTCATAAAATCACGCATGCTCTGCTATCAAGATAAGATAAGAATTGTGAGAGGGACGCTCTTACAAAGTATGTATAGTATGTATAAGGTTTTATCAAATCGTGTCGCCCATATTCGTAAAAACATGCATGAATGAATGAAATGAGTTGTGCGAGTTGACAGAAACAGCCTAGTTAGAGCCTATACTATATGGTATTTTTGGCAAAATAATAAAAACGAAAGAACCTTCACCCACTGACGCTGCACCGCAGAAAAGTCTATACATATTGGCACAGTTTTGTTTTTGGCAGTCCCTGTTATATAGCACCGGTTGATGTTCTAGATACTATATAAAGTATTTTTTTGTGTAGTTATTTTTATGCGCAAGTTCTGTAGTTTCCCAATTTGCCGCCGGCCCTTATGGTATACATTGTCAGAGTACCGGTTATAGCTGGTAATGAAAAGTTGCGCCAAAAAAGAACACAAACATTTTTTAGATAAATGAACAGATAATTGAACGGCTGATAATAGTTCGGAAAGTATAGGAGGAACCTCGTTGTGGTTTATTGCGTGTGTGACAAGGCTGAAAAAAGTACCGAGAAATAAACTATCGGTTAAGAAATCTTCGAATTATATTGCATCACCGGCAGTTGTATCTTTGAAATTTGTACGTTTCACCATCTAGATTCTTTAATTGCTGCCTTGAACCGCACAAAATATTCTTGGCATCTGTTGCTGTGCGTGAGTTTAGACATTTTTCAGCTGTGTGTACCGAAAGCGTTAGAACAATATTAATATTTGTTGGTGGGAGCTTGCACCGTAAGAATTGTTTTATTTATTTAATTTGATTTCTAGAAATATTTTACTTTAAGATTAAATTAAATCGTGACTTTGGCGTTATTTATGAGAGAATTCTTTAGTGGAAAAAGTTCTTTCAAATCAAAATCCGATCTAGATATATAGCAACATCACAAAACAACTTTCTGTAAGTTTAAGGAGCTAAATTGACGTGAGTTTTCAAAAATAATAAGCCATCGTTGAGGTCACACTATTTTGGATCCTGCCTCAATCACAAACATCTGACAATTATTCAACGCAATACCTTAATAATAGGCAAACCTATTTTCCAACTGGTAGCTCATCCACCATTCCTTTTAGTCCGTCTAAAGGTTTTTTAAAGCATCATATCTAATTGATAAATTATAGTTTATAAATTTTACGTTCATCTATTAAATTCGCTTTTTGCCAATCCCTATGCTCGATAATATTCTTTAGCGTTAAGTTTTTTCTTTCAAAATATGACCTCCTTAACATGTTGCCATTTTTTTTTCAAAACAATAGTGTTTAATAGATCTTTGTACAGTGAGTCAGGTTTCTGTTTTTGTTATTTGTTAGACAAATATTGCTCACAATACTATGTTTAAATAGCTTGTCAACCGACCGACCCACTATCCCAAAAAGAAATACCTACATACATAATTATGTAGATATAGGTACCATTCATTAATTTGTCACAACAGCGCAACCTTGAAAAACGAAAAATGTTTGACAATAAAATACGTAGAGAAGATTCTGCAGAAATAAACGGAAAATAAATAGAAAAAGTATAAACTATATGTATTTATGCCGGCAAAAGAGAAAATCTATACATTGTATTTAAACTGGTGCGCCATTTCCACATCATACCCATTAGGGAGACCGGCAGGCAAGGCAACCAGACAGGCGCTCTTGAGTCACGGCTTCCATATCCAAACACGTTCCTGGTCGTGCCGTTTATGTATAAACAAAAACTAACAGGCGGTTGTTTGGTTTGATTTCTTTTTACACCCAGCACATCACGATGCAAATGTGACGTCATACATGTCTGGCAA